CCAGACGGTGGGGGCAGAGAGGCTGAAGACGGGGCACATGGCATAGGCCGGAGCCTATTGAGTGGAGAGAGCGGGCAGGTCTGTGAAAGAAGGAAGTGTAGTGACTGTGTGCGTGCAGGCGGACATGGTAGCCCGTTTGCGCACAGAATTTGTGTGAAGAGGTTTGGTGGTTTGTCAGGGGAAAGAGTGTAGATTGCGATTAGGATGAATGTCTTATTGGAGGAGCAAATGGTCATCCATCTCAATGGTTCCTTTCAACTCACATCATTCCTGGCGTTGCTCCCAGACTGACATCTGTCTCTTTTTCTACAGGGAATTCCCGGAGAACAAGGTCTTATGGGGGTGCCCGGTCTGCCGGGCAGTTCTGTAAGTACAATAACCATCACTGCTCAGTTCTGGTCAGCCCACACCTGGAGTAACTATGTACAGCTCTGGTCAGCCCACACCTGGAGTAACTGTGTCCAGCTCTGGTCAGCCCACACCTGGAGTAACTACGACCAGCTCTGGTCAGCCCACACCTGGAGTAACTATGTCCAGCTCTGGTCAGCCCACACCTGGAGTAACTATGTCCAGCTCTGGTAGACCACACCTGGAGTAACTGTGTACAGCTATAGTCAACCCACATCTGGAGTAACTGAGTACCGCTCTGGTCATCCCACACCTGGAGTAACTGTGTACAACTGTGATCAGTCCACACCTGGAATACAGCGTCGTACCCGTAAATTATCCCCCAGAGCCTCCTGTGTAGCTGTTTTTGCTAACCAAGCGTGAAAATGTTTCCTGATCAACAGGGAGTGAAGGGCGATCGTGGGAGACAAGGGATTCAAGGGCCACTTGGTTTCCCCGGAAAGAAAGGAGAGAAGGTGAGACATGAGATTGGAGCCGTGCGATGGGTTAACCCCCACTCTGCATCACCCCACCCGCACCTCCCCCTCTACACCACTTTCCCCCCGCAATACCCCCGCCCCCCCCCCCGTTCTCTCCACCCCCACCACGACCCCTTGGCATCCCCCCCGGGGGTGTGGAGGGCACGGGCAGCACGCAGAAAGCCTGAGTTAGCCCAGCGGGACGGCAGGGGAGGCGGGTAGGAGGAGAGCGGAGAGACAAGAGGGCGCCAGGGTGTGAAGTCAATCCGTTGGGAGCCAGTGGAGCCTGGTGCGGACTGGGGCGGTGCGGTGCGGAGTTTGGTGTAGCTGAGGATGATACCCGGGGGGCGGGGGGGCAAACACAAGAGGCACCTCTCTCTTTCTCTCGCTCTCTACTGTATTCGATTTCTCTTCTCTTCAGAAACAGACTTGTTTTTCTCTTTCTTTGTTTCGATTCAGGGTCACACAGGCCCTGGAGGCCCCAAAGGAAATAAGGTAAAGGAAACCCCCCCAACCCCCCACCCCACCTCCCACCCCCTTGTGTTGTATTTTGGAGATCGGAGAAACACAGGAACAGGAGGAGGCCATTCAGCCCCTTGAGCTCGTTCTGTCATTGTAGTAGATCATGGCTGATCTATACCTCAGTACCAGTGTCCTTGCCGACAATCCCCCGAATAGCAGAGGTCATTCACTTGGCAGTGGTTTGTGGGCCCCTGGGAGAGAGAAACCCGCTTCTCTTTTCCAATAGCGCCACAGGATCGGTTTGACGGGATGGCACCTCTGACAATACTCCCCAGTCTCCGAGATAGAGCGTCAGTCGAACTGCGAGCTCAGAGTCCTGACGTGGGGCTTGAACCCACAACCTTCTGACTCAGAGGCGAGAGGATTACTGACTGACCCAGACCAACACTGGCTTAACAATGAGGGCGTGAAATTCGAAGACATGATAAAGGACTACTTCAAATGCAATGATGATGATGATTATTATTATTATTATTATTATTATTATTAGAATACATTAGAATATACAGCGATTCCAATTCTTTTGTTGATATATTGGGAATTCCGGAAATGAATCCTGCAATTTTGTTCAGGACACGGAAGCAAGGCAGGGGATTGTGAACTCCATCTGTGCCAAGGGCCTGACTCATTGCCTTTTGCTGTCCACAGGGAGATTCAGGTGTGAACGGGCTGCCCGGAGTAAACGGCGAACAGGTGAGTTACACGGAATGTCACTCCTCTCCCACTCCCCCATCCCCGTCCCCATCCCACAGAGAGCTGAGTTGGGCGAATCCACATCCCAGACAGCCACAGGAAGTGCCCCGTTTGATGAAGGTTGAGGTGAGAGTGGTCAACAGACACAATGCAACAACAACAAATGACATTTACACAGCGCCTTTCACGTCAGGAGGAGCCCCAAGTCGCTGGACAGTCAGGGTTTGCACCCAAGCTGGGGGTTGGGATCTGGAGGGCAGGGAGGGTAAGGGTAGGAGGATGACCGAAGGCGCAATCAAAGAAGAAGGAGGCAATTGCGGGATCGAGGTGAAGGGACTGTGGAGTTCCAAAGAGTGGAGGCAGAGAGTCTGAAGGCCTGACCGCTGATGGTGGGTTCCCCCAGCACTGTAGAGGGGTGTCAGTCTAGACTGTGAGCTCAAAGGTCCTAAATTGGGGCTTGTATCACCTACGATCTGTGTCAGTGACTCTCTTTAAATAAAAATCATTCTGTTTTTACATTTGAAGGGTATTCCCGGTGTTCAAGGCAAGACAGGAGAGGTTCGTATGGGAATGGAATGTCAGAATCGAGCCGCTCCCGCCCGCCCGCCCCTCCGTGACGGTCTCCAGTCCGGTTCCTGAGCCAGGAGGGTTCGCAGTATTCCAGGGCACTCACTGCTGATGACAGCACAGCCCGGCCCTGGCTCATCGGCAGGACCTGGAAGTGCCGACCAGTCACTGGGGGTGGGGAATCCTCCCACTCAGCTCCTGTTAACCCTGCAGCCAAAGGCCGATTTGCTCTTTTATCGGCTTCTCTAAGCCATCCCCCGGTAAACCAAACTCTCTGTTCCTCTATGCCATTGAGAACTCGACCACAAACGAGTAGGGTGGTCCTAGCCGCGTGACCAGCAGTGGGAAAGCTTGCCAGACAGTGCTCTGAAGGACAAGCCATGCATTTAGACTCCAGCAATTGCCCCAATGCGCACTATGGGGTCCCCAAGCCTTGGCTTTTGCCAACCTGCGCCTACTACTCTCTGGACTTAGGTGAGTAGGATGCATCCCTCTAGAGAGAGTGCGCATTCCGTTCCAATCGCAGGGAATTTCCATGCGTAGGTGGGGATGCATGGAATTCTCAATCTGTTTTTGGAGGCTCTTAAGCGCGGTGACGTGTTTCCTCATGTGTCAGAGACCCAGCTGAGCAAGTATAAAATGCACCCTGATGTTATCTGCCTAGGCGGGTGTGCCGGGAGACCACGGGGCCCCAGGGAAGCCAGGAGCCCGAGGACAGCCTGGGTTTGCGGGGCCAAGCGGCTTACCCGGATCTCGAGGGCCGGAGGGGGATCGTGGAATACCAGGGCTACCCGGGCCCTCTGGAAGCCCGGTGAGTGAACAAAGCCTGGAGTAAGCTCCAAGACGTTGTGTATAAATGTAGGTGTTGTGGAGTCCTGTAGTTTAGTGGTTGGAGCACTTGTCTCGCAAGCGAGAGGACCTGGATTTGATTCCTGGGCAGGTAAGTTTCCTTACTCTGCACGTCTCGGTTTACCCAGCAATCGGTAGGAACCCGCTTGATAGTTGATTGGTGGTTTGGAGGGGAATAATCCCTCCCAACCGCCCAAAAAGTAGAAACTGTTTCCTCTTGTGGGTGGGTTGGTAACCAGAGGACACAGGCGTAAGATAAATGGCAAAAGAACCAGACGAGGGGCAGACGAGGAGAATTTTTTTTACCCAAAGAATTGTTGCGGTCTGGAAGGCACTGCCTGAAAGGGCGGCGGAAGCAGATTCGATCGTAGTTTTCAAAAGGGAATTGGGTCCGTACTTGAAAAGGAAAAAAAATTGCAGGGCTATGGGGTTTGAGCGGAGGAGTGGGTCTGATTATTGGGTAGCTCTTTCTAAGAGCTGGGCACAGACACAATGGGCTGAATGGCCTCCTTCTGTGCTGCAAGAGACTGTGATTCTATGATTGATCATCTAAAGCCTCCCCACAGGGCAAGGAGCCGAGCGAGCAGAGGATCAGAGAGCTGTGTCTGAGCCTGATCCAAGGTCAGTGAATCATTTATTATAATAATAATTGATGCCTCACCTTTCTTTTTGGTCTGATGCATCACCAGGCTTAAGAATATCCAGCCCAGACGGAGAATTCCCTGCATCCTACCTACCCGTGGCGATTCCCAGTGTCTGGAATGGGAATACGCACTCTCTCCCCTTCGAGCGCCTTTAACAGCAAAACGTCTCATCTCGTTGCCGTCACATTGCTGTCTGAAAACATTTTGCCCACACTTATTCCAAAACTGTCTGGCAAACTTTCCCGCTGCTTGTCCAGCTAGGAACACCCTACCCGTTAGGACTTTGGTTTGCCGGGTTAACAGGAGCTGAGTGGGATGACCCCTTGCCCCAAGTGACTGGTCTGCCCTTCCAGGTCCTGGCGATGAGCCGGACTGGACTGCGCTGTTATCAGACTGGAATACTGCAGATCAGGAGTCCCGACACAGTGGTCTCCACTCCGCTGCTTCTGTTTGGCTGGTTCCGGCCTCCTGCTCATCCCTCGAATCTTCTGCTCCACCATCAGTGGCCAGGCACTACACCTTGCCTAGTCCGTTGCCCGTCTTCATATCCCAGCTGAAAACATTCCTCTTCCACCATGCTTGCAGTCATCTCCCTTTTCTCCCCGGCTCGGCATCAGGCTCTGACAGCGTTAAGCACTCCCGAGTCACTGCACCACATGAAGGGCACCGTGTAAGTGCACAGGAACAGGCGTCGGCCATTCAGCCCCTTGAGCCTCTTCCGCCATTTTACCAGATCATGGCTGATCTGTGCCTCTTATCCGGCTTTGCTCCATCTCCCTTGATACCCTGACCTAACATCTATCCATCTCAGTATTGAAGATGTGAAAGGATCCAGCATCCACAGCCTTTTGGGGATCAGAGTTCCAGATGTCCACTACCTTTTAGGTGGAAAAGTAGTGCCTGATTTCACTCCTAAATAGCCTAGGTCTGATTTTAGGATGTTGCCCCCTTGTCCTGGATTCCGCCTACCACCAAAGGAGATAATTTATCTGTAGCCGCCCTATCCAATCCCTATAGCATCTTAAACAGATCACCCCTCAACCTTCTGAACTCAAGGGATTAGAGACCAGGTTTGTGCAACCTGTCCTCAGAAGTGTCAGGGTAAACCTCAGTGCTGTGTGGCTTTCCTCTTTCAGAGTACATTGCACAGGTGGCGGACAGCCTGAGGCAGCCGACGGTGCCTGGAGAGCCGGGGCAACCGGGGTCCCAGGGGCTTCCGGGACCCTCTGGCCCCCCGGGATCTGCTGGCCTCCCGGGGCCCATGGGCCGGCCGGGCATCAAAGGTCACCATGGTTTCCACGGCAAGCCCGGCAGCAAAGGTAAGACTCAACAAAACTGCGGCCGAAAGGGCCATCGATAAGAGGATGCAAGGATTAGTATTTTTTTATTTAGGGCCCGAACTCAAATGGCGGCCATTTTGCCTCACAATTCAAGGTTGCCTCAGCATCGTCACAATCAAACCCGTTCTCTGGGTAGAGACGGAGGAACCGAGGCCCATGGGAAGAGGCAAGAGGTTGATGAGGGTTCTGAAAGGATTTGATATGGTGGATATCGAGTCCTGTGAAGTGGAGTGCTGCAGCTCCACAACAGCTTGCATTTACGTAGCACCTTTCACGTGGGGTAGAGTCCCGGAGCTCTCGGTGGTTCGAGCACTCGCCTCGCACGTGAGAGGACCTGGGTTTGATTCCCATAGAGGGCGACATGTTGGGCAAGATTCCTTACTCCACACGCCTCTGTTTAGCGAGCAGTTGGTCGATTGGTAGGTCGCTTTAACGGGAGTAACAATCCCATCAAAAAAGAAATTGAAATAATAATCATTTGGTCACTCAATTCATGACTTGGGTTTGGAGGGTTAACAGGAGCTGAGTGGGAGGATTCCCCGCCCCCAGTGACTGGTCTGCCCTTCCAGGTCCTGCCGATGGGTCAGGGTGGGCTGCGCTGTCAACAGCAGTGCCCTGGAATACTGCGGACCTGCCTGGCTCAGAAACCAGACAAGAGGCCATCTCGCAGAGGGAGAGGGGAACAGAGGGGGTGTGGAAGAGGGAGATAGAAGGGTGTAGGAGAGGGGAACAGAGGGGTGAAGGAGGTGAGAGCGCGGACGACGGAGCCAGAGTGTTGTGTTAATATTGCCTGGCCAAGGAACCCTTTGATGTCTGACTTTGTGTGTGACAGGGGCGAGAGGTGACAAGGGAGATAAGGGACATGACGGGATTGGTCTGCGGGGGTTGGAAGGCTCGCCAGGACCTCGAGGTAATGCGAGTGACACGGGGGGGGCCTTCTCTCCTCCCTGCCCCGCAAACATCTCCCAGCGCGCTCATTTCCCGTTTGGTCAGCTAAACACGCACATACAGGCAAACACACACATACAGGCAAACACGCACATACAGGCAAACACACACACACACACACATATCCACAGGTGCGCACACATACAAGCATGTACATAGACACACACAGGCAACCCACGTACACCAGCACACACATACACAGAGACATATAGACGCGCACACATACAGGCATATACACAGACACACACATAGGCATATATAAATATGTATATACACAGCCACATACACACACATAAACAGACATACACACAGGCACATACACACGTACATATAGTCATGTACACAGACACACACACACAGGCACACAGACACAGTTTACCCGAGGTCCATTCTGTCCACTTGGGTGGATGATAAAGATGCCGTGACCACGATTACACAGTCACTACACTGGACATTGAAGCGCTTTGAGATGCCTCGCTGAGTGTTACGCTCTCTCGCCTCTCTCTCCCACCCACACAGGCGAGGCTGGCTTGCCCGGAATCGGCAAGGATGGGCGGAATGGCTTCCCAGGGGAGCCTGGTTTAGTGGGCGAGCCGGGACCACCTGGGCAGCCGGGGCTTCGGGGGTTCCCTGGCATTTGTGACGCCACCGACTGCTTGGGCCCCCTCACCTGTACATGGGCATGGGTCTGAGCAAGAAGTCCAGCAGCATGAAGGGACCATCAAAGAAATGAGGCAGAGGCAGAAAGACAGGCAGCTGGCGTTCCCCATCCAGGCCTCACGTGGAGCGAAACAGCGCAGCCTCTTCACACAGACCCCCACCGTCACCCCAGTCCAGGACACTGGTTCAACCCAACACACGGAAGGGAGGAGTGGGGGGGGGTTTGGGTGGAGCCGGCTGGACTGACCAGCCGACTGACCGACTGACTGACCCGACAGCGGTGTGCGGGACATCTTGTTTGGAAAGGCTTGTAGAGGACACTGCCGAGCTGAAGGCAGGGGCCAAACACCCAACCGCAGTCACCGTATATAAGTTAACTTCATTTGTGGGTATACAGCGTTTTCGTGTTTCCCCGGGAACTTTGTTTGCTTGTTCTTGTCTTTCTGTGCGACCTCCGAATTCACTGTCTCCCCCTCCCCTCCTTTACCCCACTCTCACGTTTCATTGAACGGATTCCCCTTTCCTTCGCACCCCACTCCTTCTCACCCCCCCCCCCCCCCCCCCAGTGTGATATAAAATCATAGAATATTACATACAGCACAAAAGGCCATTCAGCCCATCACGCCTGTGCCGGTTCTTTGGAAGAACTACCCAATCAGTCCCACCTCCCTCTATGGTATGATCGTACCGTTTTCCTTTGCCTCTTTTAATAATAATAATAATAATCCTTGCATCGCGTCTTTGAGACATCTCGAATCGCTTCACAGAATATTACCGTAAACTGAATGGACTGTTTATTTTGGGGGGCGAAACGCGTCAGCCAATTGCACACAGCAAATATACCACAAAACAGTCGTGGATTGAGTGACCAAATTATTATTGTATATTTTGTTTGGAACATCAACTATGATTAAAAAAAAAAGAACCGCAAACACATCACGATAAATATCTCTTTTTTTTTCTTCAAATGCGATGGTCAGTTATTCTGTTTAAAAGGCGGTGTTGGTCTATCTGAAACGTCAATCTGCCCGAGTCAAGAGATTTAGTGTCTGGTTTCCCTTTTACCTTTTTTTAAGATTAAAATTATCCTCAGAACTTTAATGTTTCTGCCTTTGTGATAGATGTTCGCCTCTTTTTTGCCCCTGATTTAACGGACGGGGGATTGGAACAGGTAACAGGGAGGAGCAGAGGATACTCCGTTTGGGTGGGGGTTGAGGGGGGGTGGGGGGGGGGGCGTTGAAGGGAGTTAGCTGAGTGTTGTGGTGGGGGGTGGTTGGGGGGGTGGTTGAGGGGTGTTTTGGTGAAGGGTTTGAGGGGGTAGTTCAGGAGGTATCGAGGGTGGTCGGGGTGGAGGGGGTGAGGGGGAGAGGTTGAGGGGGTGTGTGAGCGTGGGGTAGTTGAAAGGGGGTGATCGAGGGGGGGATTGGTTGTGGAGGGGTCGAAGATGGGGGGGGTGGCCGAGAGGGGTTTGAGGAGGGGTTTGTTCAGTGGGCGGGGGGGTCGAGGTAGGTTGAGTGGGGTGGCTGTGGGGGATGGGGTCAATGGGGTGATCGATGGGGGAGTTCAGAGGGGTTTGAGGACTGGTTGATTCATGGGGGCGGGGGGGGTCGAGGTGGGGAGTGGTCGAGGGGGTTTGAGGAGGGGTTTGTTCGGGTGGGGGGGGGGGTTGAGGTAGGGTTGGTTGAGGGGGTGGTTGAGGGAGGGTGGGGTGTCGAGGAGGGGGTGTGGTTGAGGGAGGGTTGAGTGGGGGGTCATTGAGGGGGGGCTGTTGGTGTGGGGGGTTTTGAGGAAGTGTTTGAGGGTGGGGGGGTGGTCGATGTGGGTGTGGTGCTGTTGAGGGGTGGGGTACGAGGGGCAAACACCGTCCTTGCTTAAATTGGGTGGCAATGGGCTCAAAGCTAAGACCATGAGAAATTTCTGGCTTCCTCAGACAGTGATGGCGGCTGTCACTGTCACGCGCGCACAGACCGTGTCACCATGTTGGACCTGATGTCCTGTGAGCTCAAGGCCCCTTCTGGTTGGACGGCCGGCCGGCCAGGCTGGCGTAGTAAACGCACTGAGACAGATCGCACAGCCCGTTCCTCCCGGGGGGACCCTCGGGGCCCTGCGGCCCAGCGCTTCCCGGCTCTCCTTGTGGACCCGGCGTTCCCGGAATTCCGTCCGTCCCGTAGCCTGGCATTCCCGGGGCGCCTAGAAACGACAACAACCACAACAGACTGCACTTACGCGGCAATTTTTATGTCGAGAGCACGTCCCGAAGCCCTGGAATCGTCAGGGATTGGACCTGAGCTGTGGGGGTTGGGACCAGGAGGGTGGAGGAACAGGGAGGGTAGGGGTAGGACAACCAAGTGTTCTTATAATTTGACTCAATAATAATAATAATAATAATAATGATCGCATGCGATACAGCGCTACATCACATCGGGAGCACATCACAAAGCGCTTCGTAGCAGGTGATCGTAAGCACCGTCAAAAAAGAAGGTCTTCAGGCGGGATTTGAAAGTGGGGAGGGGGGTGGCAAGGCAGAGGAAAGTGGGGAGGGAGGGGGCAAGGCAGAGGAATTGAGGGAGAGAGTGCTAGAGGTTCGGGGCGTGTGGCTGAAGGCACGGCCACCCATGGTGGAGCGGAGGGCACGAGGGTACAGACCGAGGCCTGAGCCAACCGAGCGAAGGGTGGAACCGGACGAGCGGAGGCAGCGGGTGGTGGAGTGGGGGTGGGAAAGCAGATCGGAGAGGCAGGGGCATGAAGGGATTTGAAGAGTCGGGCTTACCCGCTAGACCGGTGGCTCCCGCTTCTCCACGTTGCCCGATGCCAGCCTCGCCTCTCTCTCCCGTTTCCCCTCTCTCGCCTGAACGTGGAAAGGAAGCATTTTAGCTGACTGTCCAAGGTAATAATCCTCGCACCTGGTCCAGCACCAGCAATGTCAAAATGCGCCTCAACAGATCACCACCGTCAATAATAATAATAATAACATTAACGTTTGACATTTGGCCCTATCGCATCATCAAACTGTCTCAAAGCCCTTCGCAGGATTTACTGTAAAGTGGTGTTGAAAGTGTGTATTTTGTGGGTGAAACATGGCAGTCGGTTAGCGCACAGCAGTGTCCCACGAACAGCCATGGAGTGACTGACCAATTTTATTTGGGGGATTGTTGACCAAGAAACCGGGAGGGAGAAACCCCTCTTCTTGAATAGTGCCGCGGGATCTTTAACATCCGCCTGAACAGGCAGACTCGGTTTAATATCTCATCGGAATAGAAAGCTATCTCCACTAATCAGGGAGTCAGTGACTGGAGGACACAGATATATGCCGGTCGCAAGAAAAGGGAAAGGAGAGCTATGCGGGGAGGTGGACTGGCTCCGAGGTGAAATGCCTGGCAATGGAGCGTCAGAATCGAGCCAGCCTCTGTGTGCGGTATGAGTAGTCCGGATCCTGAGCCAGGCGGGTCCGTGGTACTCCAGCCTGGATCATCGGCAGGACCTGGAAGGGCAGACCAGTCAATGGGGTGAGGAGTCATCCCACTCAGCTCCCGTTAACCCTGCAGCCAAAGCCCTAACGGGTAGGATGGTCAGTAGCCGGACAAGCAGCCGGAAAGCTTCCCGGACAATAATATCAATGGCTTTAGCTGATTAGACTCCAGCAGTTACCCCACACTCTGGAGTCCACGAGCCTTGGCTCTTGCCAACCTGGGCCTCATACTTTCCGTAATTAGGTAAAGCAGGAAGTGTCTGTCCCTCCAGGGAGAGAGAGTGCATATTCCATTCCAACAATCTATCTCTGGGATTTCAATGTGTAGGTGGAATTCTCAGTTTAGTTTAACTCTTAAGCACAGTGATGGGTTTCCACATGTGTCAGACACCCGGCTGACCAAAAAAGGAAAAACGTTTTCACACAGAGAATTTTTTGGGGATGTGTTAACTCCCTGACAAGTAAGGTGGTGGAAGCAAAGTCCGTTATGGGTTTCGAGAGGGAGGTAGAAGGGTATATGAAGGATAGAGGCTTGAAGTGGTGTGAGGATAGGGCCAGGGCAATGGGCCTGAATGGACAGCTCGTTCTGAGAGAGAGGGCAGACTCGAAGGGCCGAATAGCTGCCTTCTGTGCTGGGAATCTCTATAATTCCATTAATGGGCAGGACACTGGGAGAGAGAAACTCTTCTCTTTTCCAATAGTGCCGTGGAACAGGCAGACTGGATCTTGGTCTAATGTCTCATCCATAGGGCGGCACCTCCAACCAGGCAACATCCCACCCCCCACACTCACCCTAGAGCTGCATTGGAGCGTCAGCTTAGACTATGTGATTCCAAGACCCGATGTGAGGGCTCAAACCCTCAACCTTCTAACTCAGAGACAAGAGCGATACCACTGAGCCCAGCGGACACTTTGAGCGGGGGATGATGCAGTCAATGTAACTGAAGGTTGGTCTGCCGAGGGTGGGCAAGGGACCTGGATCAGGACGGAGGGAGAGGAACGTTCCACAGCAATATTGATTCTTACCTTTCGGGCCCATTGGCCCCCGCTGGCCCTCAGCTCCCGGGATGCCGGGCTGGCCGAGATCTCCGGGAGCGCCAGGCCTGCCAGGGAAGCCTTCTTTCCCCGGAACACCAGGAAGCCCGGGCTTCCCAGGGGCGGCCTTCACTCTCACGTGCTGGAACTGAGACACCAGGTCAGCCAAGCGCACTGCCAGGAGAGGCACAAGATGTGGAGGTTTCAGGTTGTGTAGAAAAACGCAAACTTTTTTCAGAATTCCTCACATTTGACACAGCGCCTTTCGCATCATGAGGGCCGCCTCAAAGCGCCTCCCAGAGTATTCTGCACAGTGCAGAGAGAGAGAGAGAGTGAGAGAGAGAGAGTGAGGGAGGGAGTGAGTGTAACCGACTAAACCGGGCTCAACCTCAAACCTCAAATGTTCCTGTCATTGAGGGGCGATGATGCGATTGAGATGTTTAGCGAACAGTTTGCCGAAGCCGGCCCCGGTCTCTCAGACACCACCTCGGTCTCACTGAAGCTCTCCTGGGAGACGCTTCTCTTCAAACCTACAGACACGCCCCCACGCCACCCTCCCCACACACGCAGGACTTGTCACGAGCTTCAATTATTGGGGTAAAAAAAAAACCCACACACGCACACGACTTACAGTCGAGCTGCTTTGAGAGCTCTTCTCGAATGAGTTTCCTCAGTTGTTCCAGCGAAGGCGTCTCACCCTGGAGAAAAAGCAAAATGTCTGATTGGGGTGTGAGGGGCTGAACATTGGGGGAGTGGAAATCTGGAACTCTCTCTCCCCAAATACTCCTTGCATTTGATACAGTGCCAGTGCCGACACCAATCGTGGAGCTGCTCCTCACCTTCGGCCCTGGGAATCCCGGCGTTCCCGGTGGGCCTGCCACCCCGGACACACCGCTCTCTCCGGGAGGTCCCACCGGGCCCAGCAGCCCCCTGTGTCCTTTGATGCCCGGAAGCCCATGGTCGCCTTCTTGACCTTTCTCCCCCTGAGGTCCTCTTTCACCATTGAGCCCTTGATAACCCTAAAGGTAAAGAAAAAAAATCCAGTTTGGAAATAAACAACAACAACATTACATTTGTTGCAATTACCCAGTGCCCTTCACGCGGGACATCTCGGAGCGCTTGACATTGGTGGAGCCTGACCCTGAGTCGGGGGGATGGTGGGGCGTGACCGTACGCACGGACAAAGAGGAAGGACTTCAAGTGTGATCTGAAGTCGAGCAAAGAAGAGGCAGCTGAAGGGATTGGGGCCATAGTGGCTGAAAGCATGGCTGCCGATGGTAGAGCGAAGGGGACAAGGGACGTGCCAGAGGACGGAGCCAACCGAGCGGAGGATTGGCAGAGGAGTGGGATACGAGCAGATCAGGGAGGTCGGACGGTTAAGTACAGAGAGGGAGGGTAAAGAACAACTTCCTGGTGTCTGTCCTGTACTCAAAATCTGCAGGATGCGAAATCCGGGGTGAAACCAGGGCGTGGAGTCGGGGTGACCCCAAAATTCCACCTTCGTCTTGAGCGAAAATCTTTAAATTTCTTACAATGGCAACAGTGGTATCCAAAGGCTCAATGTTGCTCCCTATCGGAGCTAAATGATCCTGCAATTGTTTGTAAAGTGTAAACCGGGGATCCTAGAAACTTATCATAATAATACTAATCCTCGCATTAGTATTTTTGTATTTTTGTGCGAAATGTCTCATCCGAAGTTTCAGTTTAACGTCTCATCCGAAGGACAGCGCCTCCAACAATGCAGTGCTCCCGCCAGCACTGCACCGGAGCGAAGGCCTGGACTGTGAGCTCAGAGTCTCAATGTGGAGGCTTGAACCCACGATCTCCTGTCTCAGAGGCAAGCGTGTCACTGATCCACAGGCTAACACACACATTAGTGACAAGAACAACAGTGTAAGCCGCCTCGGCTGAGGCCGGAATACCTCAATCAATATTCTGTCCATCTTCCCCAAAGCAGCACTTACCCTCTCTCCTTTGGCCCCAGCCTCTCCTGATTTCCCAACAGGACCCTACACAAAAGAGGAAAAGGTATTCCTGATTCCAATCCGTCTTTATTCTTGGTCAGCAAAAACACGCAGACATTCATCACCACGCTTAAGAATATCCAAACCAAACGGAGAATACACATCCGTTCTTGTGCATGGAATGTATTTCCCTTTGTCTACTATGGAGTAGGAACCTTTCTCCCCAGGGGGTTCCACTCTGTTCACTTGATCCCAGAGAGTGTTAGGTGCAGGTTAGCAAGAGCCAAGGCTTGGGGACCCCAGAGTGTGCGTTGCGGTGACCGCTGGAGTCTAACCAGCCAGGACCACCCTACCCGTTAGGGCTTTGGCTTGCAGGGTTAACAGGAGCTGAATTTTCTCTTTGACTGTGCCTTCAGCTCCCCTCTCGACTCTCTACCCCCTCCTCGCTCCCTCCCTTCCCTCCCCTCACCATTTCCCCCCTGCTCGGGTCCTGACCCAACTGTACAGCGCCTTGGGATGTCCTCCCGACGTGAAAGGCGCTCAATAAATGGAATCTTGTTGTTGTTGTCTTGTTGTTGTTGAGTGGGAGGATTTCCTGCCCCAATGAGCTGGTCTGCCATTGAGCCAGGCTGGCTGTGCTGTCAGCAGCAGTGTGTGGAACCGAACTATAGACCATCACAGAGCAGCCAATTTGCACACAGCAACATCCCACAGACAGCCATGGAGTGAGTGACCAATTTTTTCTGAGGGATTGTTGACCAGGAGAGAGAAACTCACTTCTCTTTTCCAATAACGCCACAGGATCTTTAACGTCCAGTTGAACAGGTACAGGCAGGGCCTTGATTTAACATCTCATCCGAAGGACGGCGCCTCTGATAAGACACAGCTCCCCGCACTGGAGCGACAGCCTGGACTGTGAGCTCAAAGTGCGACGTGGAGCTTGAACCCACAAGCTTCTGACTCAGAGGCAAGGATAGACTGATTGGTATATAATAATCCTTGCACTTGAGATAGCACTTTTCACATCGTCTATATGTCTCAAAGCGCTTCACAGTATATACTATAAAGTGAATTGAATGTATATTTTGTGGGCAAAACGCGGCAGCCAATTGCACACAACAGAGTCCCAGAAACAGTCGTGGATTGACTGACCAAATTATTATTGTTTTTTTTGAGCGATTAACGACGAACAACAGGGCCGTGTGGAGTAAGAAAACTTGCCCAACATTTCACCCTGCCGGGAATAAAACCCAGGTCTCTCACTTCTCAGGCAAGTCTAAGCTACAGGATTCCATGCCATATAAAGAGTGATGTGTGCCACTCACCTGCTTGCCTGGACTGCCTGTTTCTCCTGACAGGCCCTGGTTGTAAAGAGGATGAGAATCAGGGTTTATGACACAGTAACTGGAGCTCATTTACTCTAAGGAGCCTGTGGCTCACATCCCTATCATTTAACCCCACCGCTCAGGCTCCAAATCCCACTGCTGGCCTCTGCCCAGCTTTGAGACCTTAGTTGTTAAAGTGCTAATATCCCCTGAGAATTCTTCAACTGTCCATCTCTCTCTCTCCTTCTCTCTCTGTCTCTACCCTAGACTCCAGGATCACTGTTGTCCTGACTTATTGCCTGTCATAGATCAAGCCCTGGACGGGCTCTAACTCTCTCCAGTTGACCGTTGACAAGACTGAAGCCTTCCTGCTTGGTTCCCGTCAGCAACTCGTCACCTCAGGCACCGACAGCATCATTCTACACGGATTCACACTCCACCTCACGCAGTCGGTGCCTCGTTCAATTCATAAATCCAACATCCGTGCTCTGACCCTCTCAGCTTCACCCCACCTCCAAAACATTGCCCATCTTGGCCATTACCTCTCCCCTCGGGTGACCGAGACCCTCCTCCATATTTTTACCACGTCCAGGCTTGACTGTGCCAACTGCCTGCTAACCCAATAAAGGGCCTTATATAAATGCAAGATGTTGTCGATAATTAACCACACACGGACATACATTTCCCCCTGTCTAACCACACGCTGACCATACGGTTAGGAGATGAGGAGTGATGGCTCTTACCCGAGAGCCCTGGGGACCCTGCACTCCGGGAAAACCAGGATCTCCATTTGTTCCTTTTGAGCCCTTTAGACCCTGTAATTGAAGAAGAATTGACATCAAGACGTCAACATATAAATAAAGCTGAAATGGCTCTTTGTGGGTTAATACTGTATTAGCCCTTGATATAGTGCCTCTGAGGTTGAAACTTCCCCAAGTGCTTTAAGGGATTATCCTGTAAAGTGAATTGACTGTATATTGAGTGAGAGAATCCTGGCGCGATCTCTGAATTATTATTGTAATTATTATCTGCTTTACCCTTGACCTTGAGAATGCGTCCATAAATAGCTACTTAATTTGCACGGGATTTTACTGACATTATTGTCCGTGACGGATTAGAACTGGGAATATTGTGACATAAATCCAATTGTTGTGGTTTAGTGCGAAGAATGTCAAGGAATTGGGAGAAATGAAGAATTCTTTTGGCAGCACTCGCATCTCTGAGTCAGAAGATTGTGCGTTCAAGCCCCACCTCAGGAATCTGAGCTCACAGTCCAGGCTGACGCTTTTGTGTCAGCGCTGGGGGAGCCCTGCATTTGTTCGGATGAGATGTTAAACCCGCGGCGCTATTGGAAAAGAGAAGGGAGTTTCTCTCTCCCGATGTCCTGGACGACAATCCTAAAGATAAAATTGGTCACTCACTCCATGGCTGTTTGTGGGTGGTTGCTGCACGCAAGTTGGCGACTGTGTTTGCCGACAAAACACACAGTCACTACAGTTTACAGTATATCCTGTGAAGCTCTTTGCGACGTGCTCCTGACGTGATAGACTGTATTATAACTTCACCTTGTACCACACAGGGCATGTTCATTACTCTAGATAATGAAGGACACCTGGCTCCGATAGTTCTCACTGCCACACGTCTCTTTTGAAGTTTGTTTAAGAACTGCTCGACCAAACTTTACAAGTCTCTCAGCCGCTAATGAGCGGTTTACGAGCGTCAGGCATCTGTAGTGAACTCGAGGTTTAATGCACCGTGCACTCCATTAGTGGTGCACAAATCAGGTCCAGGGAGGAGGGGGTTGGGATCTCAGAGCCGGGCTGAGATGCGAATAACCTGAGAGGTCCTGAACGTTCCACATTCCCTACTGATTGGGCTCTTTCAGCCCCATCACTCCCACCATTTCTCTGCACTCCAGATTTTTATTGATAATAATAATAATCCTCGCATTTGGTATAGGGCCTTATCACGTTGGAAGGATGTCTCAAAGCGCTTCATAGGATTTATTGCGAAATTAAGTGACTGTATATTTATATAGGCAAACGCGGGAGCACAATTGCACACAGCAACATCCCACAAACAGCCATGGAGTGAGTGACCAATTTTATCTGAGGGATTGTCGGCCAGGACACCAGGAGAAAGAAACTCCCTTCTCTTCTCCAATAGCACTGCAAGATCTTTAACGTCCACCTGAACAGTCACAGGTGGGTCTAGATTCGAACCCAGGACCTCCAGGTTCCCCAGTGCAGCGCTGCTCCCAGCCAAGTCACTCTCTGCTCAGTGCTGGGAGGTATTTAATTATGATAATAATACTTGCATTTGATATGGTGTCCTATCAGATCATTGGGATGTCTCAAAGCGCTTCACAGGATATACTGTAAAGCGGATTGCCTATATATTTTGTGCACAACAACCTTCCACAAACAGCCTTGAAGTGATTGACCAATTTTACTTGGGGGATTATTGGCCAGCAAAAACACCCTCCTCTTTTCTAATAGTGCTGCGGGGCTTTTGATGTCTACCTGAACAGGCAGGTGGGACTTCTCATCTGAAGGACGGCACCTCCGACAATGCAGTACCCCCCTCCTCCAGCACTGTGTTGGAGCGTCAGCTCAGACAATGTGATTCCAAGCTCCGACGTTGGTGTTGCACCAACAACCTTCTGACTCAAGAGGTGAGATGCAACCATGCACCAGGTTGGCACACCGACTGGAAAGTGATCTGTCAATTGAACTGCCAATTGACTAACAACCGGGTTTCTATTTACCGCTAGGTTTCGCCCTGCCCAGGACTCGCCAAAGCAGACTCACCTGTAACCCCTCGACGCCAGGCTTCCCTTGGGGACCGAGCGGGCCAGTTTTTCCCTGTGGAGAAGAGGCAGAGGTCACTTTCGGAGGAGAACATTTTTATTATTCACATTTTCTATTATTTCTCGGATGGAAATATGGCAAAATTTGCCTTTGCAGAGATAGCAACACTGTGGGTCGAGTTTGTCCTATTTCTTAACATTTTTTTTAACAAGAAATGGGTTATTATTGAAGGGATATTTCTTTATTTACAATATTTTTTTGAACCATGAAGCAAACATAATACCAACAACTTAACAACGCTAACAGGAGATTTATTTTCGCTGATTTTCTTAAGATCGAGGGTAAATAGTTTTTTTTTTATCTCAATCTTCCAAATACCTTACATTTTAATCATCTGGGTGTCTGATACACACAGAAACTGTAAGCAGTCATATCCAATCTCCAAGTGCTGTATCCACCCCCCTATCCACGTGTTCTGTCCCCCCCACATGCTCTGCCCACTTACCTGATCACCTCTCAATCCTGGAGGACCTGGTGTTCCTGGCGGGCCTTGTTCACCCTACAAAACACAAGAGGAGAGGTGAGGGCTCCTGACACAAGCAACCAATTGCGTACGGTAGTGTCTCGCAAACAGTAGTGGATTGAGTTACCAATTTTTTTTCCTTTTAGAAGGATTATTACCTCTCGGAAAGCGATCTGCCAATTGACTAACAACCCGGTTCCTATTTACTGCTGGGTACACAGAGGCGTGTGGAGTAAGGATACTTGCCTAAGATTTTGCTCCGCCCGGGAATTGAAATAGGGTCCTCTCACTTGCAAGGTGAGCGCACTAACCACTAGGCTACAGGACTTCACAATATCTATATAACTTGGTATGGAGCATGTAAACTACGCAGAAAATCTCAACTCCACTCCAGGACATTGTCCCTCTATTTGGTAACTTACGTCTTTCCCCGGCTTCCCTGATTGCCCTGGTGGGCCCATGGTTCCATGTTCTCCCTATAAAAGCAAAACAGACCAATCGGAGAGGATCTTGCAGGGTCTCACGGTGAAAGGTGAGAGCAGAAACTAGCATTTGAATTAACATTTTATCAAGTCGAAACATATCAAAGCGCTTCACAGTTAATTACAGTCAAACCTGTCTTCAGCAACCGCTCAGGGGACCTGGGCCAAAGTGGCCTTTATATCAGGGGTGACCTCCAGGTAAGGATTCATTGGTGTGCGAACCGGGCTGTTCCAGGTTGGTTGTTAACAGGGAGTGATTGCTGAATGGTGGTGGTTGCTTGAACAGCTTGTTTGACTGTATTGTCAAACATGCACAAATGAGGCAGACAGTCTTGTGCTTAGCTCCGTCCCACAAACAGCCACTAAGTGAGTAACCAATTTTCTGGGAAATTGTCGGCCAGAACACTTGGGAGAGAGAAACTCCTTATTTCCAACAGCGCTGCTTTAAAGTCCACCTGAAAAGGCACAGATAAGCTCTTGAAGGAGGATCATGGACAGAATTGGGCAAACGGCCTTCTTCTGTGCTATATATTTCTAGGTTCTATGGTGCTATGAACATGAGGGCTCAGGTTCAGGGGTGAAAGCCAATCTCAGGGCAGATGACTATCTTTACAGAAAAGGCAATGAGCAGTTGGAGAGTGTTACCAGGAAGCTGAGATTAGAAGGTTGAGGTGTGATCTGATTGAGGTATTATTAAAATAATAAAGGGATTCGATAGGATGGATATAGAGAAACTATTTCCCCTGGTAGTTGGGGGGAATCCAGACCAAGGGGGCATCATTTTAAAATTAGAGCTAGGCCATTCAGGAGTGAGATTAGGAGGCAATTTTTCACCCAAAGGCTAGTGGAAATCTGGAACCCTCTCCCCAAAAGGCTGTGGATGCTGAATCCAGTCACATCTTCAAGACTGAGATGGATAGATTAGGTCAGGATATTAAGGGATACGGGGCAAGGGTGTGTAATTGATCTTAAGGTACAGATTAGCCATGACCTTATAGAATGGTGGAATGGGCTTGAGGGGCTCAATGGCCTACTCCTGTTTCTATGTTTCTATACATGGTGGTAGCCAGTACAATGGCCTGGATGGTGTTGTTGGGAAGACTCTGAAATCGACAACAACAAATTGCATTTATAAAGCGCTTTTCACATCAGGAGGACATCCCAAGGCGCTGGACAATAAGGGGTTTGCTCCCGAGCTCGGGGTTGGGATAGAGGACATGGGAGGTGAAGGGTAAGATGACTATCGACATGGTCGAAAAGAAGGACTTGAGATGGGCCTTGAAGGAGGCAAGGAAGGCAGGGCAGGGGATGTGGAGTAGGCCGATGCCTGCATAGCGGAGGAAGCAGGCAGGTTGGTGAAGTTCAAATGAGATCAAATTAAGCCAAAGGACCTTCTACACCCAAATCTCTCTTGTGAATGGGTGATCCAGTTTGCGAATGTTCACACAGTTTAACCGAGTAATGTAAGCTGCCTCTTACTTCTAATACTTACTCTGGGTCCTGGTGGGCCAATATCACCCCGGGGCCCCTTGAAACCCTGTTAGAAGAGAAAATAAATGAGTTGGAATCAATACAGAATCTTACAACAATACAATGTTACACTGCAGTAGATTACACTGGATGCCTTTCACATCGGTAACGCTTCAAAGTGCCCAACGTTTTGCCCTGCCCAGGAATCAAACCCAGGTTCCTCTAGCTTGCGAGGCAAGTGCTCTAACCACTAAGCTACAGACTTGGTGGACAGTCAGATACTTACAGGGATGCCTCTGGATCCTGTCCGGCCAGGAAGCCCAATATTACCTGCCCTGCCCTAGAGGAAGAAAGCAAAGGTTCATTGAGTGACGTTACCTTAAAACACCCTTATCCCATCATCAAAACTTCCCAAAGCACTTCACAGGATTTAACGTGAGTGTGTATTTGTGACTAGGTAAATGCGACAGCCAATTTGCCCACAGCAACGTACCACAAACAGCCACGAAGTGAGTGACTAATTTTATTTGGGGCATTATTGGCCTGGACACCAGGGAAGAGAGAAACTCCCTTCTCTTTTCCAATAGTGCCATGGGATCTTAAACGTCCACCTGAACAGGCGGATTGGACCTCGGTTTAACGTCTCATCTGAAGGACTGCACCTCCAACAATTCAGTGCTTCCACCAGCTCTGCACTGGAGCATCAGCTTAGACAAGAGGGGTCCGACCTTTTGGCTGCCTTGGGTCGAATCCCCTATTTGAGAAAGGTCTGTGAGCTGCATAGGCATTATTTTGTGTTTACCTTCCAGAAACATAACAGCATTTACACAGTACCTTTTTCAGAAGGAAATTTTGACACTGTCGGCTGGGCACCTGAGCTGGGGGGTGGGACCGAGGTAGGTGGGATAGGGAGGAAAAAGATGACCGAAAGTGCGCTCAAAGAGTTGGGTATTGACGTGCCTTGAAAGAGGGGAAGGAGGGAGTGAGCCAGAGGGACTCCAAGAATGGAACTCCAGAAAGCAGGGTCAAAATGGCGATGGTGGGGCAGAAGGGGTGGGGGACTTGAAGCAAGACAGTGTTTGCTGGACAAAGGGAACGGCTGGGTTAGGATGTCGCAGAGGTAGGGGTGGGGAGGGGAAGGGGGTGAGGGGAGGAAAATGAAGGACATAAAGGAGTTTTTCACTGGGGAAAGAGGAAGCTTTCTGTGAGGGAACTGCATGTCGCGTCGCTCTGTGTCTGTCCTCGGAGACTCTGATCGTCTGTCCTGACAATGAACCATGTTTCAAAGCGCTTCACAGGATTTACTAAGACTGTGTGAACGCAACATTGCACACAGCAAAGACCCAGAAACAGCCAATTTTATTTTGGGGATTGTTGGCCAGGACAACGGGTGAGAGAAACTCCCTTCTCTTTTCCAAAGCACCCCGGGATCTTTTAACGTCCACCTGAACAGACACAGACAGGACCTTGGTTTAAGGTCTCCTCTGAGGGATGGATGACAATTATAGTGCAACCACTCCTCACCAACTGGACGCTGTGTTAGTTAATGGAGAATGAAACAGAGTTTGGGTTTCTTCTCTTACCGGCTCCCCTGGATCGCCGGGCTTGCCATCTTTTCCGTCCTTTCCCTCCAGACCCTGCAGAATGGCAAAATACCCCCCCCCCCGACAGTTAGCTGCCAGCAGCCCACCGCACCACAATTTGTCCAGTTAGCTACCTGTCAAGGCTTTGGTTTGCAGGTTAACAGGAGCTGAACGGGATGACCCCCTGCCCTCAGTGACTGGTCTGTCCTTCCAGATCCTGCCAATGAGCCAGGCCAGACTGCGCTGCCATCAGCAGTGCCCAGGAATCCAGTGGTTCTGTCTGGCTCGGGAACCGGACTGGAGACCATCACAGTGGGTTGGCTCGATGCCGTCGTTCTGTTGCCGAGCACATCAGCTCCAAGGAGACCCGGCTTACCTCCAATGCATAGGTGGGTAGTCACTTGTTGGTCATTTGACATTTTTATGTCTCAAAGCGCCTCTCGGGCAATTACTGTCGGGCGTACATTGGTAGACAATTGTCTACAGTGGCAGGTTCTAACATTGGGGATTGAACCTGGAACCTTTATGTTTAGAGAACCATTGCTCTCGTGTTTGTGTGTGTGTGTGTGTGTGTGTGGGGGGGGGGGGGGGGGTGTCTGGGTGGAGGAGATGGTGGTGGGGTTATACAGTGGCTTCTATTTTGCATTAGTTCCGTGAAATACTGATAAAAATGAATAGAAATCAGGGATTGGGTTACTTACAAGTCTTCCCGGCAATCCTGGTGGGCCTCGTATTCCCGGGACACCTTCCTTCCCCTGAGGGGACACAAACGGCCAATAGTTACCAATCTGATGACTCCCACCCAACCAGAGAAATTCACAGTGAGGAATGAGATCATTCAGTCTAGTAATAATAATTTAATAATAATTTAATAATTATTATTTAATAATAATAAATAGTAAGTCGGCCCAGGCTTTCAGAGTGAGCTCAAACCATTTAATCGCACCCCCTGCCCTATCCTCACATCCCTTCAACCCTCTATCCTTCATTTACCCATCTATTGCCCTCTTGAACTGTCAGAACCCTCTCTCTGACCTCAGCTCTCACCGTCCCGGTTCTTACCTTCTCTCCTACCAGCCCCGGGGTGCCGGGCACTCCTGAGACACCATCAGCTCCCTGAAAAGAAAAAAAGAGTCTGCTTATCATCGTACTTTGAGGCTGAAAAAGTGATTACACGGGAAAAGTGCAACATAAACAGTGACATACAGCGAGTGACATAAACAGTGACATACTGTCAGAGTCCTCACTCACGCTGTATGTCACTCACGCTGACGGAAAATAAATAACGCACAAAGACTTGTTTTCCCTTACATTATTTCTTTTAATAAATAAGTGTGTCCAGTTAGTTATTTCTGGTTTTCTCCCCACTGGGTTCAACTTTCTCCGCTTGGTCTGGCCTCTCCTCTCTGACCCTCTCGGACCACTTCCTACATCTCCCTCTCCTCCCACATCCCCCTCCCTTCTTCCAAGCCCTCCACCATCTTTTTCCACCCCTGTTTACTCTGCTGCTGCCTGACAACCATTGCAAACTAATGTCAGGTTGGCTCAGTTTCCAGTAATACTTACTGCCGGGCCTTGATTTCCGGGGGGGCCGGGGTATCCTGGCAGCCCTGGACTACCCTGTGGGGTGGGGAACAAAAACAACCCATGTATTTAGCAGAAAATTGTACAATGTGCATTTATACAACAAAAACAAATTGCATTTATCTAGCGTCTTTCACGTCAGGAGGACATCCCGATTGCGCAGGGTAATGAGCTGCAGGATAGTACCAGGCAAGGTAGGTGCAGGAGGGAGGGTGACCGAAGGCGTGGTTGAAAAGGCGGGTCTTGAGATGGGCCTTGAAAGAGGCAAGCAATGCGGGTGGAACGAGTTCCAGAGGGTGGGGGCAGAAAGGCTGAAGACCAGGGGTCTAGAGACGAAGGATGAGGGAGGGGAATTCAAGATCAGGATTTGGGGCAAAGGGCAGGGGTGGTGGGATGCAGTATGGCTGAGTCTTTCACACTGGGTGGGGGAGTCTCTGAGTGCTTCCCGGGAATTAGTGTACAGTGTAGTAACTGCGTGTTTTGTGGGTCAACTTTTGAGAGGGAATTAAGTAGGTTGTATTGGGGGGGAAGGACGTGAGCAGGAGAGGGAGATTAGATATGGCTCATGGAGACAAACACGGAGCAGGCTTGATGGGCCGAATGGTCTTTTTCTGTCCTGTGACATTTTTCTCTGGAGGGACCGCAACCTGCTCACCCAATCCCATTGATTACCCATTACCCAATCAATGTTAGGCCCAGGTTGGTGAGAGCCAAGGCTCGGGGAGCCCAGACCCCAACTGCTGAAGTTTAACCAGCTAAACCCACACAGCTTGCCAACGAGAGCACTGCCTGGCAAGCTTTCCCGCTGCTTGTCCAGCTGGGGCCACCCTACCCGTCTGGGCTTTAGCTTGCAGGGTTAACAGGAGTCTAACCAGCTAAAACCACACAGCTTGCAAATATGGGGAAACGGATAATAATATAATAATAATAATAATCCTTGCATTTGATACAGCGCTTTTCATGTCTTCTCGACGTCTCAAAGCAGTTCACAGAATAGACTGTAAAGTGAATTGACTGCATATTTGTGGGTGAAACGCGGCAGCCAATTGCGCACGGCAGCGTCCCCACAAACAGTCGTGGATTTATGGGAAAGAGATGGGAGCCAATGGCACTTTGTGCAGGGGACAGCCTGAAGTGATGGCCTCTGGCACGGCTTACCTGGATGCCCTTCTCACCAGTTGGGCCAAGAAAACCTCGGTCTCCTTTGCCGCCCTAACACAATTGACAGAAGCAGATTGTTAGACTTTGGAAGAACAAGCTACCTTTCTTTTTCCCCCCCGATTTCCTCCCCGCTTCCTCAGATGATCTTTTGTACCTTCTCCCCCCTCTCCCGTTTCCCCAAAATGGCTAGTTTTCTTGTGTGAACCATGATGGTGAGGGTTTGACCCTGGCGATCCCAGGCCCGTCTTTTTTTTTCGTTAGACGGGGTCTGACACGTACAGAAACCCATCAACATTGCTTAAGAATATCCAAACCAAACTAAGAATTCCACAAATCCCACCTACACATGGAAATCCCAGAGTTAGATTGTTGGAATGGAATGCGCTCTCTCTCCCTGGAGGTTCACATCCTGCTGATCTAATTCTGGACAGTATTAGGGACAGGTTGGCAAGAGCCAAGGCTTGGGGATCCCAAAATGGCAAGCTGATATTGCCGGTGGCTGCTCGTGCAGCTAGGACCACCGTACCCGTTAGGGGTTTGGCTTGCAGGGTTAACAGGAACTGGGTGGAAGGATTCCCTGCCCCCAGCCCGCCCTTACAAGTCCTGCCGACGAGCCAGGCTGGGTTGTGCAGCGGACCCGCCTGGCTCGGGAACAGGGCTAGAGACCGTCACAGAGGGCTGCCTCGATTCTGACATTCCGTTGCCAAACATGTCACCTTGGAGACAGTTCAGCTTCCTCTGATCCAAAGAGGATAGTCAACTGAGTCTCCTCCCAGTCCTGTCCTTGACAAACATTCACGCCCAAGTGATGTCACCCCTGGGCGAGGCGAGGTGGGGGTGGGGGGGAGGAGGTTGGGGGAGACACGGAGGCCAATCTTCAATAATAATCTTAGCATTTGGTACAGCTCCTCATCAGGAGGACATCCCAAAGAACTTCATTGGCTATACTGCCAAGTGGTGTGACTGTAATAATAATACTTGCATTTGATATAGCGCCTTATTGTGTCATTGAGATGTTTCAAAGTGCTTCACAGGATATACTGTATATTTTGCGGGTGAAACACGACAGCCTAAAAGAGGGGAAGGAGGGGGCAATGTGAAGAGATTGAGTGAGAGAGCTTGAAAGCTTCGGGGGAGAAGTGGCTGAAAGCACAACCGCCAACGGTGGAGCAGAGGGGATGAGGGACAAACATGAGGCTGGAGCCAGCTGAGCGTGGGCAGTGAGTAGTGAAATGGGAAGAAAAGTCAGAGAGGTGGAGGTGGGTGCCAGGCAATGAAGGGATTTGTAGACAGTGCAGCATTGCTAGGAAAGGTGCTTGGACCCTGGACGTTGGGCTCATCTCGGAAAACAGCTCACCGTGGTAATGGGGAGGGCAGGATGGACATCCTGGAAGGAAGTAATCAACTGGGCTAAACGTCTCTTGTGATCTTGTGACACACAACATGCACGGGAGTAAGCAAAAATGGATCGTTACCTTGAGTCCTTCTGGACCTTTTGAGCCAGGCGGTCCCGTGTCTCCCTAATAGAAGAAGAGACAGCAAAATTAGACAGAGGAATGGTAGGTCACCTCAGACTGTGCAATTCCAATTTGAACCTAAACCATTCCGTCTCAGAGGCGATATTCATTAGACATTGTTTGACGCTTCTCCTCTGAGGTTTTCAATGGGGGGGAGAGGAAATTAAGGGGAGGAGGGTGGGGGTTCACATACCGTCTTCCCGGTGTTTCCTTCCACCCCGGGGGGGCCTGCATGACCTTTGCTCCCTTTGAAGCCTGGTATTCCCGGGAGGCCGGGAGGTCCTGCTGGGCAGCTGGCACAAGCGTCCTGGGAGAATCAGAGAACAGTTTACAACAGGGGAGCATCACGGATCCCAAAGGCTGTTGCTTTTATTCCATCTGCCAATTTGGGATGCCACCTCTCAACTCAATTGTCGCCCATCTCAGCATTTCACCTGGAGGAAGGCACCATAGGCAATCCGTCCCTCCCAAACTCGCATTGCGAAGGTGAAGACAGCCGGCCACACACATACACACCCACACTCACACTCAAACAGACACACACGCATACACACACACGCATACATGCGTACACACGCCCGCGCACGCAAACGCACACCCACACCCACACAAGGCAACTTGGAAGTTTGGGATGTTATTATAATAATAATCCTTGCATTTGATATAGCGCCTTATCAAGACAGTGTCAGCGAGGACTGTGAGCTCAAAAATCTGCAACTTGGGGGCTTGAACCCACAACTCCTGGCTCAAGGTGCGAGAATGTGAGCGACTGAACCACACAAAGTTATCCGCAATCATTCATTCAGTCATTGTTAGAGAAGAATTCAGACAGCAAAGGAGCTTTTGAAAGAAGTTGGCGAAACATTTTTCAATATTATTCTGCATTATTATTGAAAAATGAAAGATTAGAAATGTTTTGAGATTTTTTTGGCTGTAGAAGAGAAAGCAAAGACTTTACCATTTCCTGAATGTTTCTTATCCCTTTCTTTTCTGCTTTAGCCAATTGTCTGCCCTCCTCTCCTTGTCTCGTGCCGTAAACTTCACTATATTTTGTGGGCGAAACGCAGCAGCCAATTACGCAAAGCAGTTTCCCACAAACTCTCATGGAATGAGCGACCACATTTCTTTTGTTTTTGAGGGATTATTACCCCCGGACAAGCTATCCGCCAATCGGCTAACGACCGAGTTCCTACTTGCTGCGAGGTAAGCAAAGTAAGTCTGGAGTAAGGAAACTTGCTCAACGTTTTGCCCCACCCGGGAATCGAACCCAGGTCCTCTCGCTTGCGAGGCGAATGTTCTAACCACTAAGCTACAGGACTCCATACCCTTACCTAACACATGTCTATCCACCTCAGTCTTGAAAATTTGAATGGATCAGCGTCCACAGTGTTTTCAGTAGGTTTGTCGAGCCTCCCACCCATTCCATGTGGTGAAGATCCCACCATCACTCAGCTGGACTTCATCTACTGCCCATCCCTGCAAACCTTCCAAGGTGAGATGGTCAAACCACTCACCTGAACCAAGCCTCTTATATCTCCCCTTGAGATAATGGGTAATGATGCCTGTTGGGCAAAGAATATCTTGGTTTAATCAGTGAACAAAGAGAATCTCACTCTCTCATTGATAGTTCCTCCTCACTACCCCATCACCACCTCCATGGGATCTAATTCAGGAATGATGTATGGTAAAGGAAGCATTCTGATGCAAGCAGTGTGAAGCTTCGGAGCGAGGTGGGAAAACAAAGGAAGTAAAACAGGGAAAAGAAGGAAAGGAAAAGGAACTGTTTCAGTCTTGAGAGAAAAAGGCTCAGATGGGACCTCAGAGAGATGTGTACCATTTTCAATGGGATTGGAAAAGTAAACCCACATCAATACTTTAGGATGGGCACCAAGGCAGTAGAACAAGAGGACACAGGTTTAGAGGTTTAAAGGGGCAATTTCAGGACGGATACCAGGAAGTATTGCTCTATCCAGAGGGTAATTAACGACTGGAACAAGGTTACCAGGACATTGGGAGTCGTTAAAAAAGCAGCTCGATGCTGTGATGGGGTGGGGGAGGGGTTACTGGAGGATGAGAGAGGATGGGCGGAAAATCTTCTTCGTGTGGACCATGGGAGACTGGAACTAAAATGGAGAGCTCTTTCAGAGAGCCAGTACAAGACGATAGGTCTGTGAATGACATGGTGCAATTCCCAGCCACGTTTGACAAAAATAGGCCCCAAAGAAGCAATCGTTCAACTGAGCGTTCAGGTTCTTCTCGGTGGAGAAGACCAAATGCCGACTGTTCCACCTCCAGCAACAGCGTGAGCAGCGATTGTGGTTTGTGAATATCTCCCCTCCACTCGGGCGAAGGGAGAGCCGAAGGGAAAGCTGGGGGCAGCCGATGGGGAGCGAGCAGTGTAAATTGGGGCAAATCAGAACAAGAACAAATGGGCAAAGTATAAAGTAAGTGTGTAAGGAAAAAGAGGGAGAGGCCGCTGAGACAGGCGCACGTCAACCCCAGGGTTTTGACTATCATAGGACAAGAGAGATAGTGACGTACGGGTTCCCCCGGGGCTCCTGGGTCACCTGGCAGACCGGGCACGCCCTGAAAAACAAAACAAAGATCAAATCACATCCACAGAGGAGCAATTCCACTTCTCTGACTTCTCTGACTTGGAGGAGAGAGTGCCATGCTGGAGATTACAAGGGCCAATTCTTCATCAGAGGGCATTGGCGAGCCAAATCCCAATGCGAGTACTGGAGGCATCCTGGCCAGACAGTGGCAGTTGTTAACAATCCAGTGGCTTCTATAATGTTGGTTTAAATCACCCAATTAATGGAATTCATATCATACAATGACCTTGGCTGGACCTCAGGACCACCAGGTTTCCAGTGCAGTGTTGTTCCAATCCCTGCTCAGTGCTGAGGTGTTTATTAATAATAATAATCCTTGCATTTAATATAGCGTCTTATCATGTTGTTGAAACGTCTCAAAGTGCTTCACAGGATACACTGTAAAATGGATTGACTGTGTATTTCATGGGCGAAACATGAAAGCCGGTTAAGCACCACAATGTCTCACAAACAACCGTGGAGTGACTGACCAATTTTACTGGGGCAACTGTTGGCCAGGACACCGTGAGAGAGAAACTCCCTTCTCTTTTCCAATAGAGCGGGATCGTTAACGTCTACCCGACGGCACCTCCAACAAAGCAACTGGAGTGTCATCTTAGACGATGTGATTCCAAGTTCCGAGGTGGGGCTCGAACCCACAACATTCTGACTCCTTGACAAGAGTGCCCCCACTGCGCCAGGCTGACACACGATGTATAGCATGGCGAAGGTAAAGGAAAGCGGGTTAGTGAGTGACATAAGGCATTAGAGTTTTCAATTAAGACGTAAGGTGATTGACTCTTCACTTACGTCTTGCCCGGCGGGTCCTTGTTGGCCGGGCACTCCCGGAAGCCCTCTGGGGCCCTGTGAAACAAAATGAACATTCGCAACACTTCTCACAGACACCGAGTGCCACCTGACATGCAATCGCGCTGCAAGGGAAGCTGTGGATGAACCCAAAGAAACAAACTCCAAGAGGAAACATGAGGCACAGGAGAGTGAGAAGGGAATATAGCGGGATGGGAGAGGGTGAAGCAGGTTGAGAGGGCCAAGGTGGGGAAAGAACAATCAACCATGATATCACAACCCCTTTCCAATGATGCTTGGTTGGATGTCCCAGCTTGTAGGCTTAACAGGAGCTGAGTGGGAGGATTGCCTGACCCTAGTGGCTGGTCTGCCCAATAAGCCAAGCTGTGCTGTCATCAGCAGTGTCCTGGAATATTGTGGATCCATCTGGCTCAAGATCCGGACCAGAGGCCATCAACGAGGGTGGGCTCAATGCCAACGTTCAATATATCTTAAAAGGAGTCATTTACAGGGGTTTGGGGTGAGGAGGGACAGGTAAAGAGACTGAATGGATTGCTGTTTCTCAGAGCAACCGAAAATATCATGATTTGATTCGAAGAATGGGTCAAAAGAAAACAAAATTCAAAGAAATCTTCAACTTTAAGCCAATCTCCTTGCCCACGTTGCCCTTCACAGCGCCCATACCGAAAATCCCCTGTCACCTGCCGGTCCTGTGGGGCCCTGAAAGAAGAAGGGAGAAAAATAGTGAACTCGCTAAAATAGAAATCCAACACCGATTTTTACACTTACACAGCCTTTAACGTCGGGAAGATGTCTCAAGGCGCTTGACAGTCCTGGCTGGGCACCTGAGCAGTTGGGGCTGGAAGCCGGGGGTTGGGGAGGGGAGATTACTGAAAATGCGGTCCCAGACATCTTGAGAAGTGTCCGTGAATGTAACATGTTGTCTGTCCAGCTCGGACCACCCTACTTGATAGGACTTTGGCTTACAGGGTTAACAGGAGCCGAGTTGAAGGATTCCCTGCCCCCAGTGACTGGTCTATTGAGTCCTGCGATGAGCCAGGCCGGGCTGTGCTGTCATCAGCAGTGCCCTGGAATACTGTGGACCCACGTGGCTGAGGGTCAGGACTAGAGACTGTCACAGAGGGCTGACTCGATTCTGACATTTCATTGCCAAACATGTCAAATTGGAGATACGTCCTCCTTAGGAGACCCATCTTACCTCCTGTATAATAATAATAATCCTTGCACTTGATAGAGCGCTTTTCACGTCGGGAGGACGTCCCAAAGCGCTTCACAGAACACACTGTAAAGTGAATTGACTGTATATTTGTGGGCGAACGTGGCAGCCAATTGCGCACAGCAATGTCCCACAAACAGTCGTGGATGGAAAATGACCAATTTATTATTGTTTTTGGTTTTGGAGGATTATTATTAGGCTCTGTGTGGAGTAAGGAAACTTGCCCAAGGTTTCGCCCTCTGCCTGGAATTGAACTCAGGTCTCTCGCATGCAAAGCGAGTGCTCTGACCACTGAGCTACAGGACTCCACAATAACAATAATGTGGCTTTCATGTTTCCTTTCTCCACACGCCCCTGTTTACCTAGCAGTAAGTAGGAATCCGATGGTTAGTCGATTGGCAGATCACTTTTTGGGGGTAATAATCCCTCCAAAAAAAATAGAAATTGGTCACTCAATCCACGACTGTTTGTGGGACATTGTTGTCAATTTTACCCACAAAATATACAGTCAATCCACTTTACGATATATTCTGTGAAGTGCACTGATACATCTCAACGTCATGATAAGGCGCTATATCAAATGCAAGGATTATTATTATTAATAATAGAAAAGTGTGGCTGCCCTTTTTCTGTGTAATCGGCTGCAAACGTTCCCTCCCCCGGCCTCCGCGCGCTGTTTGCTCGTCGCAGCCGCTGTCGATGGAGCGGCGCCGCTCGTGCGCGGCGCGGGTGGAAGGTCGGCTGCGCCCGTTGGTGAGCGAACCACGATCGAAATACCCAGCTGCGTGACAGACACTACTGCGGTCTGCTCGCCCGACACCGAGCTCCCGCGACAAATTTTCGTTCAGTGCTTCGCCATTCAAATGAACATTTTTAGTTTTCAGTTAAACGCGACTACGCGTTCAGGAAATATACGGCTACAGTTTTAATCCAGGCTGTTTCCCGAAACGCGTCCCCTCAATAGCACCAATCAAGCCTCTGCAGTTTGCTGCAAAATTTGTCAAAAGGCCCGCAATTATTGGCAACTATTTGGGCAAATATTTTCTATTGGCCCCAGCTCATGACTCGTGATGCGACGGACGGAAGCACAATGGTCCAGGCATCACAATGGGAGCGGTGAGGCAACACATCAGTATAAAAAGGCTGCGCGACAACACCACCGGCAGTCAGAGACGCGGCTGAATCTCAATCATGGCAAGAGGTCGTTCCCACAGGAAGAGGTCCGGACGGGCAAAGAAGGGGAAAAAGCGAGTACGCCATCACCGCCATCACCGCCATCACCGCTCGCGACGAGGGGGGAGACACAGGCAGCTACAGCCATAAACAACCAGAACATTGAGAACATGGAAAAACAAGACCTATTTCGCTATCCCGAGGGATCAAGAGTAGAGTCTTGACCACCATGAACAAACCCTGCCCCCCGAGTCCTGTCTCGTCTTCTACCCTCACCGTCACATTGACCCCCCACCCCACCCCCCGCTCTCCTCCGTGGGACCTTCATCACCGTCACACTGCACCCCCCACCCCCCACCCCCCACCCCTAGCTCCCTGCTACATGGGACCATTATCTCCACTCCTCCCCACACCTTGTTGATTTGTTGTCAGTGAATAAAAGCAAATGATGCTTCAAAAACATGTGTATTTTGAGTTTCTTATGGCTTAAGCACCAGATGAGATACTGTGGACCTGTTAATGGGATGTTAGTGGCTTTGATAATACAGTTTCTTAAGATGATACCGTACCTAGCCCTGTAAAAAAATAGTATTCCTTGCATTTGATACAGCGCCTTTCACATTAGATGGATGTTAGGGTGGGGATTGGGGCTGGGGTTGGGCCGGCTGGGTTACTTAACTATGGTTACTTACCTGCAGTCCAGGAAGCCCCACACCAGGAGGGCCAACGTCTCCCGGTAACCCAGGGTGACCAGATTCTCCTGGGTCTCCCTGCAAAAACAAAATAAAATTAGAATAACTGCGACGTGGTAAGTCAAATAGCTAGAGATGTGGTTTGTGATGTAGTATGTGATACGGTTCCCTCACAAAATTAGAGATGTGATTAGTGATGTGGTTAGTTTAGAACAATAATAATCCTTGCATTTGACATGGCACCTTATCACATCTCCGAGATGTTTGAACATTTACAGAATATGAATTGACTGTATATTGTGTGGGCGAAACCCGGCAGCCAATTGCGCACAGCAGCGTCCCACAAACAGTCGTGGATTGAGTGACCAAATCAGTATTATTTTAAAATTAGTTTTTGAAGGGATTTTTACCCCCACAAAAGCAGTCCGCCAATCGACTAACAACTGCGTTCCTACTTACTGCTCGGTAAACAGAGGTGTCTGATAGTAAGGAAACTTGTCCAACGTTTCACCCTCCCCAGGAATCAAACCCAGGTCCTCTCGCTTGCGAGGTGAGTGCTCCAACCACTACGTTGTGAGACGTTTAGAAGACGTGATAAGGCGCTATATCAAACGCAAGGATTATTATTATTATTCAGTGTAGTGACTTTGATTCATTGGGGGACTAAATAATAATAATCCTTGCGTTTGACAATGCACCTTATCACGTCGTTGAGACAACTCAGTGCTTCCCTGTAAAATGGGTGGATTATACTTTTGTGTGATAAGGTGTGATAAAGTGCTATATCAATTGTAAAGATTATTATTGTACAGTATTATTATTTGCCACATAGCGTTTGCGTTAAGTACCTCCCGGATACTCACCCTCACAAAACTCGGTACCCCCCCCCCCATCACACCAGTCCTCGCCAGACTCCACTGGCTTACAATCACCGAACGGATCGCTTTCAAGACCCTCTCACTCGTCTTCAAGTCCCTTAATCCGTATCCCTATCCATGCAATCTGCAAGTTGTTGTTGTTGTTCTTGTTGTGATGTTGTCAGTGATGCAGTTATTGATGTGGTTTGTCTTTGTGGTTAGTGATGTTGTGATAAAGTTAGTGATACAGTTAGTGATGTAGTGCTGCGTTTCTCCCACAAAATACGCAGTCAATTCGCTTGACAGTGTATTCTGTGAAGCGCTTTGAGAGGTCTCAAAGACCTGATAAGGTGCCATATCAAAGGCAAGGATTATTATTATTTAGCGTAGTGACTGTGTAATTTGTCGGCGTATGCAACAATCACAATGAATTTCTGCACAGCAAAGATCCAGGAAATGAGGGTGCAATTTATTGGGAGGATTGTTGGCCACTAAATAGTGTTGTCGGCTCTTTCAATAATAATAGTTGTGTTTGAGGGGCCACACCTTATCGTGTCAGCGACATGTCTCAAATCTCATCGCTTGATTTACTGTGAAGTGTAGTGACTGTGGCAAAACATGGCAGCCGACTTGCGCACACCAACGTCTCGCAGTCATAAAGTGACCAACTTTGGGGCATTTTAACGCCCACGTGAACAGACAGGACTTGGGCTCAACATCTCAACCAAAGCACTGCATACATAGCTCTGACAAACCTAACTGCCTTGGAAGAATCAACTTAAATTGGGAGCTCAAAGAGCCCTAATGTGGGCCTTTAACCCCACCCGGCAAATCCTACCCACCTACGGGGTTGGCACACTTTATGACTATTGCTTTCAATCTGACGTCCCATAGCGGTTAGTGCGCTCGCCTCGCAAGTGAGAGGATCCGGGTTTGATTCCCGGGTGGGAGCGAAAATGTCGGCAAGTTTCCTTTCTACATAAGCCTCTGTTTGCCCAGCTGTTAGTAGGAACTAGCGGATCACTTTCCTGGGGTAATAATCCCTCAAAAAAAAGAAATGTGATCACTCGATCCACGACGGTTTGCGGGACACTGCTTCCGCGCAATTTGCTGCCGAGTTTTGCACACAAGTACATGGTCAATCCACTTGACGGCATATTCTAGCGAAGCGCTGAGTGATAAGGCGCTGTGTCAAATGCAAGGATTGTTACGATTATGATTATTGTTAATTTAATGATTTAGAATAGGAGGATCAGACGCATGTGGCTGACTGACCTTATAAGGCCACGAAACATGACCGCTCGGGCGATAGCTTTGCACAGTGATGAGCGCCTTATAAGGTCACAACTGACCAAATGGCCCAGGCATCACAATGGGAACAGGGATGGCTCGGCCTGGGGATCAGTATAAAAAGGTCAAAGATTTCCCTCAAACAGGAGTCAGAGACCACGGCTGAATCTCAATCATGGCAAGAGGTCGTTCCCACAGGAAGAGGTCTGGACGGGCAAAGAAGGGGAAAAAGCGAGTACGCCATCACCGCCATCACCGCCATCACCGCTCGCGACGAGGGGGGAGACACAGGCAGCTACAGCCATAAACAACCAGAACATTGAGAACATGGAAAAACAAGACCTATTTCGCTATCCCGAGGGATCAAGAGTAGAGTCTTGACCACCATGAACAAACCCTGCTCCCCGAGTCCTGTCTCGTCTTCTACCCTCACCGTCACATTGACCCCCCATCCCAGCCCAGCCTCCTGCTACATGGGACCATCATCTCCACTCCTCCTCCTCCTCCTCCTCCTCCTCATATCTTGTTGATTTGTTGTCAGTGAATAAAAACCTCAGAAAATGATGCTTGAAAAAAAAAACGTTTCGAGTTAAAACATTTGGCTCAAGCACTATACGAGATAGTGTAGACTTGCTGATGGGATGTTAGTGAACGTCAGCAATAAAATAATGTGCTCAATCTCTTATGCCTTCACGGGCCATAGAAAGTGAATGCAAATGCCATGCGGCCAATAATAATATAATCATAATCTTTACATCTGATAGAGCACCTTAACACCTCGTTGAGATGTTTGCGCTTCATTATAATATATTGTTAAAAGTGTATTTTGCGAGCAAACACAGCAGGCAATTACACTGTATCCCACAAACAGTTCTGGATTGAGCGACAGNTTTTTTGAGGGATTATTTATTACCCCTGGAAAGCGATCCGCCAATCGACTAACAACCGGTATGTGGTTAACAACTGCTAAGGTAAACAGGCCTGCGGAGTAAGAAAACTTGCCTAATAATTAAAATAGCCCTTGCATTTGATACGGCGCTTTTCACATCTTCCGAGATGTCTCAAAGCGCTTCACAGAATATACTGTAAAGTGACATTGAGAAACAACCTAACATTCTGGGATTCACAAGTACATACAGACAGGACAAATCAGCTGTTATAGACCAACACTGCGCTGTTGTGGGTCGATTGTTTAATCGCAATTTGTGGTTATAATAATCCTTACACTTGATATGGAGCCTTTCGCGACAGGACATCCCGAGGCGTTTCATAAGATTTACTGTAAAGTGCAGTGACTGTGCATTTTGTGAGCAAAATGCGGCTTCAGCTCGCGCACGGCAACGTCCAGCAAACAACCGTGGCGCGAGGGACGAATTTTATCTGGGGGATAGTTGGCTAGGACACCGGGAGAGAGAAATTCCCCTCTCTCGCTACGGGATCTTTAACGTCCACCTGAACAGGGCAAGATGGGGTCTTGGTTTCACGTCTCATCCAAAGGACAATGCAGCACCAGTATCTGATTATGTGCGTACGTGTGTGTGTGTGTGTGTGCGTGCGTGCGCGCGTGTGCGCGCGTACGTGTGCGTGTGTGTCCCCGTCGTCATATTTTTTTTTAAACCGAAAAAAATGAAATACAAAGCTCGTTGGAATAAGCCCTTCGACATCTGGGTTGAAAACGTGGCCCAAAAAGGCAGGAAGTGTACATGGCGGGCTCTACCCTGAGCTCACACCTCCACAGGCGATGACTTACCCAACGCTCATTGGCTCACCTTGTGTCCTTGGGGTCCTGCCAAGCCAGGCGCTCCAGGATGCCCCTGCAAACGCCAAACAGGATCAAAGTAAACACCTGGTCCAGAGACGTGGCAGGTTCGTTAACAGGACGATAGTCTGGTCGTTAAGGTAGCTGCACGCTTTATAGGTCACGTCTTGTATCGTAGCCGTTGACTGCGACAGAGTATTACGGGCAAAGAGACGCGGAGCAAGTTCGGAGCGAGTCGACAAGAGTTGCGGGAGAACGTGTGAGTCGGCCCAATCGACGAGCCCAGATGTGTCAGGTTACTCATGTCGCAAGATCTCCCTCACAAACCCCGGCCATCGTGCGGTAACGGTTACTCCGTCACGCAAACAAACAGACATCGATTGAATAATCACCCTCCACGGCTGACAACAGGGCGTTATCACAAATAATAATCCCTGCGTCTGATGCAGACCCTTCGCACATCGTCAGTACGTCTCGCAGCACTTCACAGGATATACTATAAAGTGTAGTGACTGAGTGCAGCGACTATGTGTTTTCTAGGCGAAGGTGGCAGCCAATTTTGCGCATAAAAACTACCCACAAATATCCTTGAAGTCAATGAGCGACTTTTATGTGGTGGATTGTCAGCTAATACACTGGGAGAGAGAAACTCCCTTCTCTTTTCGAACAGCGCTGCCGCCAGCGCAACTCTTTAACGTCCGCCTGGACAGGCACGGATGAGGCCTCGGTTTAACGTCTCAACCAAAGGATGGCACCTCTTACAATGCATTGCTCTCCCCAGCATTGCACTGGAGTGTCGTCCTAGACGAGACGGGTTCCAAGTCCGACACGGGGCTTGAGCTTACAACCCTGCGACTCAGAGGCCAAATTTATGACTGAGCCAGGCTGCTAAAACATCGAAGCATCTTAAAGCTCCTGTCCTGGGGGGGATTTGCTGTCTGGTGTAGTGACTATGTGGTTGTCGGCAAATGGATGGACAATCCATTGGTCGGGGTCCAAATTAAAAGGCAGATCAAAAACAATAATAAACACAAACGACTGGATAATCACCTTTCTTATAACAATAAGGGCGTTATAACAAATAATAATCCTCGCATCTGATGAGACGCCTTATCACATCACGATAAGGCGCTGCATCAAACACGGGAATTATTATTTATAATCCTATCTTGCTCTATAAGTAAGGATTATTATGTATAATCCTAGCCTGCTCGAGCCATTAACTCTTCCCTCATGTATTTGATGTCTCCATCAAATTTTTTTTTTAAAAAAATCATCATTATTCATCATCGTCGCCGACAATATGGAGCTCTCTTCCTCCATCCCTCCATCTTGCCCCCTCCTGCAATTTCAGGACAGACATCAGGAAGGTTTTCTTTACCCCGAGGGTAATTAACAACTGGAACAGGGTTACCAGGAAGGGTGGTTGAGGCCAGGACATTGGGACTCGGCTAAAAAACACCTGGATGCTGTGGTAGGAGGATGGTAGGGTGGGTTGTTCTGGAGGGATGAGATCAGATAGGCTGAAGGATCTCCAAATATTGGGATCCACTGGGGACTAAAACAGATTTTAAACTCCTCCGCGCCCTCCCCTCCCGGCCCCCCCACCACCAGACATACAAACTTACCATTTTTCCGGCTCTCCCCTCTCCCGGTACGCCGGGAATCCCCGGGGAACCAGCCTGGCCCACAGCTCCAGGTGGACCTAGCTCTCCATCTCTCCCAGGCTCCCCCTGAACACGACCAGCAGCCGAGAGGTTTGGGGTGAAACAGGGAGAAGGAAGAAGTAATTCCACACGTGCAAAGGTCTCGAAACGTTTCGCACTGATTGCTGTCAGGGACTTTAAGCGCCTCTGGGACTCTACCCTGCATGAGGGGCACAATATAAATGCAAGTTGTTGTTGTCACATTAGTCATTACTTTGGGGGGGGTGGTGGCAGGGAAACACAGGAGAGATTTTACACACTGCACGATCAGCCGTGGAATGAATGACAGATTTTATCTGGGGGATTATCGGCCAGAATACCGAGAGAGAGAGAGAGAGAGAGAGCAACTCTTTTCTCTTTTCCACCGGCGCTGTGGGATGTTTAATGTCCACCTGAATAGGCAGAGAGAGGACCTTGCTTTAACTTCATCCTAAGGATGCAACACCCCCCGCCCCCCCACCCCCAGCGCCAGCTCAGACTCCAAGTACGTATCACTTTGCCTGTCTCTAACACATTCCCAGCAGCAAAGCTTTCTTACCTTCTGCCCATTTACACCATCAGCCCCTGATGGGCCCACACCACCTGGCGTCCCCTGTGGCAGTGAGAGAGATTGTGGTTGGTTAGATTTGGCGCTCGCACATCACAGGACGGGTCAGGGTGATGAAAGTCCCCTCGACCTATTTGAGCTCGTCCAATAATAATAATAATGATAATAATAATAATAATCCTTGCGTTTGAAACAGCGCCTTATCACGTCGTTGAGACATCTCGAAGCGCTTCACAGAATATACTGCGAAGTGTATAGATTGACTGTGTAATGTGTGGGCGAAACGCAGCAGCGAATTACGCACAGGAGTGTCCCACAAACAGTCATGGATTTTGAGGGATTATTACCCCCGGAAAGCGATCTGCCAATCCGCTGTCAACTGGGTTCCTACTCACTTCTAGGCAAACAGAAGCATGTGGAGTAAGGAAACTTGCCTAAGGTTTCGCCATGCCCGGGAATCGAACCTGAGACCTCTCACGAGCAAGGTGAGCGCAAGGTTGGGTGTTAAGTCTACAGAGCTTCGCTCTTGCAGTGCACCTACCACGCTGCCTGGCAATCCGTGGGCTCCCGGCAGACCTGGGCTTCCCCCAACGCCCTGTTATGAGAGAGAGGAGATGTTCATTAACATGCTCATTAACCCTCCAAGCCACGTAAATACGTCCGGTGATTCAGATCTCCGCCGCCCGCATACTGCCTCATCACACCAGTCCTCACCGGGCCCACTGGCTCCCTATCACAGAATGAATCGATTTCAAGATCCTCTCACTCGTCTACAAATCCCTTCATGGCTTGGCACCTCCCTACCTCTCCGACCTGCTTACTCCCCTCCTCACCACCCGCTGCCTCCGCTCGGTCGGCTCAAGCTTCTGCTCATCGCTCGTCCCCTCCATTCCACCAACGGTAGTTGGGCTTTTGGCTGTGCTTATGGTCACCTCTTCCCTCCCCTCGGCTCGGTGTCAGCTACTGTTAAGCGCTCAGAGACACTGCCCTGCATGAAGGGTGCTGTATAAATGCAGGTTGTTGTGGTCCGTGTCCAACATGGACACAGGGCCGCTCTCCTGGGACAACAACAATAATAATCCTTACGTATTATACAGCGTCTTTCACATGAGGAGAACATTGTAGAGTCACTGTACATTTAGCCAACACACCCCGTGTGTCAAGCTGACTCAGCTCGACTCTTAGTCAGGGCCTTAGTTGGGACTTGGAATCATATAGTCTTAGGGTCCAACCTTCTGGCTGCTGAGGGCCGGATGCCCTATTTCAGAAACTTCTGCGGGATGCATAAGCAATATTTTTGTGTTTCCCTTCCAGAAACAAAACATAACATTCATGGGTTATGGAGAGAGAGGATGGACCAGATGAAATGGGGGTGGGGGGAAAGAGGATGAAACTAAATTCATCCAATTGGACCACCCTGGGCCTCCAGCACAGTGCTGGGATGCAATTGGCGAATTTGATTCATAGGAAATCCTTCTTTGGATTTGAGCTCACAGTCCAATTTGCAAATGGAGCCATCCCATATCTTTTGGTGATCATAAGTACCTCACTCCAGGTTCACAGCAGACAGGGAGGGGTTGGTCAAACTCGACAACTTACCATGTCTCCTTTTGCCCCTGGTTTCCCAGGAAGCCCGTGTTCACCTTTCGCACCCTAGGTGAAAAGAAAGGCTTGTGAGAGAACTGCTGATTAGACTTCTGTAGAACCACAGGCATTTACAGCACAGAAGGCCGTTCGGCCCATCGTGTATGTGCTGGCTCTTTTAGGAGCAATCCTTTCAGTCACGTTACTTGCTTACAATGAGCAGAGCTCGTTAGTTGGAGTGCCGCTCTGGGCTGAGTTTCCTGGTCCCGGCCGGGGCTACGAAGGAGAGGTTGAATTATCCCTGGTGAATTCCAGGGTTAGGGAGGGGGAAACCAGCCAGGCTTCCTGCTCCTGGTCCTCTACGACACCTGTTTGCGTGTGTGTCGGATGGGGAGAGGTCAGGCTTGGCTGTGACGTCCTCTATAGGGGAATGATTAAGCGACACTCATTGCCCAGCCTTACACATGGACAATAGTTACTCGGGGTGAGGGGTACTGAAGGCCAACCAGAGCTCGAAGGAATTGCACCCCAGAGAGGAGAGGCCAGACTAGGGGCAGAGACGAAGGTCAGACCAGAGGCAAATAGAGAGGCCAGACCAGGGGCAGAGAGAGAGAGAGAGAGACCAGACCAGGGGCAGAGAGAGAGAGAGAGAGAGAGACCAGACCAGGGGCAGAGAGAGAGAGAGCCCAGTGGCAAAGAAGAGGAGTGGGGAGAAAATTAGAAATAAATAATTGGATACGCCATTTTCTCGAAGAAAACAATAGTTGGTTGATCTGAGAGAGCATTGCTTACCTTAACTCCTGCAGGACCTCTTCCGCCCGGATTGCCGTGGGAACCCTGAAAAGCAAAGGGTTAAAGCCGCTAGAAAAATGACCCACTGAATGTGATGGGACCACAGGTGCGTTAGCTGATGTTAATTGGTGGCTTTTGCTGATTCGCAGCTCTCAAGAGTTCGTTTGCCTCCGTCGGTATTTCTCTGTCCTGCAGGTTGTGGGTTCAGTAAAAATAAATAATCTTTGCATTTGATATACCACCTCATCGTGTCGTTGAGAGGTCTCAAAGCGCTTCACGGGATACACCGTAAAGTGCAGTGACTGCGCGTTTGGTGGGCGAAACGTGACGCCCAATTGGTGTCCCACAAACAGAGATGGTGAGTGACCGATTTGGATGGGGGTTGGGGGCTGGGGCGGTGGTAGGGGCGGGGGTTGGAGAGGGGAAGCGTGGGAAACGGGGAAGGAAAATTACAGGGGGAATAAAATGAAGGGAAATACTTCCAGCTTGCGAAATTGCCTCTTTAACAGGAGAGTCGGTGGCGTGACTCGCGCGCGGCCAGTGATTTATTTTAATGGCATTCCCTGCGTCTGTTCAGCCTGCAAAGCCCCTGCTCCGTTCCCCAGTCTAATATCTAACGGTGTGAAATCCCTGGCCCTGTCCTGGAGGTAAATGTGTTCCTCATATTAGAATGAATAAAGTTTCCCGCAGAGGCCAAGGGGAGAAACTGTGGCTTTGAGGTTTAATAGCCGAGAGAGATTATTACAGTTAATCCATGCTTGTCTGCACGGAGAGCTCAGCGGGTACCGATCGGCTCCCCATGTGCAAGGCTAGACACTATTAACGTAACGCTTCCTGTTCCCACCATCACTGGGCTGTGAATTCGCTGCCTCTCATCGGCTCTCACCCCCCACCCCCAACCCCCCCCCCACCCCCGCACGCATCATCCGTCCTTCAGATGAGACGTTAAACCGAGGCCCCGTCTGTGTTCAGGTGGATGTGAAAGATCTCGCGGTGCAATCGGAAGAGAGAGGGGAGTTTTCTTTCTCTGTGCCCTACCTGAGACGATAAAATTGGTCGCTCACTCTGTGGCTGTTTGTGGGACGCTGCCGTGTGCGATTGGCTGCCACGCTTCACCCACAAAAAATACACGGTCAATCCAGTTTACAGCATATCCCGTGAAGCACTTTTGAGCCATCTGAATGACGTGATAAGGCGCTATATCAAAGATTATTATTATTATAATGTTTCAGGCTCTGGCTTCAAGTCAAGACATCTCAAAGCGCTTCATAGGATTTTCTATAAAGCAATAGAGACTGTGTATTTTGTAGGCAAACTTGACAGGCAATTTCCGCACAGCAACGTCCCGCAAACAGCCAAGAAGTGATTGAATGATTTTAACTGGGGGGTTGTTGACCAGGACACCGGGGCAGAGAGAAACTCTCTTCCCTTTTCTGATAGCGCCGCGGGATCTTTGACTTCCACCTGAACAGGCACATCCTCAGCTTAAAATTCGCACGCAGGACGGCACCTTTGAGAATGAGCGCTCCCCCCAGTACTGCACTGGAGCATCAGCCTGGAATGTGAGCTCAAAGTACCCAACGTGGGGCTTGAACCCACAATTTTTTGACTCAGAGACGAGAGCGCTACCAACTGAGCCAGGCTCCAAAAGCAAACTGTGCATTTTTTGCTGGTTGGACTCCAGCAGGTACTCCAACCCATACTCTGGGTTCCCCAAGCCTTGGCTCTCGCCAACCTGCACCTATTACTCTCTGGAATTAGGTAAGCAGCGTGTGTGTCCCTGGGGAGAGAGAGCTCTCAATTAGAATGGATTTTAAGCTCAGTAACGGGGTTCCATGTACGTCAGACACCCGGCTGATCACCGTGATGGGTTTCCCAGCGTGTCAGACACCCGGCTGATCACCGTGATGGGTTTCCCAGTGTGTCAGACACCCGGCTGATCACAGTGATGGGTTTCCCAGTGTGTCAGACACTCAGCTGATCACCGTGATGGGTTTCCCAGTGTGTCAGACACCCGGCTGATCACAGTGATGGGTTTCCCAGTGTGTCAGACACCCGGCTGATCACCGTGATGGGTTTCCCAGTGTGTCAGACACCCGGCTGATCACCGTGATGGGTTTTCCAGTGTGTCAGACACCCGGCTGATCACTGTGATGGGTTTCCCAGTGTGTCAGACACCCGGCTGATCACAGTGATGGGTTTCCCAGTGTGTCAGACACGCGGCTGATCACCGTGATGGGTTTCCCAGTGTGTCAGACACCCGGCTGATCACCGTGAAGGGTTTCCCAGTGTGTCAGATACTTGGCTGAAAGGTTATTTCGCAGTAGTGCAGTGTCACCCAGTGGCAAACTATTGTCCCTGCAATTCACAACAACGTTATCCTTTTCTGGTGAGGAGTGGTCAAATAACCTAATCCAATGTGAAAGGCGCTATATAACTGCAGACTGTGTTATACAGTAAATTATAAATCGTATAATCTTTTAAGTCGTACATTCACACAAAGTCTCATTCGGTTTCCCATCAAAACCACTTAGGCTTCTTTGCACGAGTCTTTCAATCACCTCCTGACTTGTGACTCCGCTCCCCTATCCTCCATTACTCCCACACTTACCGGCTGCCTTGAGTAGCATTTGCCGGTTAGTGCGCATGTGGTGGCGGGTCAAGACACATTGAATCGTAGGAAACATAGTCTTGACCCATCACAGCATGAGCCCTAACCAGCTGCATTATTGTAAATTATTGATTAAATCGGATTATATACGACTTATACAGTTTTTGCCTGTAACTCAGACTTCGGGTAAGATATATTATATGTTAAAGGACTGATATGACTGGCGTGAGTTTTACTGTATTTACTGCCGGACTCTGCTCCCCTGTGATGTCCACAACAGCCTCATACTCACAGGCTCTCCCACAGCTCCTTTATCACCTTTATCACCTTTCTCTCCCTCCGCACCCTGCAACGAATAACACGCTCAAGTCATTCAACTCCAACAGTGTGCGTCAGCCAGGCTCGGTGTGTGTATCAGCTCGGCTCGGTGTGCGTCAACCAGGCTCGGTGTGCGTCAGCCAGGCTCGGTGTGCGTCAGCCAGGCTCGGTGTGTGTATCAGCTCGGCTCGGTGTGCGTCAGCCAGGCTCGGTGTGTGCATGTGTCAACCCGGTTCAGTGTGCGTGTGTCAGCCCGGCTCAGCGTGTGTGTCAGCCCGGGTCAGCGTGTGTGTCAGCCCGGCTCAGCGTGTGTGTCAGCCCGGCTCAATGGATGGATCAGTGTGGGTTCCCCCATTGCGTCTGCGCTGGTGTTCGTTCCCCCACTTGTACTCTCTACTCTATTCCCATTCCTTGATCTCTCTCTCTCCACATCGTGACCTTGATGGTGCAGTCTGTAAATATAAACATACCGGAAAGCCAGGTAGTATGGGACCATCCGCCTGAAACAAACACACAAAATAAGAGTCAAATGTAGCTCTCATTAATGTGGTAAAAACATGACGGATTTGGGGTTAAGTGATTTTGGGACGTCCCATTTGCTCACGAAACCCATTCCATCACGATTTTAAACAATAATAAAAAGAATTACTGCATTTGCATTTGATAACAACGACAAAAAACATTTGGATGGCGCCTACACATCAGGAGGACGTCCCAAAGCGCTGGACATTCAGGGATTTGGACCCGAGCTGGGGTTTCGGATCAGGAGGGGTAGAGGGCAGGGAAGGTAGGGGTAGGAGGCTGACTGAAGGTGCGGTCGTGGAGGAGGGTCTTGAGACACGCTTTGAAGGAGACAAGGCAAGGAGCAAGCCGAAGGGTCTGGGAGATGGAGTTTCAAAGGATGGGGGCAGAGAGACTGAAAGCCCGACCGCCAATGGTAGGGTGGGCTGGGCGGGGAACGTGGAACAGGAGGGAGTGGACAGGTCTATATAATGTTAGCAGGTCGCGGAGGTAGGAAGGAGCAAGCCTGTGGAGGGCTTTGAAGGCGAGGACAAGGACGAGGATTTTGAACTCTATCCTCTGGGGTACGGGGAGCCAGTGGAGCCGGGCGAGGGCGGGGGCGATAGGGTCACGGAGCCTGGCGCGGGAAGAGGACACGAGCTGCAGAGTTCTGAATGTTCTGCAACTTGTGGAGGGAAGAGCTGAGAAGGCCGACAAGAAGGGAGTCACAGTCTATATATTCTAACGTGAATTGACCGTGTATTTTGTGCGCAAAACACGGCAGCCAATTGTACACAGTCGTGGATTGAATGACCAACATTTTGGGGGGGAGGAGGGATTATTACCCCCAGAAAGTGTTTCACCAATCGGTAGTAAGTAGTTATTTATTGCAAAGTGGTTTGGGTGTGTGTTTTGTGGGCGAATTTGGGATGTTTTTCTGTGATGGAATGAGATGTGCTCCGAAATTCCAACCAATCTACAAACCCCCAAACTGGAAGGGGGCAGTAGGGGGTTGGGGCGTGGTGGGGGGGTGGGGGGGTGGTGGGTGACCGTCACCTGAAAAATCACACAAAGAAGTGCCCGCTCGGCGTGCGGAGCAGCCACTCACCGTGCCTGGTAAGCCTGGTTGTCCCGGAGCTCCCACCTCGCCCTAGGAGAAGAAAGACAACAACCTACTTTTACACGGAGACTGTCGCCCACGATAGCATCCGGGAGCGCTGCGTGGTGACGGAGGTGGACGCTGAGCGAGCGAGGTAGAGGCAGGGAGTTGCAGAGTTCAGTGGGTGAAGACGCGGCCACCAGAGGGTGGCGCGGAGGCAGGGGCGGTGGGGACGTACAGAGGTCCGTGTTAGCTGGATAAAGGGATCGGGTGGGGGTAGAGGAGTGGAGGATGTTGGGGTGTGAGGCTGAGGAGCTGGGGAGGGGGTAAGGGAGGGGGTGAATTCCGCTGCACTTTACGTTAGCAATCTCCCCACCTTTTGACCCTTTTCGGACTCCGGGCCGATGGGACCCGACTCCCCCCGATCCCCCTGTCAAAACATCACAGGAGACGATAGGGAGAGATGGTTAGACACGGGTTAGAAGAGGCGATACACCGGCTGAACCCCATCCCCTTTATATCACGCCCCTGTTAAACGCGGATCACTTTGGAAGACGGAAGCGCGGTCACTCTCCCGGCTTCCTCAGGAAGTGACCTCCTTAGACCGCGGTCATCCGGCCCCAATAGCCCATCAGCCCCGTCGCCAGCCGAATCAAGGGTGAAAGGATAACATGGCTGACGTCAGAGCACAGATGACATCGCTTCCCGACAGTCAGTCATCGCTTCAGCGTACGGGAAGCGACATCAGCAGCACTTGCAGGGTGTGCAGGAAGTGATGCCAGCGACCACCCGATGATCCGTCGACGGGCGAGAGCTGCATGGGCGCGTGGCGTAGCCTCCGAGACTGATCCACGCCTCATTCGCACAGGCCGCCACCCCCGCCACGCACCTCTTACCTTCTCTCCTCCGACTCCCTTGGGGCCGGAGGCTCCGTCAAGCCCAGGAAGCCCGGATTCTCCCTGTGAAGACAGCACATGGGCACAGGTCACTGGACACGAACCGCAAGGCACCACGTCAGGCCAGGGCACCAGTAACGTTGCCCCCTGCCTGGGTTTTAACTGGACTGACTGTGTGCTTTGACTTGCCTTGCCGGTTGCTGGCTTTTAAGTCTTTTAAGTTAAATGGCACGTATTATTTGCGGGACATTGCCGCGTGCAAACCGGCGGCCGAACGTTAGTCAGTTAGCGATACCCTCCGACTCGCTTCAGTATGATGAGGTGGGGATTACGATTATTATAAACACTATTTATCCCTTCATTAAACACAACTTCAGACACACCGAGGCAACCAGTCAAGAGGAGACGGGTTTAGAGTTGTAAAGGGGCAATTTTAGGACAGACACCAAGAAATGTTTCTTCACTTAAAACAGCAGCTTAATGCTGTTGTGGGGGGAACGGTGTGACACTGTGACCAGCGGTCGCTGTGTGCCTACCTTCTGACCCACGGACCCCGCGACCCCTGATCTCCCCGGCTCTCCCTGTGAAAACAAGCAGAAAATAATTAATTAAGCCCGGCTCGGTGTGTGTATGTCAGCTCGGGTCCGTGTGTGTATGTCAGCCCGGGCCAGTGTGAGTATGTCAGCCCGGCTCGGTGTGTGTATGTCAGCCCGGCTCGGTGTGTGTATGTCAGCCCGGCTCGGTGTGTGTATGTCAGCCCGGGTCCGTGTGTGTATGTCAGCCCGGGTCCGTGTGTGTATGTCAGCCCGGGTCCGTGTGTGTATGTCAGCCCGGCTCGGTGTGTGTATGTCAGCCCGGCTCGGTGTGTGTATATCAGCCCGGCTCGGTGTGTGTATGTCAGCCCGGCTCGGTGTGAGTATGTCAGCCCAGCTCGGTGTGTGTATGTCAGCCCGGCTCGGTGTGTGTATGTCAGCCCAGCTCGGTGTGTGTATGTCAGCCCGGCTCAGTGTGCGAACACTCTGGAACACTCTTCCCCCAATCCCTGCGCCTTGCTCCCTCTCCCCTCTTTCAACTCCCACGTGAAAATTTTCCTCTTTGACCGTGCTTACGGCCACCAAGGGAGAGGGCGAGGTGGAGATGGAGGGATGGAGTTCCAGAGGGTGGGGACAGAAAGGCCGAAGGTCTGACCATTGATGATGAAACAGGCAGGGAGGGGGATGTGGAGCAGTCCAGTGACGGCCGAGTGGATGGAATGGGCAAGTTGGTGAAGTTTTAATAGGTTGTAGAGATAGGGAGGAGCAAGACTATCGAGGGCCTTGAAGGTGAGGGCAAGGATCTTGAACTGTATCCTCTGAGTGATGGGGAGCCAGCGGAGCTGGGCGAGGACGGGGTGGGTAATCGGCTCACAAGGAGAGGACATTATAGCGTTACCCTACGTGAAGGTTCCTGTACGAATGTAAGTCATTGTGGTTTTGTTATAACAATGCCTCACAATATTCCAGTCCATTAATGAGGTGACCTGCAGTTTTCCTCCTACCTTCCTTCCAGGTATTCCCGGGAATCCGTCTTGTCCCCTTTCTCCGGCTTCTCCCTGGGTTGAGCCAAAGGTGGAAAGAGGGAGTGAAAGGCGGGTCACGTAGTGTCCGGACCAGGTTTTATTATTGTCCAATTCCAAAAAAAAAAGGTCGAGCTCTGAATGTCCCATGCACCGCAAAAAAATCCAATGGTTTGCAAAACTCCACCGCCTCCTTCCATCACCCGCATCAAACCTCGCACCCCACCTCGCCCCAGTCCTCACCGGGTTCAACTGTCTCCCTGCCTCCCAGTACAATACAAAATTACATTTATAAAGTGCCTTTCATGTTGGGAGGAGGTCCCAAGGCGCTGAGCAGTGATTAGGATTAGTCAGGGATTAGGACCCGAGCGTGGGAGGCGGGGGGGAGGATTGGGATCAGGGAGGCTGGAGGGCAGAGAGGGTCTAAGTTTGGCTTCAGGGGTATGGTGATGGTGAGAGAGGAAGGGGGTGGGGGGGGGGAGACGGGTTTGAAGGTGTGGAGGGAGGGGTGCGTGGGGTTCGGAGTGCGAGGGAGAGATGGGGAGAGGGTGGCGGTTGGGTGGGCGGCGGGGGCTGAACGGATCCCCTCAATTTTTGGTCTTGAAGAAATCCAGCAACTCCTCGGAGTTGGAGTTGGAGGAGGATGGGAGAGGCATGAGAGGGTGGAACGAGGAGCTGATTGGTCGTGAAGAAGAAGCCTGGAGTTGTCCTTGGCCTCAAAGATTATCTTGGAGTAGATCGAAAAGCTCCTCACTCTCACTTACAAACCCCCATCACGCCTCCAGCAACTCCCTAGCTTTGCTGTAATGGAGTAACGAAGGGTTGATGGCTGGGAGTGATGGGGGGGTTAAAGTCCCAATTTCCTGCAGTGTCTCACCACTCCCGTGGCTGGAAGACAGAGTGGTTGAAGCAGGACACTGGGACTCATTTAAATAAACAGCTCAATGCCTCCTCCCTTTCCTCCTTCAAGGCCGGTCTCAGGACCTTTCTCTTTGACCGTGCCTTCAGCTCCCCTCTCGACTCTCTACCCCCTCCTCGCTCCCTCCCTTCCCTCCCCTCACCCTGACCATTTCCCCCCCAATGCTCGGGTCCTGACCCAACTGTACAGCGCCTTGGGACGTCCTCCCGACGTGAAAGGCGCTCTATAAATGGAACCTTGTTGTTATTGTTGTTGTTGTTGAATGGGGGGGGGGGGGGAGATGGTGGGGTGAGCGTTCCGGAGGGCCGAAGTGTTTTCTTCACCGAATCAATGGTATGGTTGTTAGCACACGGGCATAGTTGGGGGTGGGAGGGAGGAAAAGGAAAGGGAAGGTAAGATGTATTGGAGGAATCTTTTGAGAAACTGTCTGGACACCCCAATGCTCCACTGCCGGCTGAACGTGTTATTATATAGTAGACAACAAGCACACAAAACCAGAGCAGCGAGTGAGACATTCGCCCATCCATTTTCCAGTTTTACGTAAAGAGACGTCTATCTCAAGTCAGTCACTAACCTTGCCTCCTGGAATCCCAAGCAAACCATGATTCCCGTCCGCCCCTGGGGAGCCCTGAAGGAAGAAGGCAGAGGTTAATCCCGAGGACAGAAGATCACAAGATTAGGTCAGGTTAAGGTTAAGAAGATCCTTCAACCGAAACCTATGTCTGAGGTGACGTCCCTTCGGAAGAGACCTTAAACGGAGGTCCTGTTCAAGCGGATGTCAAAAATCACATGGCACTGCTCGAAAAGAGACGGGAGTTTCTCTCTCCCCCGTCAAACAAAATCGGTCACTCGCATGTTTGCGGGACCTTGTTATGTGCCAACCGGCTGCTGCACTTCGCCCCTAAAATACATGTCCTGCAAAGCGTTTTGAGGTGTCTCAATGCCGTGATAAGGTGCTATATCGAACGCAAGAATATTATTATTTTTATTATGTGAACAAGAACAACAGCTTGATTTACAAAGAATCCTTCGGGCTGGGCAGAGTCTCGGAGCGCTTAAAAGTGGAGCATTGCGATGCCGAGCCGGAAGCAGAGGGAGGCGACCATAGAACTAAGGAAGTTTTATTATTATTATAATAATAATAACGATAATAACCCTTGCAATCGATAAAGTGCTGAGATATCTTAAAGCACTTTACAGAGATTTTATTTAACTTTTTTTTTGGTCAGCCGTGTGTCTGACACATGCGGAAACCCTCCACCGTTGCGTAAGGATCTCCAAACCGAACTGAGAATTCCACGTCTCCCACCTACACATGGAAATCCCAGAGATAGGTTGTTGGAATGGAATGCGCTCTCTCTCTCTCTCTCTCTCTCTCTCTCTCTCTCCCTGGAGGGACCCATCCCGCTTCCCTAATCCCAGAAAGTATTAGGCGCAGGTTGGCGAGAGCCAAGGCTTGGGGACCCCAGAGTCTGCGTTGGGGTAACTGCTGGAGTCCAACCAGCAAAAAAAACACAGCTTGATTTGGTTTAGATGTAGTGACTGCGTATTTATAAACAAAAGCAGAGTCGAAATTGCTCCATGTAATTTCAAGAGAACGGACAATATTTACTGTTGGCCAGGTCACCAGGAGAGAGAAACTCCCTCCTCTTCTCCCGAGAGCGCCGAGGGATCTTTAACGTCCACCGGAACAGGAAAAAATAGGAGGGCAACAACTTGTATAAGCCGTCTACATGCGAGGTAGCATCTCAGAGCATCAGTGACCTCAATTTAATGTCTCACCCGAAGGACAGCACCTCCAACAATATAGTGCTCCCCCAGCACTGCACTGGAGCGTAGGTGGACTGTGGGAGCAGCCTATGGTTGAATTAATTATTCTGAAAAAATGTTTCTTCATCCATTAAATCTGGTCTGCGAGCTATACAACACGCACCGCGTCTCACCGCACTCCACCCCACCCCACCCCACCGCACCCTACCCCATCACATGACACCGCACCGCACCACACCGCGTGTGCCATTCCTTACCGGTTCTCCCACTAGTCCTGGTTTTCCTGGCAATCCAATTTCACCGGGCAAACCCTGAGAAATAAAACAGCAAACAGCATCATTGGCAGCAAGCTTTAAGATCTATCTTTTTGACCATGCTTTCAACCATCCTCTCCTCAGCCACCTTCCCCCCCCCCCCCCCCACTCCACCATAACTTGCAGGTCCTGAAATTGTCATTCACACTGGACGCTGTGTTTCTACTGTTTGGTTTGCCTTTCTGGGCCTCGGAGATTGTGGAATGGTTTGCTATGATTCTTTTTTTTGTCACTTGTTCTTTTTGTCAGATGTTCTATCGAGCAGCTTGGGACTGTCTACCTGAGGTCCTCTTTGGGGTTGAATTGGCTCCAAGGTGACATATTTGGCACAGGAATGTCGGAATCGAGCCAGCCCTCCGCTGACAGTACAGGTCCAGCCTCAGTCATTGGCAGGACCTGGAAGGGCAGACCAGTCACTGGGAGCAGGGAATCATCCCACTCTGCTCCTGTTAACCCTGTGACCAAAGCCCTGATCGTCCTAGCTGGACAAACACCCGGAAAGCTTGCCAGACAGCGCTCTCAATGGAAAGCTATGCAGGTTTAGCTGGTTAGACTCCAGCAGTTACCCTAACGAACACTCTGAGCTTCCCAAGCCTTGGCTCTCGCCAACCCGTGCCTAATACTCTCCGTAAACTCTCACCTGCTCGCCTGGAGATCCCGGGGGCCCGGCAACGTCGGATTGTCCTTCAGCTCCCTACAAAGAGGAGGATCTGATTAACCGATGACCTTGACCAAATCTTAGTGCTTCACAATACAGTTTGCACAGTCGGGGGGGAGAGACCCGAAGCGCTTGATGGTTCTGGCTGGGAACCCGAGTTCAGGTGAGTCTTGTTGTAAGCATTGGTCAGTAGAGGGAGACATTTCCCCACTCAGATTGAGCTTCGAGCACCAGTTGGTGACGTCTCACAATTAACACACGTTGTTTAGCCTGAAAACAATTAGAAATATTCCCAGGGATTAAATATTCATCAGGGTATTGGATATTTGACGGAAAATAATGTGAATGGGAAAGCGCAGGGAATGGGATTAGAGTAGAGAGCTCCGGTAGGGGAGCGAGACCAGCACAGACACCATGGGGGAGAGAGAGCAGAGTGTCTGTGTGTCACCGTGTCCGTGCATCTGAAAGAAGGAAGACAGGACGTGTTACTCACCGGAGGGCCAACTCCGCCCTGAGCCCCTGGCAGCCCTGGGTCACCCTTCCTGCCCTAGAGAACGTGAGACACAGATGGAGGGCGTTAAAAATTGACAGCAATAATATGACAGAAAATCATTCTCCAGAAAAAAAAAACAGCGAGAGACGCCAGGAGCATTTGGATTACACAGAACGTTATCAGGGTCCAGGCGCTGAAGTCACGGTTGCTTTACAAAAGAGGTTTAGAACAACATCAACAAAAACAACAATTTGCACTCAAACACCGTTCACGTGCAGAAGTCTCAAAGCACTTTACAGGCAGCGTGGAGTCCGGTAGCTCGGTGGTTAGAGCGCTCGCCTTGCAAGCGAGAGACCTGGGTTCAATTCCCGGCAGGGCGAAACCTTGGGCAATTTTCCTTACTCCGCACACCTGATAATAATCCCTCAAGACCTACCTCTTTGACCTATGGCCGCCTCCCCCTCTCCCTTCCTCGGCCACTGTTCAGCGCTCCCAGAAGCTACCTTGAGCGATATAAATGCAAGTTGTTGTGGTTGTGTACATGGCGTGGAAATAAATATTTGATGCAGAAATTACTTGATTATTTTGCCCACCTGAATCTATTTGGTTAAGAGTTAAGGAGCAAAAGGGGAGGTGTTACGCTGCTGGGTATATACTATAGGCCACCAAATAGTAGGAACGAGCAAATCTACAAGTAAATTTCAGAAAGATGTAAAAACAATGGAGTAGTGGTAATGGGGGACTTCAATTATCCAGTGATAGACTGGGGGGAGGAAACAGTGTAAGGGGTAAGAAGGGGGAAGAATTCCTGAAATGTGCACAGGAGAATCAAGTAGATTACAGAAAGTGGAATTGGATATGTGAAAACCCATCACCGAGATCAGCCGAGTGACTGACACACACAGAAACCCATCACCGAGATCAGCCGAGTGACTGACACACACAGAAACCCATCACTGAGATCAGCCGAGTGACTGACACACACAGAATCCCATCACCGAGATCAGCCGAGTGACTGACACACACAGAAACCCATCACCGAGATCAGCCGAGTGACTGACACACACAGAAACCCATCACAGTGCTCAAGGGTCTCCAAACTCGACTGAGGGTTCACATATGTATGTCACCCTACACGTGGAAACTCCCTTGACTGTGATGGAAAGCATACGCTTCTCTCTCTCTCTCTCTCTGGTTAATAATGAAATCATTACTTACCCTCGGCCCCTGAAACCCAGGTGCGCCATCCGTCCCATCCCGACCTGGAGGTCCCTACAATAACAACAATAAATCTCATCTCAACCAAAGACCCATAGAGTTTACAACTTGTGTCTGTGCTGGTGATCGTTGCTCCAATCGAGCTCTCTACTTTAATCTCATTCCCTGCTCTCTCTCCGCATCGTGTCTGTGCTGGTGCTCACTCCCCCACTGGAGCTTTCTACTCTCATCCTATTCCGCAGGTGCTGTGTTATAACGGTGTAACGCAGGGCTGTGTTCTTATTACTCACCATGGAGCCGGGCGGCCCATGAGGACCTATGGGGCCCGGGGGTCCCTGTGTAATAACAGAAAGTCTCAGTTACGGTCAAGTGAAGAAACACACAATCATAATAACCCTTAAATTTGATACAGCGCCTTTCACACCAGAAGGGTTTACCGCCAGCTAGGACTACCGTGCTCACGAGGGCTTTGGCATGCAGGGTTAACAGGAGCTGAGTGGGATGACTCCCTGCCCCCAGTGACTGGTCTGTACCTCCAAATTCTGCCGTTGAGCCAGGCCGGCTGTGCGGTCGTTAACATGACCCGCCTGGCTCAGGAATCAGACCCGATCGAGCCTGTCACAGAGAGTGGGAGCCTGAGCCAGGCTGAGCCAGGCTGACACACACTGAGCCAGGCTGACACATCCTGAGCCAGGCTGACACGCACCAATACTACTGTGCCCAACACTACTCACAGCTTCTCCTTTCAGCTCAATAGTCGGTACCTGAAAGAGATGATGATATGTATCAATTAGCACCAAACAAGACATCAATCAGGAGAACAAGGCAGAGTCAGATGTTCCCTGAGGTGTTACCAGGGATGAGGGCTTCATTTGTTGAGTGTCAGCCTGGCTCAATGGTAGCGCTCTGAGACACCGTCCGGCTTGGAGGGCGCTAAATAAATCCAAGTTGTTGCTGTTGTAGCATCTCTTGCCTCAGTTACCTCAACAACCTCTGTCAGGTCATCCCTTAACCTTCTCAGCTCAGCTCTAAATAAACACTAAATAATAAAAATAATAATCTCTGCATTTGTTGGAGCGCCGCATCACGTCGTCGACACATCTCAAAGGATATAGTGAAAAGTGTAGTGACTGTGTATTTTGTCGGTGATACGCGTCAGCCTATTTGCGCACAGCAATGTCTCATCGGAAGGACGCCACCACCAACAATGCAACAGCTCCCCCAGCGTTGCATTGAAGCATCAGCCTGGATTTTATGGGTTCCAAATCCTGACGTGGGGCTTGAACCCAAAATCTTCTGACCCAGAGGCGAGAGTGCTACCACTGAGCCGGGCTGGCACCCTGGGTTTGATCCTAGGCCTCAGCCGTGGGTGCTCGGCAAAACAACAATAACAAATTGCATTTCATGTCGGGAGGACGTACCGAGGTGCTGGACAGTCAAGGGTTTGCACCCAAGCTGGAGCCAAGTGGGGTGGTGGGTAAGTGGTGGGGGTGGGTGGTGGCAAGATGACCGAAGTCACAGTCAAAGAGGAAGGTCTTGAAACATGCCTCGAAGGAGGCGAGGGAGGGGTCGAGATGGAGGGATTCCAGAGGTTGGGGACAGAAAGGCAAAAGATCCCACCCCCGATCTTGGACCGAGCAGTGCAGGGGACATATTGCTGGCTAGAGACCGCTAGTGATAGGGTTTGGGGAGATTACATAGGTAGGGAGGAGGAAGACCACGGAGGGCTTTAAAAGTGAGGACAAGGATTTTAAACTCGATCCTCTAGGGGATGGGGAGCCAGTGAAGCTGGGCGAGGAGGGGGCGATCGGATCGGCAAATGTAAGACGCATATCCTTACCACATCTCCCAATGTTCCTGGGGATCCAGCTTCTCCCTGGGCAGGTTAAAAGATAAACATACACTGGGGTTAACAGCACAGGATCTCCCCGAGCTCCACACGTGTGCAGTGAATGGGAACCGCAGAGACCTGAGCGACAGAGGAGCTATAGAGCTATAGAGGGGCTGCGCTGTAGTAAGATTATTTCCACTGGATAGCGAGTCAGCGTGAGGTTGAGGCACAGCAGATAGAGGGGTTTAAAGTTGTGAAAGGAGTCGAGACGGTGGATGTTGATGGGCTGATTTTCACTTGTTGGGGAGTCTATAACGAGAGGGTATAATTATACATGAGTCGGGAACATATCAAACAGGGAGTTTCACCACGACCATGGTGACAGTGTGCAACTCACATTCAATAGAGGGGTGTAGGAGAGGGGTAATAGAGGGGTATAGGAGAGGGGTAATAGAGGGGCATAGGAGAGGGGAATAGAGGGGTATAGGAGAGGGGTTGAGGAGAGGGGTAATAGAGGGGTGTAGGAGAGGGGTAATAGAGGGGTATAGGAGAGGGGAATAGAGGGGCATAGGAGAGGGGAATAGAGGGGTATAGGAGAGGGGAATAGAGGGGTATAGAAGAGGGGAATAGAGGGGTTTAGGAGAGGGGAATATAGGGGTGTAGGAGGGGGTAATAGAGGAGTGCAGGAGAGAGGAATAGAGGATCATTCGGATGGATTAGTTGAGCGAATGTCCTATTTCTGTGGGAGGGAGGGAGGGAGGGAGGGAGGGAGGGAGTTCAGAGGAGCCAGTTATTGGGGAGGGGGGTTTCAGGCTATACGGTGAGTTGGAATGTGGTGAGACAGTGTGAGAGTAGCGTCTCTCCCGCTGGACGTCAGCCTGACAAGGCAGCCCTGCACTTACTTTCTCCCCTTTAATCCCGGGGACACCCTGGCTCCCGGGGCTGCCAGTCCGACCCTGGGGAGAGGAAAGAAGAGGTCAGTGCACGTGGTATACCACCCCACCACCCCCCGCGTCCAGACTGGCAGCTCAATGTCCCGATGTGAGTCAGAAGGCTGTGGGTTCGGGCCCCACGTCAAGGACTTTGAGCTCATAGTATAATTTGACGCTCGGGCACAGTGATGGGGGAGTTGCTTGCTCCATTGTCAGAGGTGCCATCCCACTGATAATAATAATAATAATAGATAATAATATATTATATGTCCTATTTCTGCGTGAGGAAGGAGGGAGTTCAGAGGAGCCAGTTACGAGATCGTAAACGAAGAGAAGGGAGTTTCTCTCTCCTGATGGAAAAGAGAAATAATCCTCCAAATGAAACTGGTCGCTCACTCCTTGGCCGTTTGCAGAACATTGCTGTGCGCAAATCAGCTGCTGCGTTTGTCCACAAACACACAGTCACTACACTTTACAGTAAGCTGAAAGCATGATATCAAATTTCACACAAGGCCTTATCATATCACTGCTTTACTGTAAAGTATAGTGACCGCGTATTTTTGGGTGAACATGGGAGGCAATTTGTGGACAGCAATATCCCGCAAACAGCTATGAAGTGAGTGACCAATTTTATTTGAGGATTGTTGGCCAGGACACCGGGAGAGAGCAACTCCCTTCTCTTTTTCCAATAGCCCCGTGGGTTCTTGAACAGGCACAGATGGACTTGAAACCCACAACCTCTGTCTGTCTCAGATGAGATTTGTGGAGTCCTGTAGCTCAGTGGTTAGAGCACTCGCTTTGCAAGTGAGAGACCTGAGTTCAATTCCAGGCAGAGGGCGAAACCTTGGGCAAGTTTCCTTACTCCACACACCTAATAATAATCCCTCCAAAAAAACAAAACAATAATAAATTGGTCATTTTCAATCCACGACTGTTTGTGGGACATTGCTGTGCGCAATTGGCTGCCGCGTTCGCCCACAAGTATACAGTCAATTCACTTTACAGTGTGTTCTGTGAAGCGCTTTGGGACGTCGAGAAGACGTGAAAGCGCTATATCAAATGCAAGGATTCTTATTTATTATATTATTACTGATTGAGCCGGGCTGAGCTTATTTGCGGATGAACACAGCAGCTAAATTCCCAGGGTTATTTATCGATTACTATCTTATTAATAATAAATTATTATTAACGATCATTACTAATAAACCTTCAACTTGATACGGCATTGCCCTTTCACATCAGGAGGACATCTCAAAGGATTGAGTGTGGAGTGCAATGATTGTGTGTTTGTGTGGTGAGGTGTCAGAAGGATTCGATAGGGTAGATACAGAGAAACTATTTCGGAGAAGTTCGGAGGCAGTTTTTCACCCAAAGGGTAGTGGAAATCTGGAACTCTCCCCCAAAAGGCTGTGGATCCTGGATCCATTCACATAGTCAAAATTGTGATGGATAGATATCTGTTCGGTCAGAGTATTAAAGGATATAGGGTAAGGACGGGTAATTGGACTTGAGGTGCAGATCAGCCACGATCTTATAGGATGACAGAACAGGTTCGAGGGGCTGAATGGCTTACTCCTGTTTCTATGTTTCTATGATTGCCGCAGTGATCTGGTCTCGAGGCTGCATGTCCCAGTATCAAGCCAGGTTTCTCCGATCTGGAATTTCAATTGTATCCCCACATCCTGCGAAACCCGGCCCACGGAGTCCCAGAACGACTGAGGGGGATTGCGGAAGTCAGCAAGCAGAGGCAGACTGGAGGAATTCCCCAGCCAATGCCCCAGCCTCTTCCTCTCTCTCTCCTACACATGGCCTGTCACTCAGTGCTGCGTGTTCCTGAGGTTTCACGAGCCCCAAATTTCCCCTGGTCCCTGACTGTGGACCTATCTGTCTCGAAACTTTACGATCCGGTGGATCCATCTGTGCCTGAATGGTGGAAAGATAGTACGGATGGTAGCAAGCGAAGACCCATGTTTGGTTCCCAGACGGGGCAAAACCTTAGGCAAGTTTCCTTACTCCACGTGCCTCTGTTTACCGCGCAGTCAGTAGGAACCCGGTCGTTATAGTTGATCGGTGGATCGCTTTCCAGAAGTAATAATCCCTTCAAAAAAAACTGGCTGTTTATGGGACAATGCTGACACACAAAATGCTCGGTAATCTTCCCACTTCAGCCACCCCTTGTCTGTCCGCCCTCTTAAGCCTATTAGACATTGTCCGACCTGTGGGCTTTGTGTTAGCCTGGCTCAGTTGGTAACACTCTAGCCTCCCAATCTGAAGGTTGTGGGTTCAAACCCCACTTCGGGACTTGAAGCTCACAGTCCAGTCTGACACTGCAGTGCGATGCTGGGAGGAGCGCTGCATTGTCGGATGAGACGTGAACCCGAGGTCCCGTCTGTGCCCGTTCATGTTAAGTGGTTTGCGAAATCTGCGCTCAGCATTAGATCCTTCGGTTGCAAGCGTAGCTGCAACGGGTACAGCTATTAGATTATTGTTATTAATGACGCTCCTATTTTCCAGCCTTCAAAAATCATGTTTGGATACCATAGGGAAAGACGTTACGGACAGGATATGTTCCTGAGAATAAAAATCCACACCTGTTCTTGCTTTTCAAGCTCCAGTTAACTTAAAATACCTCCTTCAAAATAAAATACCTAAAATTCCATCTGGCATTGGAAACTAACCTTTGGCACTTGACCCACGAGTCTCTCCCTGCTCTCCCCCTTCCCCCCACCGCCCCCCCCTCAACTCGAGGCACCAATTTGGCCCGGCTCAGTGGTAGCACTCTCACCGAGGAGTCAGGGTTCAAGCCCCCACATTGGGACTTGGAATCGCATCGTCTAAGCTGTCATCACAGTGCGGTACTGGAGGTACGTTGCATTGTTGGTGGTGAGACCTGAAACTGAGGTCCCGTCTGTCTGTTCAGGTTAGAGATCCTGTGGCGCTATTCAAAAAGAGAAGGGAGTTTCTCTCTCCCGGTGTCCAGGCCAACAATCCCCCAAATAAAATTGTTTACTCACTTCATGGCTGTTTGCGGGACACTGTTGTGCGCAAACTGCCGGCCGCGATTCACCCACAACATACATAGTCCCTGCACTTTACAGTGTATCCAGTGAAACGCTTTGAGACGTCTCGACGATGCGATGAGGAGCTATACCAAATGCAAGGATTAATATTATTATTATAATTCAGACCACAAGGAGCTGGAGCCCCACCCCGCCCTCCTTCCACCATTACCGGGTCCTGCGCTCAGAAACAGCAGCACGGAACACCTCCGACAAACATCTGTCGAGTGATTTACTACTACACATGAGGCGCTGCACAGATGTGCACATGGAAGAGTGGGCGGGGGAGGGTTGGAACAAGGAGGAACATTATAGGGTTAGAGATAGCACAGCGGAGATTTCTCAGAGGTCACCGGGGAGACAGCTGTCAGCAAAGAAGGAATTCTTACTCCCGGAAAAGCAATCCGTCAATCGACTAACAATCAGGTTCCGAGTTACTGCTAAGTAAACGGAGGCGTGTGGAGTAAGAAAACTTGCCCAACCGTTCGGCCCTACCGGGAATCGAAGCCAGATCCTCTCGCTTGCGAGGTGAGCGCTCCATCCACAAAGCTTACACGACTCCACAAGACAGGAATGATATTGTAAAACATATTTTAATGTAATTTCCTCAGTAAAGCTCAGACGAGTCTCCCTGTGGCCAGTGTGTGATTGAGATACTTTTGAAATCATTCTGGGTTTGAGGCTGTTGTTCTAATTAAGAGGCTCAAAACTGAGACTGAAAACTGTCCACAGTTCCCCATGATTCCTATCCGATTCCATTTAACCCCTCGCATTTGCCACAGGGTCGAGAACATCAAAATGTCTCAGAGGGCTTCACGGTGATTGATGTGAAAGCGTAGTGACTGTGTATTTTGTAGGCAAACGCGGCAGGCAATTTTCACGCAGCAACATCCCATCAACAACCATGGAGAGAGTGACCAATTTGTCGGCCAGGACACCGGGAAAGAGAAACTCCCTTCTCTTCTCTTCTCTTTTCCAATGGTGCCACAGGATTTTTAACGTACCCCTGAGCAGGCACAGACAGAACCTGGATTTAATGTCTCATCTGACTCCACTGCATTGGAATGGCAGTTTTTAGTCTATGTGATACCAACAACAACAACTTATACAGCGCCTCTCGCGCAGGGTACAGTCTCAGAGCGCTTGACAGTGGCAGAGCACGACGCCAAGCCGTGACCGAAGGTGACCGTAGGCACCGTGGAAGAGGATGTTCTTCAGACGCGACCTGAAGACAGGGATGGAAGGAGCAAGAGGGAGAGTTCCAGAGTTTCGGAGCATAGTGCCTGAAAGTTCGGCCACTGCTAGTGGAACGGAGGGTATGAAGGACGTGCAGAAGGCCAGAGCCAGTCGGGCGCAGGCATTGGGTAGCGGGGTGGAGGGTAAGCAGTTCGGATAAGATAGGGAAGTGCCCAGGGCACGAAGGGATTTGAAGACAAGTGTGAGGATTTGGAAATCGATCCTTCTACGGAGCCAGCGGAGCCTGGCTAGAACTGGTGTGATGGGCGCCGGGCTGGGGAGCACTCTTTCTGTCGTATCACTGCTTTAATCCCGCTGCTCCCTCTCCAGCACCTTGTTGCGATTAGGAAACCATCAGTACCACAATTCTGACCCTGTTGATTTTGTGCAAGAATACTGAATTCCAGAGGAACGGAATCCTCACTCACCTCCGTTCCGGGAAGGCCGGGTTTTCCAAGATATCCGTCCAATCCATTTTCACCCTGAGAGAGAGAGAGAGAGAGAGAGGATGAGAAGACCACTCATGACTGTCCACAATACATGCCCTCCAGGCTGCATTGGTCAGGGTTAGGGTACCACATTTGCTACATAAAACATAGTCACTACCTTTGCAGTAAATCCCTGTCTGAGAGGTTACGGGCAATGCAACAATTGTTATGATTATCCCAACCAACTAAGATATCACTTTTGCATAAATATAATTGTGTGTGTGTATGGGTGCGTGCCTGCCCTCATGAATCACTGAAGTCAATAAGACAGAAATAATAATCCTTACATTTGACGCGGCATCTTATCGTGTCATTGAGATGTCTCAAAGCGCTCCACAGTATTTACTGTAAAGCAGGGTAGCTGTGTGTTTTGCGAGTGAACGCGGCAGCCAATTTGGGCACAGAGACGTCCCACAAACAGCCATGAAGCGAGTGGTCAATTTTATTTGGGGAATTGTCGGCCAGGACGCTAATAGCGCCACGGGATCTTTCACGTCCACCTGAACATGCACCTGAACGAGGGATTTAAGGTCTCATCCAAAGGACCTCTGACGATGTGGCGCTCCCACAGCACTGCACTGCTGTGAGTATCAGCCTTGGACTGTGAGCTCAAAGTCCCATTGTGGAGCTCGAACCCACAACTGTGGTATTTGGAGGCGAGAGTGCTGCTGACTCGGATGACACACAGTGAAAGCATTCAGTCACCCACACAGACATCCTGAGAGAAAAAGGCTCCTTACACACAACAGCCGAGGAAACTATTCTGAGGTTAAAGTGAGGCGGAGAGGCCAGATGGGCAACGACTGAGAATGTTGCCTTACTGTTTGGAAAAACAGGACTCAATCTCTTTATGATTTTGTTTTTGAATTCAGTGGAGTCCTGCGGTGTCGTGGTTAGAGCACTTGCCTCCCAAGCGAGAGGACCTGTGTTCGATTCTCCTACTCCACGTGCCTCTGTTTACCGAGCAGTAAGCAGGAACCCACTTGTTAGTCGACTGGCAAATCACTTTCCGGGGTACTGTTTGTGGGACACGGCTGTGCACAAATGGCTGCCGTGTTTTGCCCGTAAAATATAGTCAATTCATTTCACAGTATATTCTATGAAGCACTTTGCGAGGTCTCAACGGTGTGATAAAGCGCTATATCAAATGCAAGGATTATTATGATTAACCCTCTGGCAAAAAAAGGGGGTGCATTCTCCCCAAAAAGGAACACACACACACACACTCTCCAGAAGAGAGGGTGCTCTCCCCAAAAGAGTCCCTCCTTCTAGTGAATCTGTGTCTACAACTTTCATAGCGGACAAATGGAAACCAAACATATTGAATGGAACACATTAATCATAATAATTATTATAATATTCTCCACATTTGATAGAGTGCCTTTCCTGTCAGAAGTACATCTCAAAACACTTCACAGGGTCTTACTGTAATAAGTGTGCGTTTTGTGGGTGAACACAGCAATTGACACAGAGCAGTATCTGACACACACTGAGCCGGGCTGACACACGCTGAGACGGGCTGACACTCCCTGAGCCGGGCTGACACACTCTGAGCCGGGCTGACACACGCTGAGCCGGGCTGACACACGCTGAGCCGGGCTGACACTCCCTGAGCCGGGCTGACCCACACTGAGCCGGGCTGACCCATACTGAGCCGGGCTGACCCACACTGAGCCGGGCTGACCCATACTGAGCCGGGCTGACACACGCTGAGCCGGGCTGACCCACACTGAGCCGGGCTGACACACGCTGACCCGGGCTGACACACGCTGAGCCGGGCTGACACACGCTATTAAACAATTTATGAAACCTCTTACCTTCTTGCCACTTGAGCCCTTCAGACCTCGCTCGCCCTGCATGCCCTGAAACCACAAGGACACCAAGTCACACTCTGCCCCGAAGAGCAGCCAGCACTCACATAGAATCATAGCTCAGTCCCACTTCTCCGCTCTTTCCCCCATATCTTTGCAAACTTTTCCTTTTCAAGAACCTATCCAATTGCCTTGTGAAAGTTGTTATTGAATCCGTTTCCACCACACTTTCAGGCAGTGCATTCCAGACCGTAACAACTCTGTGTAAAAAAAAAATTCTCCTCGTCTCCCCTCTGGTTCTTTTGCCAATTATCTTAAATCTATGTGCTCTGGCTACTGACTCACCCGCCAGTGGAAACAGTTTCTCCCTATCTACTCTATCAAAACCCCTCATAATTTTGAACACCTCTATTAAATCTACCCTTAACGTTCTCTGCCCTGAGGAGAACAATCCCAGCTTATCTAGTCTCGCCACATAACTAAGTCCCTCCTCTCTGGAACCATTCTGGTAAATCTCCTCTGCACCTTTACCAAGTCCTTGATATCCTTTACATTTACAACACAATTTACATTTACACAGCGCCTTTCACCTCAGAAGGACGTCCCAACGATTAGACAAGCTTAGGCTTTCAGTCCTGAGAGAAGACGACTCAGATAGGACTTCTTAGAGATGTTTATCATTATAAATGGGATTGAAAAAGTAATACTTTCGGATGTACCGAGACAGAAGAACAAGAGGACACAGGTTTAGAGGTGTAAAGGGGCAATTTAGAACAGACACTAGGAAGTGTTTCTTTACCCAGAGAGTAATTAACGACTGGAACAGGAATGCCAGGAAGGTTGGTTCAGGACACTGGGACTTGTTTAAAAAACAGCTGGATGCTGTGCTGGAGGGGGTTTGGGGGTTCTGGAGGAATGAGATCAGATAGGCCGAAGGGTCTTCTTCATTCGATACAGATCTTGTGATGTTGTGATCATCTCGAGTGCAGCTATTTCTCAGATTTTTTTTTCACGATCGGCCTCTCGTGGTTTATTGAAGGAAAAAGAGTCCAGCCTCTGATTGCTAAAACTGGCCAAGGATTGAGCTTTTCACCTCTGAGGACCTTGGTTTGATTTCTGCCCTCAACAAATCGAATGGAATTGAGAAACCAACCCAGAACCGTTCGAGCAAGGGTGCAAGGACAAGAGGGTTAGGGACATGAAGTGCAATTCCACAGAACGTTCTGGGCAATAGGACACAGGACAGGGGTGGAGGAAGGGTCAGGAAAGAGGGAAAGAGATGGAATAGGGGCACCAGTCAGGGGCGAGGAATGGGGAATAGGGGTCGGCCATTTAGCCCTCAAGCGTGTTCTATTAGATCATGGCTGATCTGCACCTCCATTTATTCACCTTTGCCCCATGTCCCTTATACCCTGACCTAACAAACATCTATCCACCTCAGTCTTGACAACGTGACTGGATTCAGCATCCACTGCCTTTTGATTTCCAGATTTCCACTACCCTTTGTGTGAAAAAGTGCTTCCTGATCTCACTCCTAAATGGCCTAGGTCGATTTTAAGACGATGCCCCCTTGGTCTGGTTTCCCAGTTTCTCTGTATCTGCCCTATCGAATCCCTTTATCATCTTAAACACCTCAATTAGATCACCGTTCAATGTTTTAAACTCAAGGGAAGACAAGACAAGTTTTCGCAACCTGTCCTCATAATTTAATCCTTTTAGCCTTGGTATCATTCGTGACATGGGTAGGTAATGGTGAGAGGAGGGGTAGGGGCTGGGAGGAGTGGGGTCTCTCTGGCAGGTGGAAGGGGTGCAAGAGATCTGAGGAACTGAAGGACTTCATCTTCATCTGAAGCTCTGCTGTGAGCGTGTGAGATACAAAGCACATACTCACCGGGGGCCCAACGAAGCCTTCCATCCCTCGCTCCCCAGGCTGGCCACGATCTCCCTGTCAATAAAAGATCAATATTTACAAATCATTGTGGAATCCTGTAGCTCAGTGGTTAGAGCACTCGCCTCACAAGTGAGAGGACCCGGGTTCGATTCCCGGCAGGGTGACACGTTGGGCAAGTTTCCTGACTCCACATGCCTCTGTTTACCTAGCAGTAAGTGGAAAAACGGTTGTTAGTCGCTTGGCAGATCGCTTTTCCGGGGGTAATAATCTCTTCAAAAGAAATAAATAATAAATAGTGATTTAGTCAGCGCTGTGCGCAATTGGCTGCCGCATTTCACCCACGAATTATACGGTCAATTCACCTTACAGTGTATTCAGTGAAGTGCTTTGAAACGTCTCGAAGACGTGTAAGGCACTACATCAAAGGCAAGGATAATTATTATTATCCCAAGCGATCACAACGTAAGAAATAAGAAACCAGAGGAGATCAGAAAACATAGCGATCTACAAATTAAACGCGGATGTATCTGGCAATGTGAAACAAACACGGTTCTTCTAATCGTGGTTACAACTGGGACTGTTAATAAGCCTATTCGGGAATGGCTTAACAAAATACCTGGTGCACAAAATATCAACCGCATATTTTCCCAACAGCGGCATCTTTAACGTCCAACTGAACCGGCACAGACAGAGCCTCGGTGTAACGTCTCATCTGAAGGGCGCCGCCGCTGACAGTGCAGCACTCCACCAGCACTGCACTGGAGCATCAGCCTGGACTGTGAGCTCCCCAAAGCGGAGCTTAAGTCAACAGCTTTGGTGACTCAGAGGCCGGAGTGTTACCGACTGAGCCAGGCTGAGAGCCAGCAAGTGGGACTCAGCAAGGAAACACAAAGCAGATAATGCCAAGGCTGATCGGATGAATGATTTACATTTATACAGCGCGCCTTCGCACAGGATTGCGTCTCAGAGCGTCTCACAGTGTAACCACCGCGCAAGGCAGGAGAGGTGAGGGGGAGTTGACCATAGGCACGGTCAAAGAGGAAACCACAACAAACTGAAGGCCCGACAGCTGAATATATTGTAAAGTGGATCGACTGCGTATGTTGTGAGTGAAAAGTGGCGCACGGCAGTGTCCCACAAACAGCTGTGGATTGAGTGACCACATTGTTTTTTTGAGGCATTATCACCCCTGGAAAATGCGGAAGCCAATTGACTAACAATCAGGTTCCTACTCACTGCTAGGTAATAATAATAATAATAATAACAATAATAATAGTAATAATAATAATAATAATAATAATAATCCTTGCACTTGATAGAGCGCTTTTCACGTCGGGAGGACATCCCAAAGCGCTTCACAGAACACACTGTAGAGTGAATTGACTGTATATTTGTGGGCGAATGCGGCAGCCAATTGCGCACAGCAATATCCCACAAACAGTCGTAGATTGAAAATGACCAATTTATTATTGTTTTGGGTTTTGGAGGGATTATTATTAGGCTCTGTGTGGAGTAAGGAAACTTGCCCGAGGTTTCGCCCTCTGCCGGGAATTGAACTCAGGTCTCTCACTTGCAAAGCGAGTGCTCTAACCACTGAGCTACAGCACTCCACAAACAGGTAAACAGAGGCACGTGGAGTAAGGAGATTTGCCTGAGGTTTCACCACCCCCACCCCCCCACCCCCAACCCCCCGGGAATCGAACCCGGGTCCTCTCGCTTGCAAGGCGAGCGCTCTAACCACTACGCGACTGGACTCTATAGTAAGTGCTGGCTGGCAAGCTTCGTAATGTTGGCCGGCACAGACAGCCCAGTTGCTGACTTGCATTATAACAAATCTTGCTGTTCGAAGGTCTGGCAAGACAGAGCTGGGACCGGCTCCGTTAACACTGGTTCTGTTTGACTAAATTTTACTCAGTACCCATTAACTCTAAACTTCCACAAAACAGCGCCTGTATGCGAATTAATTGATTCCTTTTGTTTAAGCGATGGGAAATCTCACTTGATTCTTGCAATACCTTCGCCCTCTGTGCCTCCCCCAACCCCCCCCCCCCACCCTCACCACCCATTACCTCAGAAAGGGAGGCGTAAATTAAGCCAATTTCAAGGCTTTTTGTCTCTTCGGTGACTTAGAAATAACAACACTCCTTACGTTTAATATAGTAAACCTCAATTTAGGAGCACGTCTCGGATGCCTTCACAGGGCATACTGTAAAGTGTTTTCTAAGCGAACACAGCAGCCAATTCGAGCATAGCAACATCCCACAAACAGCTGTGATATCACTGACCAATTTTATATTTGGGATTGTGGGCCAGGACACCAGGAGAGAGAAACTCCCTTCTCTTTTCCAATAGCGCTGCGGGTTCTTTAACATCCACCTGAACAGGCACAGACGGGGCCTCGGTTTAATGTTTCATCTGAAGGACGGCATCTCCGACAATGCAGCACTGCATTGGAGTGTCAGCTTAGATTAAGTGATTGCAAGTCCTGATGTGGGGCTTGAACCCACAACCTTCTGACTCAGAAGCAAGAGCGCTACCACTGAGCCAGGCTGACCTTACGATGTAATAAAAGTACAGAGATGGGTTAATGGCGTCCCCCACCCGTCCTTACGTTCCTAGTCAGTGTTACCACCACGGAGATCAAGGGTCACTTGAGGTCAGTCTTACCTTAGGTCCTGTCGGGCCAGGAGGTCCCGCCAATCCCTGGATTCCTGCATCGCCCTGAAACCAAGAGAGAATGGATTACGATAAGGGCAGGCTGGAATTATACTGGGACAACCCGATTTACAGCCTGACACGTTCGGAAACTCATCTCCGTGCTTCAGAGAATCCAAACCAAACTGAGAACTCCATGCATCCCACATGGAAACTCCAGAGAGGGATTGTCGGAATGGAATGCGCACTCTCCTCCTCCCTGGAGGGACGTATTCTGCTTACCTAATTCCGGAGAGTATTGGTAAGAGCCAAGGCTTGGGTACCCCAAAGTGTGCGTTGGGGTATCTGCTGGAGTCTAACCAGTTAAAATGGCATAGCTTTGTCATCTATAGCACTGTCTGGGAGAGGAGAGGAGAGGAGGGGAATTGAGGAAAGGAAGGAAGGGGTTAATCAATTTGTTTCCCACTGGCACTAAAATGAGTTGGAACAGTATTCGGGTGATTAAGGTTAACAATAACAACAATCCTTACATTGGAAACAGCATCTTTCACGTCGAAACACCTAATAACACTTCACAGGATTTACTGTAAAGTGTAGTGACTGTATTTTCTGGGTGAATGCAGCAGCCAATTTGCACACCGCGACGCCCCACAGACGACTGTAAAATGAATGACCAATTTTAACCGGGGGATTGTCAGCCAAGACACCAGGCAAGAGAAACTCCCTTCTGTTTTCTAATAGCACCACAGGATCTTTAACATCCACCTGAACAGAGCCTCAGTTCAACGTCTCATCAGAATGACGGCACCTCCGACAATGCATCACTTCCCCCAGCAATGCGCTGAAACGTCGGTCTTGATGTGAGCTCAAAGTCCTCAACGTGGGTTTTGAACCGAAGACGAGAGTGTGAGTGACTGAGTTGGGCTGATAAGAGTTTAGGATTGAGGGTTGTGGAGAGATTGAGATTCTCCCCTGAGACAGTAACACCTTCTAAACCTGATTAAGATCCTCTCTGAGGAAGTAATACATTTTGTTTAGAGATGTAAATACTTTTGAATCGATACCTTTGTGCCTTTGGCTCCATCTCACGGAGTTCAGTAGCTCAGTAGTTAGAGCACTCGCCAAGCAAGCAAGAGACCTGGTTTGTATCCTGACAGGGCAAAACGTTATTTTCTACCACAAAATATACTATCATTTCACTTTAGAGTATATTCTGTGAAGCGATTTGAGACGTGTTGAAGGCTTGATAAGGCGCTATATCAAATGCAAGGATTATTATTATTATCCGTCCCCCTTAGTCCAGGCAGGCCCATCGCTCCCTGTTAAAATAAAAATAATCCTTGCATTTGATATAATGCTTTATCACGTCACTGTGACGTCTCAAAGTGCTTAGCAAAACATTGGCAGCCAATTGCACGCAGCAGCCTCCTACACACATTCATGGACCAAATTATTATTTTTGTTTTTGGAAGGATTATTACCCCTGGAAAGCAATCTGCCAATTGACCAACAACCGGGTTCCTACTTACTGCAAGCTAAACAGGGGCATGTGGAGTAAGGAACTTGCCTCCCCGGGAATTGAACCCCGGGTCCTCTCGCTTGCAGGAAGAGTGCTCTAACACTTTGAGTTAACACTGAATCAGAAGGTTCTCGGTTCAAGCCCCGGGTTGGAAAATAATCCTGGATTGAGTGACCAAATTCTTATTGTCCTAGGAAACTTGCCTAAGGTTTCGCTGCGCCCAGGAATCGAACCCGGGTCCTCTCGTTTGCAAGGTGAACGCGCTAACCACTAGGTTACGGGAGTCTACCGTGAAGCGTAGTGACTGTGGTGAATGGGGCAGTCGATATGTACACAGCAACGTCCAACAAAAACAGCCCTGAAGTGACTGAGCAATTTTATCCTGGGGAATTGTCAGGCAGGACATTGGGAGAGAGAAACTCCCATGGCTTTTCCAATAGCGATGCGGGATCTCTAACGTTCACCTGAACAGGTAGAGACGGGACCTCGGTTTAAACCTGTTAATCTGTGATTGAATTAATCTGTGAAATTCTGCCATGTGAACTGAAGAACGACGCCTCCGACAACGCGCTGCTATCCCTTGTCAGCCTCACGTGTGAAAATGAAGCAATTTCGGGTCCTAAACAAACGTGGTTAATCCTGGCAGCGACTTGGGCTCCAGCCAACAGGTTTATTTATAATTTTTATGAATTAACAGAGAGATCTCAAGTGTAGCCTCAGACGTCAGATGCAGTCGATTAGAAAGAGCTGATAAGCGACAGGTGTCAGGCGCCGGCTGTGTTATTACAAGGTGGCGTCAGTTACCACAGGAGCTAAAGTAGCTCCATAAAGTGTAGTGGTCCCGAAGGGTATGAAACGAATGGCTGTGGAAATCAGCCGGTAACTCGCATCACACGAAGGCCCAACGGAACCACCTCCTGTCAACGTACAGTGGAGGGACATGAATGGGCAAACACCAGGAATAATAACCCTCGCATCTGACACAGCGCCTTAGTACGTCCGAATTTCGCAGATTAATTCAATTACAGATTAACAGATTTAAATTAAATTAAATGATTACGCAGGGAGACAGAGCTGCAAAACTCTTCACAGGTTACATTGCAAAGTAGGGCCACTGTGTGCGTTTTGTGGGCAAAACCCAGCAGCCAGTTTGGACGCAACAATGTCCCACAAACAGCCATGAAGTGAGTGCCCGATTTTATCTGGAACATTGTTGGCTGGGACACCGAGGGAAGGGGTTGGGTGGGATGGAGGGGTTTAGGGTGGGGGTGGGATGGGGGTTTGAAACTCCCTTCTCTTTTTAAGTAGTGTTGCGGGATCTTTTAGGTCCACCTATGGGCTTTTTTTTACACTGCTTCCCGTCCCACGTGTATCAGCCTGGATCGGTGGTAGCATTCTCGCCTCCGAGTCAGAATGTTGTGGGTTCAAGCTCCAGGCGGGACTTGGAATCACGAGGTCTAAGCTGACTCTCCAATGCGGCGCTGGGGGTGGGTTGCACTGTCAGAGGCTCCGTCCTTTGATGAAACGTTAAACCGAGATTCTGTTCGTGTCTGTTCAGGTGGATTTTTAAGATCCCACGCACTCCCCGTGTCCTGGCCGACAATCACCCAAACGAAACCAACTGGTCACTCACTCCACGGCCTTTTGTATGACATTGTTTTGCGCAAACTGGCTGCCCCGTTTCGCCCACAAAACACAAGGTCAAATCCACTTCACAGTAAATTCTGTGAAGCGCTTTGAGACATCTCGACGACAGGATAAGGCGCTATACCAAATACAAGGATTATTATTATGTTATTGTTATCCCCGCGTCTGTGAGGCACAGGAGGTGGATGTCTCGCTGGATGGTGCAGAGAGAAGCTCCAATAATACACAACGGAGGCACTGTGACGTACCTTTGCCCCTCGTTCCACTGTCAACTGGCTCGAGCTCACCTGCAATTGAAAAGATAGTGTTGACAGGCTGTCCGCCAATGGGAATACGGGCTAACACAACAACAAATTGCATTTATACAGTGCCTTTGGGACAATGAGGGGTTTGCACCTGAGTTATGGGTTGGGATCAGAGGAGGTGGAGGGCGAGGAGGGTGGAGGAGAGAAGATGACCAAAGGCAACGGTCTTACAGGGGGCAAGGGAGGTGCAATGTGTCATATCAGTGTATCAGTACAAGTTGGCAATGGGTCACAAGACAGATTCGGATTAAGAATGTTCCTTCCGTTTGCTACAGCATCGAGACATCCCAAAGCACATCACAGGATTTTACCGTAGAGTATTGTTCGTGTGTTTTGCGGACGGACACTGCAGCACAGCCACAGAGTCGCACAGACAGCCACAGAGTGAATGAGGACACAGACAGACACAGAGTCGTAAAGGGGCAATTTCAGGACTTACACCAGGAAGTATATCTTTACCCAGAGGGTAATTAACGACTGGAACCGGAAGGGTGGTTCAGACCCAGACATTGGGACTCATTTAAAAAGTAGCTGGATGCTGTGATGATGGGATGGTAGGGCTAGTGTTCTGGAGGGATGAGATTGGGGATGAAGGGTCTTCTTCATTCAAACTGATTTTGTGATGTAAGGGGCCTACCGTATCTCCTTTTTCTCCTTTGGGGCCAGGAAATCCCGGTTGACCTCTGTCTCCCTGTTAACAGCAAGAAATAATAATAATATTATTATACTATTATTATACTATTTATTATTTTAATATTTAATACTATTCTGCCAGCGATTAAGACAAGCTGTGGCTCTTCAGCCTCAGAAAGAGATGTTTCCGAGAGGACCTCATTGAGTTGCGTAAGGGAGACAACAACTTGCAATTTATAATAATAATAATAATCCTTGCATTTGATACAGCGCCTTATCATGTCTCGAGACGTCTCAAAGCGCTTCACAGAACATACTGTAAGGTGAATTGACTGTATGTTTTGTGGGCGAAACGCGGCCGCCAATTGCACACAGCAGCGTCCCACAAACAGTCGTGGATTGAGGTGTCCAATTTTCTTTGGAATTATTATCCCCAGAAAAACAACCGGGCTCGGTAAACAGAGGCGCGTGGGGTAAGGAAACATGCCCGACATTTCACCCGGCCGGGAATCGAACCCAGGTCCTCTTGCTTGCGAGGCGAGCGCTCTAGCCACTAAGCCACAGAATTAATTGGTACCATCTTGGAGCGCTGGACGGTGATGGAGCTTGATGCTGAGCTGGAGCAAGGCAAGTACACAATGCACGATACATTAATACAGTGCCTTTCACATCAGTAGGACAGGATGTCTCTAAGGTTTACTGTAAAAGTGCAGTGACTGTGTTTTGTGGGTGAAACGTTTGCACGTAGAAACATTCACAGCGAACCACCAGTACTGACCTTTGGACCTGGACGCCCCGCTTGTCCAAAGCTGCCCTGTGGAGGAACACAAGGGAACAGTCAGAGCATGAGACGGAGGACATTTAATGCAACAGCCAAAACTTTTGCTGCGGAAAAATGTTCGTCGTAAATAGGAAATGAATTGCTGGGCGACCTTCTTTCTAACACGGTCATCGAGGCCCAATCCCAAATCACGTCAGGTGAGAGAAAATGGCCACCTTCCAGGTCATCAGGTCACCACTGATGACGGCACAGCCCAGGTTGGCTCATCAGCAGGAATTGAAAGGGCAGACTAGTCAATGGGGGCAGGGAATCCTACCACTCAGCTCCCTTTAACCCTGCAAGCCAAAGCCCTATCTGGTCGGGTGGTCATAGCTTCACAAGTAGCAGCAAAACTTGTCTGTCAGTGCTTTGTCTTAAAACACTATGATAATAATCCTTGCATGTGATATAGCGCCTCATCACGTCTTCGAGATGCCTCAAAGGGCTTCTAAGATGAATTGACTATATATGGGTTAAACGCAGCAATAGTGCACAGCAGTGAGCCACAGACAGTCATGGATTGGGTGAACAAATTATTATTTTTTTAAATGGATTATTACCCCTGGAAAGCAATTCGCCAATCAATTAATCACCGCGTTCCTACTGATTGCGAGGTAGGCAAGGCAGGCATATGGAGTAAGGAAAGATGTCTAACGTTTTCAGAGATTATCACCCCCGGAAAGCGATCCGCCAATTGACTAACAACCGGGCTCCTACTTGCTGCCGGGTAAACAGAGGCGTGTGGAGGAAGGTGAGCAGGGAATTTCGCCCTGACCGGGAATCAAACCCGGATCCTCTAACTTGCAAGGCAAGCGTGCTGACCGTTACGCTACGTGGGGAAGATCCAAGGCTTGGGGACCAGAGTGTGCGTTGGGTGTAACCGCTGGAGTCTAACCAGCGAAAACTGCATAGCTTTCCATTGAGCGCACAGACACAGAGTGAGACACACAGACAGACACAGAGAGACAGTGACAGACACAGAGAGAGACAGTGACAGACAGAGAGAGAGACACAGAAAGACACAGAGAGACAGTGACAGACACAGAGAGAGACAGTGACAGACACAGAGAGAGACAGTGACAGACACAGAAAAACACAGAAACACAGAAAGACATAGAGAGATAGTGACAGACAGAGAGAGACAGTGACGGACAAAGAGAGAGACAGTGAGAGTGACAGTGACAGATACAGAGGGAGACACACAGAGATACAGTGGCAGACGCAGAGAGACACAGAGTCAGTCACAGACAAAAAGAGACAGAGAGAGAGAGAGAGAGAGACCAAGCCAGCGTTTACCTTCTCTCCCTTAGAGCAGGAGCAGTTGATAGTTTGCCGACTATCAGCTTCTGCGGCGGGTGGGGTTCTTCCGGGGATCTCGATGTCAGGGGCCTGGGTGACAACTGTCAGTCCGCACTGGAGAGAGAGACAGAGAGGGGTGGGGAGAGGGTCTCAGAGAAAGAGAGGGAGAGACAGAAGAGAGAGAAAGACCTCTGTTAACGACAGCAGAGACAAAAATATAAAGCCTTCCACACCCTGAAGTCCTTCACCAGAGCCAGGCGGAGACTGTTTTGAGGATGTCGGTAAGGACACAGTCAACAAGTCCGTTTTTTATGTCATGTTAGAGCTTCCATTTCTTCAATAATTCTCCAATTCTCTCCTCATCGGTATATGCTTCTCTGGCCCTGCGCTGGGCTCTCTGCCCTTGCTCTGGCCTCTCCTCTCCGGGTGCGTTGTCCCTCAGGCCCCGAGCCGGGGCGGGTGGAGGAGAAAGTAAACATGGCCGAAGAGGAAGGTCTTCAGTCATGATCTGAAAGAGGGGTAGGGATTGGGTAGGGGGGTTCCAAGCTTCGGGGCATAGCGGCTGAAACTAAGGCCGCTGATGGTGGACCGAGGGGCTCGAGGGGCAAGCAGGAAGCCAGAACCAGCCCAGCGGAAGCAGCAGGTAGTCGTATGGGGAGAAAGCAAGTCATAGAGGTAGGGAGTTCGCCAGGTAGGGAAGGTACTTGGAGACAACTCCAACTAGCGGGCGGGGATGTGTTACTCACCGGATTGCTTGGGAGATCACAGCAAGTCTCCAGCTCCGCGTCTCTGGCATCGCAGTAAATGACCATCCGCTGCAGTTCGAACTGGAAGGGAAGTCCATCAAAACGCAACTTTCAGTCGTGAGCAATTGAAAGCAATTTATCTCGGATGCAGCAAATATACATAAATAATCCTCAGGCTTGTTGCAGCGCCTTATCGTGTCGTCGGGACCCCCAACCTCACTGCAGAGCCTGTCATTCCACTTTGGAAATGTCTCCGTCCTCAGCTCTCTTTGGTAAAATGGTAATGATCTTCACAGTTGCTATACAAAATATACAGTCAATTCACTTCACAGTGTATTCTGCGAAGCGCTTTGAGACGTCTCAAAGACGTGATAAGGCGCTATATCAAATGCGAGGATTATTATTATCGATACAGTTCCTTATCACATCGGGAGGAGTTCACAGGACTTACTGTTAAGCCTAACGACTGTGTTTTGTGGGTGAACGCAGCAGACAATAGATACCCAGCAGTGCCCCACAAATTAAGTTAATGTCTTATTTTATCTGGGGGATTGTCAGCCAGGACACGGGGAGAGAAACTCTCTTCTACTTTCCAATAGGGCCAAGAGATCTTTAACGTCCACCTCAATAGTCACAGACAGGACAGCGGTTTAAGTTCCCTTTCATGAGCTGGGCTGAGCCACTCAGGTGTAGTGACTGTGCGTTGCAAGAAGGGGGAGCCACTCACATCGATGGGAACGCTGTCGTACAGACGCTTGCCGATGACGGTTTTCCCTCGGATGTCGATGTTCTCTCTCTCTTCGAGGGGTAAGGTGCCCACCAGCTGGCAGTCGATGTAGAGAGCCACGCTGCTGGACCCCACGCTCACCGCCAACTTGTGCCAATTCCGGTCAAACAAGTGGGCCACGTCACGGTGCCTGAACACGGCCCGTACTGCGTCCGTGCTCAGCCCCACCGCGTTGTACTCCACCATTTTGTTCTCACCGTCCAGTCGGATGGAAACCTGAAAAATTGCAGTAATAGCCCTACGTTTGTACAATTCATATGTGAGACTGGGGTAAGCAGTCTGGAGGACTGTGTCCAGCTTCAGGCACCGCACTTCATGAAGGATGTTAAGACGTTGGGAGGGGCAGGAGAGCACAGGAGGCTGATCCCAGGAATGACGAGGGGGGCTACAGTTAAGAGGAGAAATTGGAGAAGCTGAATCACTACGCCCCGAGGAATGACGACAGACCCCGAGTGGTACACCCGGCAGTTTCCTCACAGAACGCTCCCTCTTTCCCCAGTGAGAAACTCCTCTACGTCCTTCATTCCCTGCCCAGCCCCCCTCCTCACCCTACCTCTGCGACCTACTGACCTGCCCGTTCCCTTTGCCCAGCAAACACCAGCTTGCTTCATGTCCCCCATCTGCCCCATCATTGCCATTTCGTCTCCGTTCTCTGGAGTTCCATTCCTGGAGTCCTTCCGACTCCCTCCCTCACCCCCTCTTTCAAGGCATATCAAGACCTAACTCTTTGACCACGCTTTCGGTCATCTTTTCCAGCTCCCCATCCCAACTCTTCTCAGCTCCCACCCCCAGCTCAGGTGCCCAACCGGCAGTGCAGAGCCAAGGCGTCGTGTCAATGTTATGTTTCTGGAAAAAAAATATGCTTGTGCAGCCCCCTGGACCTTCATCAAACAGGGTATCAGGCCAGTGGCAGCCAAAAGGTTGGACCGCGATGATCTGGGGCATGGGGAGCCAGTGAAGCCGGAAGAAGATGGGAGTGATAGGGTCACGGAGCCTGGTGCGGGAGAGGACACGGGCTGCAGAGTTCGGAATAATCTGCAGCTTGTGGAGGAAAGAATTGGGAAGACGGGCGAGCGGGGAGTCAGCTTAGGTCAAGCCTGGATGTTACCAAAGCGTGGACGAGACTCAGTGAACTATGCGTCTGAGACCTGGAGGAATGCGTTGCTGGCTGGTTTGCCCCGGGGTGAGTGACAGCCCAGCTGTCAGTACCTGGGGGATGCCGTATTTGTCAATGATCTGCCAGATGTACCAGTCTTGCTTCCTCGAGGCTTTCCTGAACTTGAAGGTGGTGACGAAGGCATACTCATCAGGCAGGCCTTGAGGAAACACGTCGCTGCAGAGAGAGAGAGAGAGACACACACGCGGATAGAGAGAGAGAGGAGAGAGAGACGCGCACAGATAGATAGACTCGCGCACAGATCGAGAGAGAGAGAAACACACACAAAATATAGAGAGACAGATACACAGATAGAGAGAGAGAGAGAGAGGAGAGAGACGCGCACAGATAGATAGACTCCGCACAGATCGAGAGAGAGAAACACACACAAAATATAGAGAGACAGATACACAGATAGAGAGAGAGAGAGACACACACACACACAGATAGAGAGCGAGAGAGACACACACACACACACACACACAGATAGAAAGAGACACAAAACGTTAGGAAGTCCGCTTTGAGACGTCCTCTCGACACGAAAGGCACTCGACTAGACCAAATGCAAGGATTATTATTAATATATTACACATTATTAATAATAAGAAACCTTGCATTTGATATCGTCCTTATCACGTCGTTGAGCCATCTCAAAACGCTTCACAGGATATACTGTAAAGTGAAGCGACTGTATGTTTTGTTGTCGAAACGCGAAAGTCAGTTTACGCACAGTATCGTCCCACAAACAGCCTGAATTCAGTGACTGATTTTATCTGGGGGACTGTTGACCAGAACACCAAGGAGAGAGAAACTCCCTTCTCTTTTTAAACAGCGTTACGGGATCGTTAACCTGAACAGGCACAGACGGGACCTCGGTTTAACGTCGCATCCAAAAGATGGTGCAACTGGACTGCACTGGAGTGTCAGTCTCTAAGAATGTATAACACTCCTTGCAGTTGATATAGTGCCTTAACACGTCTTCGAGATGTCTCAAAGCGCTTCACATAATATACTGTAAAGTGAATTGACTGTATGTTTTTATGGCCGAAACGTGGCAGCCAATTGCGCACAGCAGCGTCCCACAAACAGTCGTGGATTGAGTGACCAAATTATTACTATTTTTATTTATTTGGGAGAGATTATTACCCCCAGAAATATGATCCGCCAATCGACAAGCAACCAGGTTCTTACTTACTGCTACATAAACAGAGGTGCGTGGAGTAAGGAAACCTGCCGAAGGTTTTGCCTCACTCGGTGATCGACTTACGTGATTCCAAGTCCCAATTTCTGAGGCGAGAGTGCTACCACTGAGTCAGGCTGACACGCCATCAATATTATCAATAATGTAAATTGTATTCTGCTGGAACTTCATCTGACGCCCTCCCTCCCTCCCTCCCTGCTCTTTACATAGATTTAATCAGAATGTACAGCACGGAAACAGGCCACTCAGCCCAATCAGTCCATGTCGGTGTTTATATTTCACACTAGTCTTCACCCTTTCCTTTAAGCCTCTATTCCTGTCTCCCTCATATGAAGGTCTAGCTTCCTCTTGAACGCGCTTACACTGTCTGCTTCAAACACCGCTTCAGGCAGCGAGTTCCATAGTTTCACTAATCTCTGCGCGAAGTAGTTCCTCCTAAGTTCTCGCTCAAAGACCATCTCTCCATCCAGACTTTTGGTCATCTTTCCCCTCACTCAGCTCCCACGTAACTCAGGCTCAGCCAGCAGCAGAGTCAAGCTTCGAGTACAAATTGGCTGTTGTGTCGGCTCACGAAGCCCACAGTCACTACACTTGTGTCCCTCCAGAGAAGGAGACGAACAGAAATATCCCCACGTAATCAGTATTGGAGACTCTTAAAAACACAGAGGTGGTCAGACCCGCAGCTGACCAAGCAGGAGGAATTAACACAACTTGATACAATGGTCTTAAGGCTGAGACGATGTGAAATTCCAGGGGGCCTTATCCACGTTCTTACACAATGCTCAACCGTGTAAAGCTGAGCCTGAGGGGTGAGAGAGTGGTGTAGTATAACAGCAGAGCCTAAACGGTAACACATAACTCTAGGCTCCCTGCTATTCTGATCTGTTTTCCAGACTCTTGGTCAGAATGGAGCCGAATAATTCGGGTCTATTTTCGTCTGACTTTGCCTGAACCGGGGACAGAAACAGTGGGGGTGGGGGCGGGGGAGCGCGGGGTGGGAGGGAGAGAGCTGGAGGGTCGAGATCTATGGAGCAACGGCCAGGCTGCCTAACTGGGAACATAAGGACTGCTCTCGAGAGGAAGATGGGTTTTGTGGCGATTCTCGTTGTCACATTCCACCTGTCCTCCATCTTGCGCAGAACCCAATCCCTCTTACCGTCACCAAGTTATCCAGTTTCCTATTATGCAACAATAATAACCCTTGCAGTTGGTACAACACCTTATCACGTCTCAAAGCAGTTTGGGTGAATTACCGTGAAATGAAACAACTGTGTGTTTTGTAGGCAAACATGGCAGCGCGATTGCACACGGCAACATCCCACCGACGGCCATGGAGTAAGTGATCAGTTTTATTGAGGGGATTGTCAGCCCGGACACTGAGAGAGAGAAACTCCCTTCTCTTTTCAAATAGTGGCATTGAATCTTTAATGTCCACCTTGAATAAGTCCCGACGTGCGGCCTGAACCCACAAGCTTCTGACTCGGAGTTACGAGTGCTACCACTAAGGCTAAGACACGTAAGGTGACACCCTATTAAAAGCACCCACATGGGCAGCTCCAAAGGTGTAGTGGACAGTTTAGTGAACCGAGTGTCTGGAATGGAATGAACACTCTCTCTCGCTGGAGGGACACATCCTATTTACCTAATTCCAGAGAGTATTAAATACAGGTTGGTGAGAGCCAACGTTTAGGGACCCCAAGATTGTGCGTTGGGGTAACTGCTGGAGTCTAACCAGCAAAAACAGCTTGCCATTACGAGCACCGTCTGGCATGCTTTTCCACTGCTCGTTCAGCTAGGATCACTCTACAACAACTTGTATTTATATAGGGCCTTTCACGTTGGGAGGACAGTGAAGGGTTTGAACCCTAGTTCAGGTTGGGATCAGAGAGGGCTGGATGGCAAAAGTGGGTGGAGGTATGAAGGATGACGGTCAAAAAAGGAAGGTCTTGAGATGGGCCTCGAAGGATCTGGGTTCCATTCCCAGGAAGAGTGAAATGTTGGGTAAGTTTCCTTACTCCACACGCCTCTGTTTGCCTAGCAGTAAGTAACAATAAAATAATAACCCTTGCATTTGATATAGCGCCTTATTATGTCTTCGAGACGACTCAAAGCTTCTTCACAGAATATACTGTAAAGTGAATTGACTGTATATTTTGTGGGCGAAACACAGCAGCCAATTGTGCCCAGCACACATTGATTGAGTGACCAATTTCTTTTTGAAGGGATTATTACCCATGAAAAAGCGATCCAACAATCGATTAACAGCCGAGTACCGACTTGCTGTTAGGCAAGCAGAGGTGCGTGGAGTGAGGAAACTTATCTAACACTTCACCCTACTGGGAATCGAACACAGGTCTCTCGCTTGCGAGGCGAATGCTCTAACCACTGAGCCACAGGACTGTTTGTTAAGTAGACTGGAGGATCGCCTTTCTGACCACAAAATACAGTTACTCCAATTTACAGTATATTTTGTGAAGCGCTTTGAGACGTCTCAATGACGTGATAAGGTGCTGTATCAAATGCAAGGAGCATTATTATTATTATTATTATTATTATAAGAAAGCAAGGGAGGGGGAGAGGCGGGGAGGCTCCGGGATGGAGTTCCAGAAGGTGAGGGCAGAAAGGCTAAAGGTCCAACTGCCGACAGTGGAGCTGTTTAGTGATGACTCTAACCGTAGGTGCTTTGGTTGACAGGGATAACGAAACCTGAGAGGGAAGAATGCCTCCCTCCCTCCCCCCCACCCTCGCCAGACTGGCCTGTCCCCCAAGTACTGCCGATGAGCCAGGCTGGGCCACACTAGATTGGGCTGCGCTGGACTGGGTTGTCATCAGCAGTGCCCTGGAGCTGAGATACTCGCTTGCAAAGACATTATCGAGTGGGACAGCTGAGTTGAGAGCCCATTCCACATAAGCTGTGAGGCTGAAGCCTCGCCTGGGGCTACAGTTCATGTCCCGTCCTGTCATCACCGATAACATGGGTGAGAAGCACGAAGGGGGGGGAAAAAAAAACCTTTCATTGGCGCCTTATGTTAAATGAGCTTTGACTCTCCATTGGGCTGGAGAGGGGGAGCTTTCCCGTGGGAACGTGAGGTATTTATTTTGAGTTTAAATTTCTGATTGATGTCAACCGGACATTGAACTAATTTATCGATCTTTAACCTTCCCCACCCGCACACCCCCCACCCCCCACCACCACATACCCACACCTCCACTGATGTTTTTAATGAGAGACGCAGAATTCTGCCGCGCCTCTGCCTTGTTCAAACAACCAGAGGCTTTCTCGCCTCTGGGGAAGGAGGTTGTGGGTTCAAGCCCCCACGTCAGGAACAGAGCACCGCAATGCCAAAGGCGCCGTCCTTCTGATGAGACACTAAACCCCGTCTGAGTATTAAACCAAGCCCAATTGGTGTGGGCCTAATTGACCGCATTAACAACAATAACTTTTATAGCGCACTACACGTGGGGTAGCGTCTTGGATCGCGTGTTAATAAAGTTCCGTTTATCAATCTCAGATCAGTATTGCTTCAGTACAATACAGCACATGTTTACGCAAGCGCCTTTCACACCACGAGGACGTCTCCGCTGCTTCACACTGCTGGTCGGACGGCCGAGCAGGGTCCGACCGAAAGATGACCGTAAGCGCGGTTAAAGAGGCAGGTTTTGAGACGAGTTGAGGGAGAGGGTGAAATGTAAAATTACTGCTAAAGTGGAGTCCTGTAGCTCAGTGGTTTGAGCACTCACCTGGCAAGCGTGAGGACCTAGGCTCGATTCCCAGGCCGGGCAAAATGTTGGGCAGGTTTCCTTACTCTGCTTACCTATTAGTAACTGGGAACCTGGGTGTTAGTTGATTGGCGGACCGCTTTTCCGGGAGTAATAATTCCTCAAAAAAATGGGTCACTCAATCCACACCTGTTTTTGGGACACCGCTGTGCGCAATTGGCCGCCGCATTTCGCCCACAAAACATACAATTAGTTTGCTTTACAATATATTCTGCGCAGCGCTTTGAGACGTCTTGAAGACGTGATAAAGCCCTATATCAAATGTGAGGAATATTATTATACCGCACAGGAGGGATTGCACTGGAGCAACGGCACTGGAGCGACTGCACTGGAGCGGGGCGATTGCACTGGGACAACTGTACTCGAGCAGAGAGCGCGATAGCGAGAAGGCTGACTTACTCTGTCAGCTGGACGACGGGCATTGAACCAAGCCGGACAAATCCACCGTCCTTCATTTCAACGATGCTTTTCACATGGAACAACTCCATCAGGTCAAAGCCTGTGCCACACACAGGATGGGGTGGGGGGAGGGCGGGGGGGGGTTGATAGTGGGGAGAAGAAACAGGCTTACAATGGTGTATTCATTCTAAATCATTCATTAAAGGTTCATGTTGCCTCGGACGATGATGTGTTATTTCTGTGAAGGTGAACTCTCGTTCTTAAGGGTAAGGTTCACCAAAACTCACTGAGATCCTCAATGATCCAGTGTTTTGGAGTGAACGCACTCCAATCTATTAAGCATGATTTGACACATACGCTAACTTTTGATCATGTAGTTGACACGTTTGCAACGATGAAAACACAGACGGAGAGGCGGGGTTGGGCGCGACTGTGGAGAGCTGTAAAGGTGAGGATGAGAATCTTGAACTCGACCCTCTGGGGGATGGGGAGCCAGTGTAAATGAAACAAGGAAAGGCGTAAGGTACAAACCCTCAGGTGATGGGAGGTAATTGCCTTGCAATACAAACAAAAACGTGTTTTGCTGTGAAATTGACTCACCCGGTATATTGGCCGAGGATTGGCCGACTAATTTGAACTGGTCTCCGCTCACTCGCAGATTGGGACACAGCACGTCTGCGAGAAACAAACAAGACGCATCATGTCATATCACATCAGGCAAATCCATCCTTCGGGTGAGACGTTAAGCTAAGCACGACGACCGGTATTGTGGATTAGCTAATCAGTTGCGCAAAGCAATGACCCGCAAATAGCTATGAAGTGAGTGACCAATTTTATTTGGGGGGACTGTTGGGGATTAAAAAAGATCTGCCGAGATACAATAACCCATGAAGGAGAATGGATCAATGGGACCAAATGGTCAATTCCTTGTCCCATCTTAGCCATGTGGCTCCCTCCCGGCACTAGTTTGGGAATACCAGTTTAACCCAACTTTATAGGGTGACGCTTGACGTATCTCACGCTTTCCCATTCCTAAGTGACATCAATCGTTGCGTTTGATGCAGCCCTTTTCGCTTTGTGAGCTCATCTCAAGGCGCTTCACGGGATTCACGGTGAAGTGTAGTGACTGTTCACCTATCCCCAGTGGAAGTTGTTAATCAAGCCGTGGTGGTGCCGGTGCTCAGGAGACCCTCAGACTCAAGGCCACAAACCAGTCGCAAAAACGGCCGGTGTATATTTAACAAGACTATTTGCGGGGAAAGGGATTTGAACCTGAATCTTGATTGCATTGCTCTGAGTCAGTCGGCCGTTTTAAATGACAGCTGCACTCTTTTTATAAATTCCCCTCACTTGCTTCCAGGACGGACTGGGTGATGGCACTTTATAATTCCTTCTCCCGGCCCCCATCCCCAATCCATTCCCCCGCCGCCCGCAAGCTGGAGTGGGGCAGCAGGTGGGAGGAAGGAAGCACCACCTTGTGTTAAATATAATAGTGCTAAAATAACACCCTCTAAATCGCCCCCCCACCCCCCACCCCCCCGAAGGCTGCTCCCCTGCCCCCCACCCCACCCCCACAACACACCCAACAAACTGGGTGGGGGGGAGAATCTTGTGTGTCAACAGGAACTGTAAATTGGATTCCTCGTCTCCTCCTTGCAACCCTTTCACCTTGAAGGTCTACATCTTTCCCACAATACACAGTCAACCCCACTTTCCAGTGAATGCTGAGATGTTAAAAGCGAGGTATCACATGGAAGGACTGTTATTATTTATTCTGATGACACGGTATGACGCGATATCAATGTGATGTGCCAGTACGCCTCCCCCCCCAAACTCTAGAAACTCTGGAACGCTCTGTCTCTAAACCTCCTTCTTGTCCGCCTTCAGGTCACAATCGGGCTCATCGTAACAGTGTTGGTTTGCTATCCTCCAATAAAGCCAACAACCAAATCCTGACTCCCTGCTCTATCCCCTCCCCTGCACCCTCACGATCCTTCCTCCCTGTTTTGCAAGATCACAAGATCGGTCTGGATGAAGAAGACCATTCAGCCCATCTGATCTCCTCCCTCTATCGCAGCACCAAACTGGTTCTCAGCTGAATCCCAACACTGCCTGTTGTCACTGCCTATTAGAGGAAAAGGGTCATCCACTGCACGGTTTGGCTGAGAGTGTGCGTTGGGGTAACTGATGACGCTTAACCGGATAAAACCACATTTTGCAATACTATATATTTTGCAACCACTGTACTACATATCCTGTACTATAGTGGTTAGTGCACTTGCACTTGCGAGCGAGAGGACCCAGGTTCGATTCCGGAGTGGAGCAAAACTATTCTTCAGCGATGTGGATAATAATAATAATAATAATAATAATCCTTGCGCATTATCAAGTGCAAGGATTATTTATTATTGAGAGCACTATCTGGCAAGCTTTCCCATGGCTTGTCTCGCCAGGACCATCGTGCCTATTAGGGCTTTGGCTCACAGAGTTAACGAGAGCTGAGTGGGCGAGTTTTGTGTCTCTGGCAGAGAACATCCCACTTTGAAGTGGAGAGTAGGGCCGGGTCGGGGCGGACGCAAATAGCTGCCTCAGAATAGCTGTGGGTTAAGTGCCCAGTGTAATCTTTGCCTGCTGGCTCTGGTCTCTCTGGAAAAACATCAGTTACCTTACATTGCATAGGCGTGTGAATTGTCCGTGTTTTTTTGGAAATTGGTTCCAGTCACTCGCTGCATGTGGCAAAGCAACATTCAGGATCGTTCGGTGCACAACAACTAAAGGCCATTGTCATCTCTATTTCCACCTCTATTTTCTATATCATCGCATTTAAGCGCTCTGAGACACTCCCCTGTGTGGAAGGGAAAAGATGAGGGAAAGGGGTGGACAAAGTTAGCTCCTGATGTGGTTTGAACGAGGTGAGCTTGGGAGTCAGAGTCAGAGGGACTCCGGGAATGGAGCTCTAGAGCGCAAGGGGGCAAAATGGCGGCGATGGGGGAGATGGGCGAGGGTGGAGGGAAGACAGGGGGCAAGCTGGGCCGGGTCAGGAGATGGCAGGGTGGGAGGGGGCGCGGGTGAAGGCCGTAATGGAGTTTCTCACTGGGAAAGAGGCAGCTTTTGGTGTGGAAACTACTGGGTGTGTGTCCGTCCGTGTTTGGTGATGGGGTGGGGCGGGGGGCCGGGGGGTGGGTGTTAGCAGAGGCTGCTCTCCAATCACTCGGCTTGGCTCAGGCCGCGTGCTACTGCTCTGTAACGGCTCAAGCGGGAGCCCGATGGACTATCCCGTTTGACACGACTCGGTGGCTCGCTATCTGGCAAGTGAGCCAATCAACAACAACAACAACTTGCACTCATGCCGCGCCCCTCACGCAGGGTAGCGTCCCAGAGCGCTCGACAGCGGCGGAGCACGACGCCGAGCCGGGGTGGGGGGGGGGAGTAGGGGGGTGTGGGAGGTGAGCTTGGGCTCGGCCAAAGAGGAAGGTCTTCAGGGCGTGACCTGAAGAGAGGGGCAAGGAAGGGGCGAGACATAAAGAAGAACGTTCCGGGGCGCGATAGCTGAGAGCACGAGGGGACACGCGGAATTATCGATAGAGAGAGAGAGAGAGAGAGAGAGCAGGCGGCCGGAAGTTGGAAACGGTTCTCGGGACGGATGAAGATTAAGGATCCTGGAGGGCTATTCATAAAGACGAGGGAGTTTTCTCTCTCTCTCTCTCTCTCTCTCTCTCTCCCAGTGTCCTGGCCGACAGTCCCGCAGATAAAGCCGGTCACTCACTCCCTGACTGTCTGTGCGGGACGCCGTGCTGCGCGCAATTGGCTGTCGTGCTTCGCCCGCAAAACGCACAAGTCAATCCACTTTACAGGGTATCCTGTGAAGCGCTTTGCGGCGTCTCGACGTCGTGAAAGGGCGTAATATCAAGTGCAATTTGTTTTTATATACATCATTGCTGCCCTGTGAGCTGTCCCCCGTGAGCTCCAATATGAGTACCCAAGCTCCCGCTAACTATAGCCAGGAATGCAAGTATGATAATTTTGTAAAAATATTCATTCCTCCCCCGAGCACCAGAACCCTTTGGCCTCAGCGACTTTCACGCTGACTTTGGCAGCGTTTCCTCTATTTTCCTGTTTTTTTAATGATAATAATCCTTACATTTCCCATCAGGACGACGGCTCAAAGTACTTCAGGGTTTCCTATACGTGTGTTTTTGTGGGTGAAACGCGGCAGCCAATATACACGCGGCAATGCCCCACAAACGGTCATGAAAAGGATGACCCGTTTTACCTGGAGGATTGTCGGAAGGACACTGGGGAGAGAGAACTCCCTTCTCTTTTCCAATAGCGCCCTCCGTGAGCTGGACAAGCGACGGGAAATCTTATCAATCAGTGCTCTCAATGGTAAGCTGTGTGGGTTAGACAGCAGTTACCCCAAAGCACACTCTGAGGTCCCCAAGCCTTGGCTCTTGCCAACCTGCGCCTAACGCTCTCCAGAACGAGGTAAATTGGCACAGACGAGGCCTTGGTTTCGCGTCTCAACCGACAAATTCTGTTCAAAGGGGCCATGGTCTCGGTTTGGATATTTAGAAAAATAGCCGGAAGCTGCCATCGGGATTTGATTCGCAGATGATACGCTGAACATCTACTCACTCACGTACTAACTCTCGTGCGCACTCACTCACTCACTCACGTGCACAACCGTACGTGTGGGCTTACGCAATCGTGCTCATCCGTGCACGCGGACTCAATCACGCGCAGGACGGTGCACCCTCACTCACTCATAGCGCTGTCCTGCGCATTCACTCACACGCTCACACGATTGAGATTAACAGGAATCGAGTGTAAGGATTCCCTGCCCCCAAGTGACTGGTCGGCCCTTCCGAGTCCTGCCGGCGAGCCAGGCCGGGCTGCGCTGTCGTCAGCAGCGCCCTGGGATGCTGCGGATCTGCCTGGCTCAGGAATCGGACTGGAGACCATCACAGATATAAAGCTGTGTGATGTTTTTTTTTATTTCTGGCCTCCTCTACTCCAGCCTTTGGCAGCTCGCTGGTTTTCCCCTGCTGTGGGTTCATTGCGTGGGCTGTAATTGGTGGGTGTGGAGCTGAATTCAAAGTGTTTGCTGAGTCCGGAGCCTTTAATCAGCCGGCGATGGGCCGATCAACGCCATAACAGCGTGTGGACTTTGTCCAACAAAAAAAAAAAAACGATTGAAAATTAGCTTCACACATTCCCTGAGTTTGACAAAGCTTCTGTCGCTTTTGAAGATCTCAAAGCCCTTCACAACAACAACAACAACAACAAGATTCCATTTATAGAGCGCCTTTCACGTCGGGAGGACGTACCAAGGCGCTGGACAGTTGGGTCAGGACCCGAGCATTGGGGGGGGGGAAATGGTCAGGGTGAGGGGAGGGAAGGGAGGGAGCGAGGAGGGGGTAGAGAGTCGAGAGTGGAGCTGAAGGCTGAAGGTCAAAGAGAAAGGTCTTGAGACCGGCCTTGAAGGAGGAAAGGGAGGAAGCGGCGAAGGCACTGGGGGATGGAGCTCCAGAGCCTCGGGGCTGAGAGGCTGAAGGCCCGACCACCGATGGTAGGGCGGTTGGGGCGGGGGACGTGGAGCAGACCGGAGCCAGAGGAACGGAGGGTACGGGCAGGTAAGTAGGGGGATAGTAGGTCGGAGAGGTAGGAGGGAGCGAGGCCGTGAATGGCCTTGTAGGTGAGGATGAGGATCTTGAATTCGATCCTCTGGGTTACTGTAAAGTGTAGTGACTGTGTTAATATTCTGTGAAGCGTTTTGAGACGTCTCAGTACGTGATAAGGTGCTGTATCAATTGCAAGGATTAATATTATTAAACATCCCACCATTTCCCTGCGGTCCTGCCTCATGACAATGTGCCGCCTCTTTTTTCCTGGTGAAAGCCTATCCCTTGTGGCGTTCCAGCCGCCTGGCCTGGTGATGACCGACAGGCCGAGGGGAGAAAGATTAAGATCGGGTTCGCATCGCCTCTGAACCTCTGAGAGCTTCGCTGCAGTTACAAGGAGCATTCGGTGAATGGCAAACGCCAGGAAAGCTTCACCTGGAGGGGCACTGTATTGTCGGAGGCGCCGTCCTTCGGGTGAGATGTTAAACCGAGGTCCCATCTGCCTGTTCAGATGGACACTAAAGATCCCACAACACTATTCGAAAAGAGAAGGGAGTTTTTCTCTCTCCCAGATAAAATTGTCACTCACCTCCAGGCTGTTTTGTGACACTGCTACGCGCAACTGGCTGCTGTGGTTCGTCCACCAAAATACACAGTCACTACACTTTATAGTATATCCTGTGAAGCGCTTTGAGATGCCTCGATGATGATGTGATAAGGTGCGACATAATGATAATAATAGTCTTTGCATTTTTAATAAGATAACAATAAGAGTCCTTGGAATGTGATAATAATAGTCCTTGCATTTGATATAGCGCCTTATCACGTCATCGAGACGTCTCAAAGCATAGAATATATTGGCACTTCACAGCCAATTGTGCGCCGGAGTCTTCCACACACCGTCATGGATTGAGCGAAGAAATTATTATTATTTTTGGGGGGCGTTATTATCTTTCAAAAAGCGATTTGCCAATTGACTAACAACCAGGTTCCTATTTACTGGGTCAACAGAGACGTGTGGAGTAAAGAAACTTGACTAAGTTTTCGACCGCGCCCAGTACTCGAACCCGGGCCCTCTCGTTTGCGAGGCGAGTGCCCTAACCAATATGCTACAGCACTCCACCATAGGTCCACCATATGTCAAGTGCAAGGATTATTATTATTATTATTCATGCGGGGCAGCGTCTCAGCTCGTGGCGGTGAGATACCGGATGGGACGGGCACGGATGGGCACTTACTCTGGCATAGCCGCCGGCGTAGGACGCCCCTCACCCGGTCGATGGCGTTGTAGTCGGAGACATGGAAGACGTGGGCGGCCTTGGGCTCAGAGGCGATCTCCTGCAGCTCCTCTCGCAGCGCCTCGCCCACTCCCACTGCGAAGACCCGCAGGCCAGCCGAGTGTGCCAACGTGGCGTTGGACAGCACCTCATCCTGGCTACGGCCATCCGTCAGCAGCACCACCACCTGCTGGACCCCCGACTGGCCAGGCCGCCCACCCGCCTGGACTGTGAAGCTATCCAGAGCCACGTGGCCGATGGCCTCCCCTGTCCTGGTGTTGCCCCGCCGGTACGGGATGGCGTTGGCTGCTCTCTGGACGGCCTCAGCGCTGTGGTGAGCCCCCAGCTCAAACTCGGTGTGGGGCCGGTCACTGTAGCTCACCACCCCAACGTGAGTGCCGTCCACCCCCACCTCGAAGGTTTCTACCAGCTTCACCACCCATTGCCGGACCTTCTGGAAGTTCTCTCGCCCCACGCTAGACGAGCTGTCCAACAGGAAGACCAGGTCATAGTGCACGTTCTTACAGCCTGTGTGGGGGGGAAAGGAGGAGTGGGTGGGGAGGAGGCACAGGGTCAACAAGTCAATGAGAGGCAATGACATCAAAGCTTCAGTTTGGCCCTCGAATATCCCTTCGATCCCCCCCCACTCCCACCGCTCTGCCCACCCACCCACGTCCAGAGGACGTCTCAAAGCGCTTCACCAGATTCGCTGTAAAAGATAGTGACTGTGTTTTGCAGGCCAACGCGCAGCCAATTTGTACGGAGCGACGTCCCACAAACAGCCATGAAATAAACGATCGATTTTATCTGGAGGACTGTTGGCCAGGATACCATGGGAGAGAAACTGTTCTTCTCTTTTCCAATAGCGCCGCGGGATCTTTAATGTCCACCTGAACAGGCACAGACGGGACCTCAGTTCAAAAGATGGCACCTCAGACCATCTTTGGTCTAATGCCCCGCCCCTCCCGCCCGGAACCTGATGCCCGAAACAGGCACCAGCAGGCACCTGATGCCCAAAATTCAACAATGTGCCAAGATGGTCACCTGCTCTCTGCGCCCTGGTCTCCTCTCCAGCCCATAGCAATGAGAGAACAGCCACCCACCACGCCAGACGGGGTACCACTCCACAGGTCATCTCAGGGGCAACAAACCCTGTGTGTAAAAGACAAAGAAATCAACCATGGAGCTTGGGGAACTGTGTCCGCCCACAGGTCGCATTTTTTTGGGTGGGTCGGCCGGGTTTCTTAAGAGTCTCCAAACCGACACATGGAAATCCCAGAGATAGAGTGTTGGAATGGAATGCGCTCTCTCTCCCGGGAGGGCCTCATCCTGCTTATCTCATTCTGAAAAAAGGTTAAGCAAAAGGTTGTCAGGTGTCCAGAGTGTGCGTTGGGGTAACTGCTGGAGTCTAACCAGCTGACGTCGTATAACTTGCATTGAGAGCACCGTCTGGCCAGCTTTCCCGCTGCTTGTCCAGCCAGGACCGCCCTAACCGTTAGGGCTTTGGTTTGCAGGGTTAACAGGAGCTGAGCGGGATGACTCCCTGCCCCCAGTTCCTGGAGTACAGCGGATCGGCCTGGCTCAGGAACCGGACTAGAGACCGTCATGGAGGGCTGGCTCGATTCTGACATTCCAATGCCAAACATGTCACCTTGGAGCCAGTTCAGCTCAGAGGAGAACCTGCTGATCTTCCCCCCCAAAGGAGGATAGTCACCAGTTGCAGTTCTACAAACTTAGCATAAAATATTCTTTCAACCTGCCCAGCCAGCCAGACAGTCATGCAGATTAGATTATATGCCACGGCCATGTTTATTTTTAGCTGCTTTCTGTTAAGTGTTTTTTTTCCCCATGAAAAATGCATCCTTTAATCAGCGGTTGAAATGCCAACTCCACTCGCAACACAGCATACATTTACACAGCGCCTTTCACTTCAGGAGGATATCCCAAAGGGCATTCACAGTTCCGGCCGGGGTACTCGAGCAGGGAGGGTGTGGTGGGGAAAGGCGACAGAAAGCGCGGTCAAAGAGGAAGGTCTTGAGATGGACCTTGAACGAGCGGAGGGAGCGCGTGTGTCGGAACGACTTGGGGAAGGATTTCGAGAGCGAGGGTGCAAAACAGCTGAAAGCTTGCCTGCTGATGATGGCGGGGGCGGGGGCGTGGGGGGGGGGTGGCAGGGAGGGGCAGGGGACATGAGTGAAGGGAACGGAACGGGCGAGTCAGTGGGTTGTGAGGAGGTTACAAAGGTAAGACGAGGGCGAGACTGTGGACTCATTTGAAGGTGAGCACCAGGATCTTGAATCTCGATTCTCTGGGAGATGGGTGGGGTCTAGTGGAGCCGGGCGAGGATGGGTGGCGATTGGCTCGCAGAGCCTAGACCTAAACAATCTCTTGTCCCTTCTTAATGTTAACCCTGCAAGTCAAAGCCCTAATGGGCAGGGTGGTCCTTGCTGGACAAGCGATGGGAAAGCTTGCCAGCCACACTCTCAGTGGCAAGCCATACGGTTTTAGTTGGTTAGACTATAGCAGTTACCCCAATCTACACTCTGGGCTGCCCCAAAGCCTTGGCTCTCGCCAACCTGCCCCTAATACTCTCCAGAATTAGGTAAGCCGGACGCGTCCCTCCAACAAGAGAGTGTACAGTCCAACAATCTATCTCTGGGATTTCCACGTGTAGTTGGGATGCTCGGAATTCTCAGTTGGGTTTGGAGACTCTAAAGCGACGGAGATGGGTTTCCACGTAAGTCAGACGCCCGGCGAACACCCCCCAAAAAAAGAATTAATGCGTCGACTGCTAAAAGATAGAGTCTTGGTGTGGTCCACACGACTTGCTGGTTGAGGCGTCAGTCAGGTAAGGCTCTACTTATGCCTCAGCTGCAGCAGCTTCCGCAAATAGCTGAGCAGAGCCGGAGCACAGCCAGTCACCAGTAGAGGGTAAATATAGTCACCTGCCACCGCAATTCCACCCATTCTTAGCCTGTGAGACCTGCTTTTGCTTTCAAGTTTAACATAATGATTACATCTGACACCAGTGAGTGCCTGTCACATCAGCAGGACATCTCCGAGGGCTTCACTTGATTTACTGCAAAGCGCAGTGACTGTGGGAACGGGGCAGCCAATTTGCCATACAATCATGGAGTGAGCGACTAACTCTATCTGGGGAATTGTTGAGAGAATTGCGGAGGGAGAAACTCACTTCCCTTTTTCAATAGTGCCGCCGAATCTGTAACGACCGCCTGAACTTGGTTCAACGTCTCACCCGAACTTGGTTTAACGTCTCTCCTGAACGACAGCACCTCTTGACAACGCAGCGCTCCCCGCAGCACTGCGCAGGAGCAGCATCTTAGACTGTGTGATTCCAAGTCCCGAAGTGGGGCTTGAACCCGCAACTTTCCGACTCGGAGATGCGAGCGCTACCACTGAGCCAGGCTGACATCAGTGTTGGTGAAGGCTCATGGCTCAGAAATAAAACTGAAGATTGAAGCCATTTCTGACTTAAAAATGACATTGTTTGAGTTTATTCCAACATGGGAATGTACAATCCCGCCATTGGGAATGTTCAAAGGGTTTTCCATCGAAACAGATTGCAGGGTGGCTGTGGAATCTGTGACGCTATAGTTCACATCCCCGCCCGCATTGTGTTCCTCACATTGTGTGTCAAGCCGGCTCAGTGTATATCAGCCCGGCTCAGTGTATATCAGCCCGGCTCTGTGTGTATCAGCCCGGCTCTGTGTATATCAGCCCGGCTCTGTGTGTATCAGCCCGGCTCTGTGTGTATCAGCCCGGCTCTGTGTATATCAGCCCGGCTCTGTGTGTATCAGCCCGGCTCTGTGTGTATCAGCCCGGCTCTGTGTGTATCAGCCCGGCTCTGTGTGTATCAGCCCGGCTCAGTGTATATCAGCCCGGCTCTGTGTGTATCAGCCCGGCTCTGTGTATATCAGCCCGGCTCTGTGTCTATCAGCCCGGCTCAGTGTGTATCAGCCCGGCTCAGTGTGTATCAGCCCGGCTCTGTGTGTATCAGCCCGGCTCTGTGTGTATCAGCCCGGCTCTGTGTCTATCAGCCCGGCTCTGTGTCTATCAGCCCGGCTCAGTGTATATCAGCCCGGCTCTGTGTCTATCAGCCCGGCTCAGTGTATATCAGCCCGGCTCTGTGTGTATCAGCCCGGCTCTGTGTGTATCAGCCAGGCTGTGTGTGTATCAGCCCGGCTCTGTGAGTGTCAGCCCGGCTCTGTGTGTATCAGCCAGGCTGTGTGTGTATCAGCCCGGCTCTGTGTCTATCAGCCCGGCTCTGTGTGTATCAGCCCGGCTCTGTGTGTATCAGCCAGGCTGTGTGTGTGTCAGCCCGGCTCAGCGCGGGTCAGCCCGGCTCAGTGCGTGTCAGCCCGGCTCAGTGCGTGTCAGCCCGGCTCAGTGCGTGTCAGCCCGGCTCAGTGTGTGTGAGCCCGGCTCAGTGTGTGTGAGCCCGGCTCAGTGTGTGTGAGCCCGGCTCAGTGTGCGTCAGCTCGGCTCAGTGTGCGTCAGCTCAGATTAGTGTGCGTCAGATCAGATTAGTGTGCGTCAGCTCAGATTAATGTGCGTCAGCCCGGTTTAGTGTGTGTCAGCTCGGCTTAGTGTGAGTCAGCTCAGATTAGTGTGCGTCAGCTCAGATTAGTGTGTGTCAGCTCGGCTTGGTGTGTGTCAGCTAGACTTAGTGTGTGTCAGCTCGGCTTAGTGTGCATCAGCTCGGCTTAGTGTGCGTCAGCCCGGTGTCAACCCGGTTCTGTTTGTGTCAGACCAACTCCGTGTATGTCACCATGTTCTGTTGCCTCTGAGTCAGAAGGTTGTGGGTTCAAGTCCCACGTCTAGACTTGGAACCCATAGAGGATAAGGAACTCTAAACTGACACCTCGTTGCATTGTCGGTGGTGGTGGCCTTTGAATGAGACTTTAAACCGAGGTCCGGTCTACCGGTCCCGGTGGACATTTACGATCCCCGGCACTATTGGAAACGAGAAGGGTGTTTCTCTCTCCCTATGTCCTGGCCGACAATCCCCCAAAACAAAATTTGTTCACTCACTTCATGACTGTTTCGTTTGCCTAGGAAATGATCCAGTCACTACACTGCACAGTAAATCCCGTGATGCACTTGTGAAAGACACTGCATCAAATATACGGATTATTATTATTATTATAATCACATTCCCACCTCCATATTAATTTCAGAATGCTCTTTTTTCCCTTTATACAGTAAGAATCCAAGACTTCTCAAAGTACTTCACAGGATATACCGTAAAGGGCAGTGACTGGACTCGTTTTCAAAGCAGCTGGACGCTGTGATGGGGTGGGGGGGGGATGGTGTTCTGGAGGAGATGAGATCAGATGGCCCGAAGGGGTTTCTTCTTCCAAGCCTATCTTGTGATTTTTGTGACCATTTCTAGCGCAGCCTTTTTTCTCAGATCTTTGATCGCTTTTAAACAACCAACTTCTCTCCTGTTTTATTGAAGGAAGAGGGAGTCTGACTTCTGACTGTGGAGTCCTGTACCGCAGCAATAATAATCCTTTCATTTGACGTCGCGTCTTATTACGGCTTTAAGACGGTTTCGAGGCACTTCACGGGATATACTGTAAAATGTAGTGACTGTATATTATTTGGGCGACACTCGGCAGCCAATAGCGCACAGCAGTGTCCCACAAACAGTCGTGGATTGAGTGACCAAATTATTATTATTAGGGATTATTACCCCACAACTTGACTACCAACCAGGTTCCTACTTCTAGGTAAACGGAGGCACGTGGAGTAACGAAATTTGCCCAACGTTTCGCCCTTGCCCGGGAGTCGAACTTATGTTTTCTCGTTGCGAGGCGAGTGACTCTAACCACTGAGCTACAGGACTTCACCAAATGGTTAGCGCCCTCGCCTCGCTAGCGAGAAGACCTAGTTTGGTTCCGGGGCAGTGCGAAACCTCAGTCAGGATGACGAGGAAGGGAAGAGGGCGATGGGGGTAGGTGGGAATTAAAGGCAGGTAGAGGGGAGGAGAGGTGGGTGTTTGGGATGTAGTTGCTTATGGCTCAACCCTGACGTTGGCTCAGTAGGGCCTCGGGAAGGGAGAGGGGGAGCAAGACACGAAAGACGGATTAGAAAACCTGCTACTGTCAGACGAGATGTTAAACCGAGGTCCCGCCTGCGCGTAAAGAATCCTGCGGCACCGCTGGAAAAGCGAAGGGAGTTTCTCGCTCCCGGTGTCCTGGCCTACAGTCCCCCAAATAAAATCAGTCACTCGCTCCTTAGCTGTTTGTGGGACATGGCTGTGGTCGTGCTTTCAGCCACCCCCACCCACAAAACTCTGGGACACGCTTTCTCTATCCCTCCGCGTTGCCCCTTCCTCCCCCCCGTCTTCAGATTACACCCGAAGTCCTTCCTCTTCGCCCGTGCCTATGCTCCCCTCCCCCATCGGGCTCCATCACTCCCGGGACGCTACCCTGCACGAGGGGCGCTATCTAAATGCAAGTTGATGCTGTGTGCAAATTGGCTGCTGCGTTCACCCACGAAACACACAGTCACTACACTTTACGGTGAATCATGTGAAGCACTTTGGGGCGTTCCCCCCCCAACCCCCGACGTGAAAGGAGCTGTTTTCCAACGTAAGGATTATTAATAACAATAATAAAAATAATCTTTTTGATACAGCGCCTTATCGCGTAGTTGAGATAATACATTACAACATTACATTTGTATAACACCTTTCACGTCAGGAAGACATCACAAGGCGCTTCACAGAATGTGCTGGTACGTGAAGTGACTGTGTATTTTGTGGACGCAACCAATTGCGCACGGCAGTGTCCTACAAACAGTCGTGGATTATTCTTTCACTCACAGTCACAAGAGAGAGGGAGAGGGAGAGACAAGTTACTGGACCAAACCAGAGGGGACCTTGATTTTAATTGAAAGGGACAATGCAGGTTCCTATTTTTTGAATAGGATAAATGGGGGTAGAGGGAATGGGGGGAGGGGGAAGGGGGAAACGAGGAGCAAAGAGAGCAACGGCGACTCTGTAAGAAGAAAAATGGGAACTTTCTTTGAAATTGTGTGTTGTGGGGACATCCGAACGCACACATACACCAACACACATACCCCAACACACAGACTGCAACACACAGATAGCAACACACACACACCCCACACACACCAACACCCCAACACACACACACACACACAGCAACACACACACCCCACCGCACACCCACAGCAACACACACACCCCAACACATACATACACACAGCCACACACACACCGACTCACACACCAACTCACACACACACACCAACACCCTCGAACACACATACACACACCAACGCTCACACACACACACAAACACTCGTACACCAACACCCCCAACACACACACACACACACACACACACGCACAACACCCCCAACACACAAACATACACCGACACGTACGCGCACACACAAATAAATGAAAACAGGCAGATGAAAAAAAGCAACGTCAAGCGAGAACAAAGGGTATATTAGAAAAATAAACAGAGAAAAAAATATGCACTTACCTGAAAGCCTTTTCACACTTTCCAAAGCCCAGAGTCAAAAAAAGGGTATTGTATAAACCAGATATATGTTATATCACCATCACAAAGCGCTCGACTCCAGGGTTATTCCTGGAAATCCCAAGATAATCCTTTTTTTTTCACCCCAAAACGGATCAATGTGTGGTGTGTCTTGTGTATATTTTATATATATATAGATATATATATATATACATATAGATAGACAGCTCTCCCCGAGTGAACAGTCCGGACACACACGAACACACAGCGAGGAAAAAGGCAGCAAAAAAAAGTTTGTCGAAGCTCTAAACAAAACGTTTTTCCCACTTGAAAAAGTCTGCGAATTCAAGTGAAGAGGGAAAGTTATATTCCAGGCACGGAATGTCTTTTTTTTCCTTAAAACACTCTGTCAGCCAACCCTCTCCCTCTCCCTCTCTTCTCTCTCTCTCTCTCTCTCTCTGATCCTTTTAATTCATTCCTCACAGTTCCTTGTTGGTTTCTGGTTGTTAGTGAGTTGGGTGAATGGAATTGGATGGATGGACTGAATGACAGACCAACCTGTCAGTCAGGCCATCCAATTATAGCAAACTGGGATATATATATATATATTTGGGTTGATCTAAAAAAAAAAGCATCTTGAAAGTCAAAACTGACAACTTAGACTCCGGCAGATCATTTTCCCCTCATGTAGAGCTTTGCATGTGACATTTCTGGTTGGATTTCTTTTCTTTATATATATATATAATTTCTTTAATATATTTAATATATTTATATCGATAAAAATAAATATATATCTTTCTTTTGATATATACTTCACCCACAAAACACAGTCCTGTTTGCTTTGCACCGCTGTGCGCCATTGGCCGCCGCATTTCGCCCACAAAATATACAATTAGTTTGCTTTGCCATATATTCGGTGAAGCGCTTTGAGACGTCCCGGAGGCAAGATAAGGCGCTCTATCAAATGAAGGATTATTATTGTACATATTAAATATTATAAGATTCCCCCTTTACTGTTAAACGAGCGCCTGCGATCTGATGGTGTTGGGGGGTGGGGTGGGGTGGGGGGGGGGGAAGAAATTGCTATGTTTTAAACTCTTTAAAACTTTTTCCCCCAAAATTTGTAACAAGTTGCTGAGGGGAACGGGTGACAGGGAGATTGCCCCACCTATCGTTCACTGGAGGTACGTCAGGGTGTGGAGCCCAGCTCTGGATAACGCGAGGAGGGATTTACTGTCGGGCATTAACTATAATAACTATGATCGTCACCGGGACGGCTCAAAGAGCTTCGCAGAACACACCGAAAAGCGTAGCGACTGTGTGTTTCTGTGGGCGAAACCGGCACAGCAATATCACACAAAGAGCCGTGGAGTGAGCGACCAGTGTTATCCGGGGGATTATTGGCCAGGACACCGGGCGAGAGACGCTCCCTTTTCTTTCCAAACAGTGCCGTGGGATCTTTAACGTCCACCTGATGGGACCTCGGTTTAATGTCCCATTCGAAGGACGGCGCTCCTGATAATACAGCATTCCCACCCTCGCACTGCGTTGCAGTGTCAGCTTAGACTGTGTGATTCCAAGTCCGGACAGGGACATCAACCAACAACCTTCTGACTTAGAGGCGAGAGCGCTGCCACCGACGCATCACTCTGGCCTTGGAAGGAAGAGCTAATAACAGTGATCAGAATATAATTTGGGGGGGTCAGCCACTGTGGAAACCCATCACCATGTGATAGAGCATCCAAACCCAAATCAGAATTCAATGCCGTCCCACCACTTCACAGGATATGTTGTAAAGTGTAGCGACTGTGTATTTTGTGACCGAAACGTGGCATCCAGTTGCACACAGCAGTAGTCCCACAAACAGTCGTGGAGTCATTGACTGATTTTATTTGGGGAATTGTTGGCCACGACACCGGAACAGAGAAACTCCCTTCTCTTTTCCAACGGCGCCGCGGGATCTTTAACGTCCACCTGAACAGGCACAGACGGGACCTCGATTTAATCTAACATCTAATACAAAGGATGGCGTCTCCAACACCGTAACACCCCGTCAACGCTGCATTGGAGTGTCAGCATAGACTGTGTGATTCCAAGTCCCGCTGGAAGGGTTTGAATCTACAAACGTCTGATTCAGAGGCTAAAGTGCTACCACTGTACCAGGCTTTCACGTTGGGAGAATGCCCCAAAGTGATTCAGATGAGTTACTATAAAGTGTAGTGACTGTGTGTTTTGTGGGTGAACGCAGAAGCCAGTTTGCACACAGCAGGGTCACACAAACAGCCGTGAATTGAGTGACCAACTTTATTGGGGGATTGTTGGCCAGGACAACGGGAGAGAGAAGCTCCCTTCTCTTTTACAACAGCGCCACCGGATCTTTCAACGTCCACCTGAACAGACAGATGGGATCTCTGTTTACCGTCTCATGTGAAGGCCGAGCTGGCACTTCCGACAATGCGACCCACCCCCCTCCACCAAAGCTTAGACTCAGCTTAGACTCTGTGATTCCAAGTCCCGATGTGGGGCTTGAACCCGCAACCAGGCAAGAGCGCTACCAACTGAGCCAGGCTGACGCTCACGGGCTGATACACTCAGCAAGTCAGAAATCAGCTGGGATGTCATCCCTGAACCAGCAAAGCTCTATTCATCATCAGAATAATATGATATACAGTAGTTATAATCAGGGCGGAACAACTAGTGGCCCATGATAAACACTGAGCCGGGCTGACACTCACTGAGCCGGGCTGACACCCACTGAGCCGGGCTGACACTCACTGAGCCGGGCTGACACTCACTGAGCCGGGCTGACACTCACTGAGCCGGGCTGACACTCACTGAGCCGGGCTGACACTCACTGAGCCGGGCTGACACTCACTGAGCCGGGCTGACACTCACTGAGCCGGGCTGACACTCACTGAGCCGGGCTGACACTCACTGAGCCGGGCTGACACTCACTGAGCCGGGCTGACACTCATTGAGCCGGGCTGACACTCGCACATTTGGGAAGTGAAGGTCTAGAGGGAGAAATGTGAATGAAAGATCTGCCAACAATCTCTAACAAACTGTCTGAACTCGCTGGATGGGCCGAATGGCCTCCGTTTGGTTGTAAATCCCGTGCTGGGTGAGCTCGCCCCCCCCACACAGTGTGTCCGCACTAGATTTCCTTGTGCAGCTTTCTCCTTGCCACATCACTACGTTGGTTGCTTGCCTCCCGCTGGCCCTTGTCCTTGTCCGTCTGCTGCCCTGTCACCTCACAGTCCTGCCTGTTGCTGACAGTGTCCAAGGTAATTAGTAACGGTGCTAACAGCTGAGATTGACCCGGTGCCTCGCTTTTGGGCATTCTTCCCCTCAGGTTTGCCCTCAGCCGCCCGGAACCTGCACTGGGTCCGTCTGGTGCTCCTCGTGCCGTGGGCAGTGTGGCTTTGGGCAGGACTGGCCGGCTGGGCTGCGCCGATTCCCTGAGCCGTCGCAAAGAGGCTGAGCCAGAGGAGATGTCAGCTGGAGGGAAGGACATGGAAATGGCTCCGGACGTGCTGGCGTTCACCGGCTTGGGAGCCGTTCGGTTTGGGCCAAATTGCTTCTGGGCCGGGCTGGTCCTCTCCAGGCCCCCCAGCTTCCCGTGGCTCCTCACCTTTTTGGGCCACGGCTCATTGCTGGGAGCCCCGCCCGAGGCCAACTTCTCCTTGGCAGCCTTGGCCTCGGCTTGTACCTCCCTGATCTTCTCCAGCTGAGCCTTCCTAACCTCCTCAGGCATCTCCAGAGGAGCCAGCCTCGCTGGTGGCTTGGGCTGGACCTCTCTCCGCAGCCTCTCACCCTGACGGGGCTCAGGCTCGGGCACTGACAAGCCTCTCTTCTCCTCCACTGCTGCAGGAACGCCGGGCACAGAGACGTGGGGCTTCCTGACCTTCTCGCGGGCACGGCCACCTGAGCCAGACGCAATTCCATTTCCTCTTCTCTCAACCTGGCCTGGTGTAAGGGAACAAGGCTTCCTGCAGGGAGTATTGCCAGTTTGGGGCACTGGTATCTCCTGAATTGAGGCATCCTTTGGAGGAGAAAAAACAGCAATTAATCTGGACACCGACTCACAATGATCTTTACATTTGGAGTCCTGTAGTGCAGTGGTTAGAGCACTCGCCTCGCAAGAAAGAGTACCCGGGTTCTATTCCCCGGGCAGGACAAAACCCTCGGCAAGTTTCCTCGCTCCTCTGTTTGCCTCGCAGCAAGTAGGGATCCAGTTGTTAGACGATTGGTAGATCGTTTTTCTGGGGTTATTAACCCACCCCCAAAAAAATAATAAATTGGTCACTCACAATAATTTGGGACGGTTGAACCCAATAATGGACTGTTTGTGGTCGATTCATTTTACAGTGTATCCCGTGAGGCGCTTTGAGCCGTCGATATCAAATGCAAGGATTAGTTTTATTATTAAAGTCTAATATTCCAGAAGGCTTTTTAAAATTAATTTGGTACGTTTAACGATTTCTTCCGCGGGATTTATAGGAGTGGTACGCACACTGAAGGTCTTAAAAAAAAAAAAGCACTCTCATTTGGTGTAGCGCCTTATCACATCAAAGGGTCTCAAAGCGCTTCACGGGAATTACTGCAAAGTGTAGTGACTGGGTGTTTTGTGGGTGAAAATTTGCGCACAGCGGTGTCCCACGAACAGCCATGACCGATTTTATCTGGGAAACTGTGGGTCAGGACACCAGGAGAGTATAAACAGACAGAGACGCGTGGAGTAAGGAAACTGGCTGAAGGTTTCACCCTGCCTAGGAATCAAACTGAGGTCCTCTCACTTGTGAGGCGCGCACACTAAAAAACGGAGCTACAGAACTCCGAACAGAGAAGAGCAAATAAAAGAAGGAAGGAAGGAAGGAAGGCACAACGGAGTGAGAGAGATTTGCTCTGATAAGTGAAGCTCACATACCAGCCTCCTGGGCAGTTGCTGCTTCTGTCTGCGTGCGATCATGGTGTTGGCAGCTCCGGGACTGTGAACCAGGGACTCTCACTGTGAGCTCACCACCGATAAGCGGCTAATAAACATCAGGGGGGGTAAGAGAATTACAGCCAGATTAAGGTCACTCACTGCTTGAACAGAAAACCGCAGCCAACCCCACCGCAGTGAGTGCGTATGAGCGATGGAACAATCCTTGCATTTGATATAGCGCCTTATCACGTCAGCGAGACGTCTTAAACCACTTCATAGGATATACTGTAAAGCACAGTGACTGTGTAATTTGTGGGCGAAACGCACCAGGAGTGTCCCACAAACAGCCATGGATCGAGTGACCAATTTGTTTTTTTATCTGGGGGAATCGTTGACCAGGACACCAGGAGAGAAAAACTCCACTAGCATCACGGGATCTTTAACATCCACCTGAACAGGCAGACAGGACCTCGGGCTAATCATCTAACTTGAAGGACAGCATCTCCGACAATGCAACACCCCCAGGACTGTATTGGAGTGTCAGCTTAGACTGTGTGATTAAATCCCGACCTTCTGACTCAGAGGCGAGGTTCTACCACTAACTTACAAAAGATTGGCAGAGCTTCACTTTACACCAGAGCAACCATCGTACTGAATCGCTCAGAGCATCAGCATCGGATGAGACGTTAACCTGAGGTCCCGTCTGTGCCTGTTCAGATGGACGTTAAAGATCCCGTGGCACTATTGGAAAAGAGAAGGATGTTTGTCTCTCCCGGTGTCCTGGCCGACAAATCTTCCAAATAAAATTGGTCACTCACTCCATGGCTGTTTGTGGGTCACTGCTCTGCGCAAATTGGCTGCTGCGTTTGCCCACAAAATACACAGTCTCTACATCGGAAATCTTAAGACTTTTATAATAATAATCCTTTGCATTTCATCACTAGCCTTATCACATCGTCGAGACATCTGAAAGGGCTTCACAGAATATACTGTAAAGTGGATTGACTCATGAACGGTTGTGGATCGAGTGACCAAATTCTTATTTTTGAAGGGAATATTACCTCTGGAAAACAATCCACCAATCGACTAATAACCGGGAGGGGTGTGAAGTAAGGAAACTTGCCTAAAGGTTTTGCCCTACCCGGAATTGAATCCATGTCCTCTCGCTTGCGATGCGAGTGCTCTAACCACTAAGCTACAAGTGTAATATCTCATCCAAAGGACTGCGTCTCCGACAATGCTCCGCGCCCCCAAACATTTCACTGGAGCTTCAGCCTAGACTGTGAGCTCAGAGTCCCCGGCGTGGGGTTCGCACCCACAAACCTGCAAACCAGAGCCGACAGTGCGAGTGACTGAACGGAATTGAGAGGGTGGCTGATCTTACGTTAAAGTAAGTTCGCCGGCAAATCATGGGGCGGGGAGGGGTGCGAGGCCAAGGGCAGCTGGATTATGATGCCCAGTGGATTATTACAAGTGGATTATTCTCTAAACCACGAAACTACGTCAAGCTCAGCAGAACTGCTCCAAGTGCTGTAAATCCTGTCGCTTTGAGTTTAAAAATGGATTTGTGTTTACAGCGCAATCTCGAGGTCACGTTCTGCAGTTACCTGACCCCTGCGGGCGGCACGAGATGTTGGGGAGCAGATGGGGGAAGCAGATAAAATGCTCCTTTTTTTTTAAAGTCAGCCGGGTGTCTGACCCACGGGGAAACCTATCACCGTGGTTAAGAGTTAAACCAAACTGAGATTTCTGCGTGTCCCACCTACGCATTGAAATACACATCGATAGCGTGTTGGAATAGAATGCACGCTCTCTCGTTGGAGGAACTCATCTTGCTCACCCAATTAATAATATTCCTTGCATTTGATATGGCGCCTTCATCACGTCTTCGAGACGTCTCTTCACGGCTTCACAGAATATGGTGTAAAGTGGATTGACTATACTTTGCGGGTGAAACAGGGCAGCCAATTGCACACAGCAGTGTCCCACAAGGAGTCGTGGATTGAGTTGACCAAATTATTATTATCTTTTTTGAACGAATTATCACCCCGGGCAAAGCGATCCTCCAATCGACTAACAACTGGGTTCCTACTTACTGCTAGGTAAACAGTAAAGTGTGGAGTAAGGAAACCTGCCCAACATTTCGCCCTGCCTGGGAATCAAACCCAGGTCTTCCGTTTGCGAGGCGAGTGCGCTAACCCCCTGAGCTACAGGATTCCACCTTTCATGCTAGGAAACTCAAGAGCTGGGAAAGGGATTGTAACATTGGAGAGAGCGCAATGTAGGTTTACAAGCCGACATTCTTACAGTTCACGACAGGAGAACATCTCAAAAGGGCTTGTTCCTGCTGGCTGGGCACCCAAACTGGGGGTGGGTGTGGTTTAGGGGAAAGGTGATCGAAAGCGCGGTCAAAGAGGTACGCGTTTGGAGACGGACCTTAAATGAGGGATGGGAGCGAGTCAGAAAGACTCTGGAAAGGAATGCAAGGGCGGAATGGCTGAATGCCCGACTGCCCACCCACCGATGGTGGAGCAGGTAGGCCAGGGGACACGAAGCAGAGGGAACCCGCTGAGCAGAGGGAGCAGCTGGGTCAGTATGTGAAGGCGTGATAAGGCGTTACATCAAATGCAATGATTATTATTATTATTATTAAAGGACGTTGCAGATGAATCATAGAATCATTGAAATTCACGGAATTCAGCCCACGGAGTCTGCACTGGCTCTCCGTGATGATTATTAATTGGAGAGGGGACTAGGAGGGGTGGATGCTCGTGCACCAGTTGAGCCCTTGTCCAAGCTGTAACTATGTAGTTCCCAGCCTCGGCGGAGGGGCACAGAGGCTAGTTTTAATCCCCTTTACTTTCACCCCATCCCCGATCAACCAAGTCAGCACGGGGTATTCGGGGAGGGGGAATGCACAGGGAAAACACCTGTGTAAATCACGATCAAAAGAGGAAGGTGTCTAGGCGGGTCTTGAATGTGGGGAGGGGGCAAGGCTGAGGGAATAAGTCAAGGTGCAGGGGATTGGCTGAAGCCAGTTGAGCGGAGGAGGGCGGGTGATGGGAGTGGGGGGCGTAAGCAGATCGAAGAGGTGGGGAGGTGCCAGGGCACGAAGGGATTTGAAAACGCGCGAGAGGATCTTAAAATCGATCTGTTGGAGTCAGTGGGGCCCGGTTAGGACCAGGAGGGACCGTCACGTATCCAAATACCACGTGGCAATTGATCCCAATCCAGCTCTCACTGCGGAGGCACTGTCCTGTCAACCGTGACCCAGGAGCACGAGGTGTGTGTTTGTCCAGCAACCTGTGATGGAGAGAGGGTCGGAGAGAGGGTCAACGAGAGGGTGGGGGGGGGGGGGGGGGGCGTCAGAGAGATGGTGGTAGAGAGAGGAAGAGAGTGGAGGGTCAACTCTGCAAGCCAAACCCCGATATCAATGGTTTTATCTGGTTAGACCCCTGGAGTTACCCCAACACACACTCTGGGGTCCCCGAGCCTTGGCTCTTGCCAACCTGTGCCTAATATTGTCGGGAATTAGGTAAACAGGATTCATCCTCCAGGGAGAGAGCGCATTCCATTCCAACAATCCATCGCTGGGATTTCCATGTGTAGATGGGACGCGTGGAATTTCCAGTTTGGTTTGGAGACTCTTAAGCGGTGGGGGGGGGGGGTTCCACAAGCGGAGTCCTGTAGCTCAGTGGTTAGAGCACTCGCTTTGCAAGTGAGAGACCTGAGTTCAATTCCAGGCAGAGGGCGAAACCTTGGGCAAGTTTCCTTACTCCACACAGAGCCTAATAATAATCCTCCAAAACCAAAAACAATAATAAATTGGTCATATTCAATCTACGACTGTTTGTGGGACATTGCTGTGCGCAATTGGCTGCCGCGTTCGCCCACAAATATACAGTCAATTCACTTTACAGTGTGTTCTGTGAAGTGCTTTGGGACGTCCTCCCGACGTGAAAAGCGCTATATCAAATGCAAGGATTATTATTATTATTATATTATAACAACAACAACAAGATTCCATTTATAAAGCGCCTTTCACGTCAGGAGGACGTCCCAAGGCGCTGCACAGTTGGGTCAGGACCCGAGCAGGGGGGAAATGGTCAGGGTGAGGGGAGGGAAGGGAGGGAGCGAGGAGGGGGGAAATGGTCAGGGTGAGGGGAGGGAAGGGAGGGAGCGAGGAGGGGGAAGAGAGTCGAGAGGGGAGCTGAAGGCACGGTCAAAGAGAAAGGTTTTGAGACCGGCCTTGAAGGAGAGGGAGGAAGCGGCGAAGGCACTGGGGGATGGAGTTCCAGAGCCTCGGGGCTGAGAGGCTGAAGGCCCGGCCACCGATGGTAGGGCGGTTGGGGCGGGGGACGTGGAGCAGACCGGAGCCAGAGGAACGGAGGGTACGGGCAGGTAGGTAGGGGGATAGTAGGTCGGAGAGGTAGGAGGGAGCGAGGCCGTGAATGGCCTTGTAGGTGAGGATGAGGATCTTGAATTCGATCCTCTGGGGGATGGGGAGCCAGTGGAGGCGAGCGAGGGTGGGAGTGATGTGGTCGCGGTGTCTGGTGCGGGACAGTACACGAGCTGCAGAGTTCTGAATGACCTGCAGTGTGGAGGGAGGGCCGGGAAGGCCGGCGAGGAGAGAGTTCCCATAGTCCAGCCTTGAGGTGACAAAGGCGTGAACCAGAGTTTCAGCCGCGTGAGGGGTGAGGTAGTGCCGTAGTCTGGCGATATTCCGGAGGTGATGGAAGGCGGTGCCAGTTGTGGTGCGGATGTGAGGGAGAAAGGACAGCTCAGGGTCCAACAGAACCCCGAGGTTCCTGACCGGCTTTGAGAGGTGGAGAGTGCGGCCTTGGATGCTGATGGTGTCAGCGCCTGAGGTGCGGAGGCGCTGACGTGAGCCAATCAGGAGGGCCTCGGTTTTTCGCACGTTGAGCTGAAGAAAGTTGTCTCTCGTCCAGGACTCGATGGCAGACACCCTACCGAGCAAACCCCCCCCCCCCCCACCAAATAAATATATTTTTTAAAAGATCCACAAAGGACTGTCTTTATTTACTTTTATTTTTGATATGTATCTTACACTCGTCCTGTCACTCAAATCAGCTTGCAAACAGATATGCAAATATCTTGAGAAGCAGTAAGCGACAGAGTAGACCGATCGGTAACTGGCACTAGTGTTCCAAAGCTCGTTAGAAATGACAAAAGACTGCAACTTGTCGCTTTCTTTCATTCGCAGATGGCAATTTCAAGCGTCATCGATCAACGTGGCAACATGAACCTAACACACACCAATGGACTGAATAATGCACAAAATATACTTCAGTCCTCAGATTTAATGTCACCTTTTCGCATCTCAGTAAATGAAGTACGTTGTGATTTCAACAGTGCACCATTACAAGGCTGACCACAGCCTTTTTGTGAGCGTTTGTAGTGTCTCTCAGCACACAGGAAACAAAGACTATATATACATACACACACACATATATATATATATATATATATATAGTCTTTACCATCTCCCCTTATGTCCCAAAGCAGTGTGCAAATATTGCACTGTGCTTTCAGTCTGTGTAACAAAGCGCAGGATTCATTGGTTTGTGAACACCTTTGCTTTGAGCAGAACAAAGAACCTAGTTATGAAAAGGTTTGCTAAGCCTGAGTACTGTCTTTGGTAGGTTAATATAGGGTTATATTGTAAGATTATTCATTATACACATATTAAGTTTGTCTTTCGACCGCAGCCATCCCTTTAGCATTGGTTTGTGGTACATCAGAGCCCGGTACAGGAGGTCTGTTAGGAGGTATAAACATACCCTCAACCACCCAGGGTCACACCCTGGCCTTGTCTTCTCAAAAGGCACCATGAAGCCGGGGAAGGGGGATGGGGGTCGGGGGATACAGAATGGCAAAGGATGAGTTTTTCAGTCACGGTCGTTGGGTGATTTCTGCTCGCACCTCTCAATGTACAGTCGCCCACTCCCTGCTAGGTTGTATGATAGATAGATAGATCACCACACACCAGTTCTCAACCCAACACGGTTCAGATATTAACACTGCCCGATCACACCTGCCCCCTCCTGCCCTCCCCAACCACCAGAGAGGAGAACTGAGTGAAAGGGAGATTCGTGAAGAGTGACATATTTAACCCTGACACCTAACATTATTTGTCATTCAAACTCATGATCTTTGCTGGTTAGTAAGCACCGTTTCAGTCCCCCTTTAGTTAGCGTTTTTCTTCCAATATCAGTTTCCATATAATCAACTGTTATTAGCTGGACTGATTCAGTGAGGCCTGAAAGCAGCATCGAGGGGCTAAATGTCAGTGTGGATGACCCCGTTGTGTAAAGCACTGGATAGCTGCTGCTGGTTGTTGTTGGTTATGTTCAGCACCTCCTCAGAGGCACAGTTCAGCATAGCTGATGTGACCGTCCCATTCTCCTCCGCTATGAAGCCTAACTGCAAGCCCTCAGCGCTGGGCACAGTCAGGGTGGGGACAGGAGGTGGGGGGCCCACACCCTGGGATTGACAATTCTCCAGGCGATCGCTCTCCACCTCGGGGAGGGGGCTGACTGCCACCAAGCGACTGTGATAGTCACTCGAGCTGTGGCTGCAGGAGGTTTTCATGCTCTCCATGTCGGAGCCGCTGAATTCGGAGAAGTGGCTGGAATGGGAGTCGGCGACAGATGGGATGCTGTCACTCAGCGACGGGGAGTCGAACTCGCTGGAATTGGTGCTTCTCTGCTCCAGCAATCGGGCGTCCATCTCCTCCAGGGTCTCGTTGATCTTAGTGCTGCCCCGTTTGCGCAGCTTCCCTTTGCACTTCTTGCCGGCCGAGGTTTCTTTGGGGCACTTGGAGGCAGCGCTCCGGCTGTCCACAGGAACAGTGCGGCCAGGCTGGCCCTCGTCCAGGCTGCTGCTCCCACTGTGGTGCCGGAACTTGGCAGGTTTTGACTCAATGTCCACTTGCACCTCTACACTGTTGCCTTCCCTGAAAAAATACACATTCAGACCGTTTGTGACATTATTACAGCAAATGCTACGCAAACAACCCTTATATTTCATACCACGCCTTTCGCATCGGGAGAACGTCCCAAAGCGCTTCACAGGATATACTGTAAGGTGCGGTAATAACAACAATTTCCATTTGATACAGCGCCTTATCACGTCGTTAAATGTCTCCAAGCGCTTCACAGGATTTACTGTAAAATGCAGTGACTTTATTTTGTGGGTGAAACGCAGCAGCCAGTTTGCGCACAGCCGTGTCCCGTAAACAGCCAATGGAATGAGTGACCAATTATTTTATTTTGGAGACTGTCGGCGAGGAAACCGGGAGAGAGAAACTCCTTTCTCTTTTCCAACAGTGTCTTGGATCTTTAACGTCAACCTGAACATGGCAGACAGGACCTCGTTTTTTTGTCTCGTATAAAGGACGGTGATAGTCTCCTCTTCCTGTTTCAGTGCAACTTTACACAGAATTAAATACAGGGTACAGCACTGATTACAGGCCATTTGGCTAAACACGTCCATGCCAGTTTCACCAATGAGCCACTTCCCATCCTTATTCCCTCTTCCACCTCTCTATCCTCTTTCGCTCAAGAATGCGAATTGAACCATGACTTTGTTTGCTGGTGACAACTGCTGTAAACTGCACCAGTGTCTGTTAGTTTCACATTCTGTTCCTGTTAACTGTAAACTGACCAGCCACAAGCCTCAGGATGGTCACTGTTGTTTCCGCCCCATCATGAGACTCAACATGTTTTTTCAGAAGTGGTTAAATAGCGCTCGAGAGAAGAGCAAGCAAACAGCCCTACTTCCTGGCTGTCTCAGCCCCCAGTGTGCTCTGAATCCAATCTGAATAGACCTTCACCCAGCACCTTTCACATCAGGATGACATCCCAAAGCGCTTCACAGAATATACTGTTAAATGAATCGACTTTATGTTTTGTGGGCGAAACGTGGAAAGATGATATCAAACAGACTGTGAAAAAATCTTAAAGCGGATGAGCTGGGTTACTGAGGGAGGCACCGACCTGTCCAGGGGGTTGAAGGAGTTGAGAATGGATCCAGCCATAGCCCTGGTACTGGCGTTGTCACTGATGGTCCCGAGGCTGACCGTGCCAGACTCCCCACTAAGACTGTAACGCTCCTTCTGTACGTCCGCCTGCACCTCCAACCTGCGGCAAACAGCTCAGTAATTAGTGCTGACCGGCAAATGGAGGCAGGGATAATACATGCAAAAGAAATAACATTTAGCAGACAAGATTTAAGAATCACTTACAATTTTAATTCGTCAAAATAATTCTTGCATTTGATAGTGCTCTGTTAGTTCTCGCTCCCCTTGTTAGTGCTCTCTCTCTCAATGCTCGCTTTCTGTTTGCGCTCTCCCTATCTTGACTGTATTTTGTGACCAAAAGGCAACAGCCAATTGTGCACAGCACAAATAGTTGTGGATTGATTGACCAAATGTTTTCTTTAGGGGACTATTACCCACAGAAAGCGATCTGTAAATCGACAAGCAACTGGATTCCTACTTACCGCTAGGTAAACTGAGGCATGTGGAGTAAGGAAACTTGCCTAAGGTATCACCCCGCCTAGAAATCAAACTCGGGTCCTCTCGCTTGCGAGGCGAATGCTCTAATCAATACGATACAGGACTCCACTTTTGGGACGTGAAAGGCAGTGTATCAAATGCAAGGATTGTTATTATACCCACTTGCCAACAAAAATAGTCACTACTTTACAGTATATCCGTGAAGCCCTTAGATGTCATCCTGACATGAAAGGCGCTGTATCAAATATAATTATTATTAAACTCGCAGTGATTTTTCCCCTCACGAAGATAGTGCAACCAGGGATGATCAATGCCACGGTGAGGGAGGGTAAATAAGACTATAAAGATCACCATTCCTCTTCTGCAAGAGGCAGACGGCAGCAACATTGGTTCCAAAGCAATCACAGGTTAGTTTATTTTACTCTGACAATGCTGTGTTGAATTCTGGGATGAGGCGTTAAACCGAGGTCCCGTCTGCCTGTTGAGGTGAATGTTAAAGATCCCCCTTTTTTCAAAGTGTAAAGTGTAGTGACTGTATTTTGTAGGTGAATGAGGCAGCCAATATGCACACAGCAGTGTCCCACAAACAGCCATGTAGTGAGTGACCATTTCTATCCGGGGGATTGGTCAACAATTCTATTGTTGGCCAGGATACCGGGAGAGAGATAAATCCCTTCTCTTTTCCAACAGCACTGCGGGATCTTTAATGTCCGCCTAAAGGGCAGATGGGACCTCGGTTTAATTTCTCACCTCCAACACTGCAGCACACTTCCAGCACTACACTGTAGTGTCAGGTTAACACTGTGTGATTCCAAGTCCCGACATGGGGATTGAACCCACAAGCTTCTGATTTAAAGGCAAGAGTGCTATCGACTGAGCCAGGCTGACACACTCATTGCATCAGAACCAGAAGTCTCACCCCTTTTTTTTTAAAAAAAAGGTTGTTGATACAGGACTGAGTTTGAACACACAAACCTTGACGTTCTGTATTTACCTGTTGAAACAACTGACCATTGCGCTCCCAGAGAGGCTGCCTGTGATGCTGGCTCCAGCCAATGCCATAGTGCTCGCAGTTTCACTCAGGTTGTCCCGAATGGCACCAATTCTGTCCATGTGGCTCCCGCTGGCACTCAGACTCCCTGTCAGACCCCCCACGCTCTCCTCCCCAATACTGGGGTTATGTCGTGTCTCAACCACAAAAGTGGTATCTGGAGATAGAGAAACGAACATCATCAGTAATACATTATCTGGACTTCACATTATTTTTGCTACAAAGTAAAATGCTACCAAATGTCAATGACCCATCCACACAAACAAGGGAACCTCCTCTGCAGTTTCCAGCAGAAGAGTCACTACACGTCAAAGTAACTCATCATGTGAAGCACTTTCAAAGACCTCTCAATGTCGTAATAACAATGATAACAGCAATAATTCTTGCATTTGACGTCACGGAGACGTCTCAAAGCGCTTCACAGGTTATACTGTAAAGTGAATTGACTGTATATTCTGTTGGTGAATATAGTCCAGCCAACCTGGCTCATCGACAGGACATGGAAGGACAGACTAGTCACTGGGAGCAGGGAATCCTCCCACTTAGCTCCTGTTAACCCTGCAAGCCAAAGCCCTAATGGGTAGTTTGGTCAGAATTGGACGAGCAGCAGGAATGCTTGCCAGTCAGCACTCTTGATGGCAAGCTATGTGTGGTTTTAGCTGGTTAGACTCCAACCGTTACTCCAACGCACACTCTGGGATCACCAAGCCTTGGCTCTTGCCAACCTGCGCCTAATACTCTCCGGAATTAGTTAAGCAGGGTGCGTCCCTCCAGGGAGAGAGAGAGAGAGTGCGTATTTCATTCCAACAATCTATTTCGGGGATTTTAATGTGTAGGTGGGATGCCTGAAATTCTCAGCTTGGTTTGGAGACTCAAAGCATGGTGATGGGTTTATACATGTCAGACACCTGGTTGTGCAAAAAAAAAGATGAGGATAAAATAACTCTTACCCAAAGCTGTATTTCCTCCGCCACCATTCTCGTTCTCATCATCAAATTCTATCCTCACTCCTTTGCCAGTGCCTGCAGACACCCCACAGCCACCACTGCGACAGAGGGAGATGGGGACCACTCCGTATACATAGGCCAGCATAATGGGGACCCCGATCCCTGTACAAGTCACAACACAAGGCAACGTCAACACTGAAACCAACACCACGCTGCTCAGTTGTTGAAAGGTTATTTACATGAGGTACATATGAACTCTCTTCCTCAATCCCTCCACCTCGACCCCTCCTTCCCCATCTGCAAATCGCATCTGAAGGGGTTTCGCTTCAAGACGATACCACATGTGAAGGGCGCTGTGTTAATGCAGGTCGATGTTGGTTCCTTACCTACAGTGACTGCAGCGACCAGAGGGGAAACGATGACAGACAGTGTCACACCCCCGGTGACTGCCAGGTTCCGCTTGTGCTTTGAAATATCTTTTCCTTCATAACGATTGTGAATCTGAAAATTACAACCATTTGATCAAGATAAACACATCAAGTTGTTGATCTTAGTCATCAAAGCCACACACGGTTTTTCAAAGTATCAAGTTTCAGGTTAAGAAACGGAGATTCTTCTTATTATTAGTGTTTGCCTACGATTTAGCGCCTTATAATATAATAATCCTTGTATTTGATATAGCGCTTTTCCCGTCTTCAAGACGTCTCAAAGCGCTTCACGGAATATACTGTAAAGTGAATTGACTGTATATTTGTGGGCGAAACGCGGCAGCCAATTGCGCACAGCAGCGTCGCACCAACAGTCCTGGATTGAGTGACTATTAGTTTTTTTTGAGGGATTATTATCAGGCGTGTGGATTAAGGAAACTTCCCCAAGGTTTCGCCCTGCCGGGAATGAGACCCGGGTCTCTCGCTTGCGAGGCGAGTGCTCTAACCACTGAGCTACAGGACTCGGCTTTACAAAGTGAGCAGGAGCCCAGGCGGGGAGGGACTTGACGTCTGACAGGTCGACTGTCGGAAGAGACAGCAACATGGAATTAAGGGTGGAGGCAGAATGAGTGTCATTCACATGCACAGCGCACAAGGAGAATACAGGGACACCGTGTACAACCTCTGGGGATTTTACAGCTTTTACTGTTAGATTCTAACACTTCCCAAGCCTTCTCTTTGGCTCCCCCAGCTGCGAATCTCACTCCCACGCGAAGCTAGCATGAACAAAAATATCTTGATGTCAAGTCTTTAAACTCTTTCCTGTTTCGCCTCTTAACAATGGCTTAAACTCAGAGTCAAACGACAGCAGAAACATGCACAGTGCAAACTGCCTTATCACGTTAAAACATCTTGAAGTGTTTCTCAGAGGTTTTCTCTCCAGGAACTGTGTGTGTAGTAATAATTCTACTACTACTAACAATAACCCTTGCATTTGATATAACGCCTTATCACGTCGTTGAGATGTCTGAAAGAGCTTCAGATTATATATTGTAAAGTGGATCGACTGTGTATTTTTTGTGGGTGAAGCGTAGCAGCCAATTGCGCACAGCAGTGTCCTGCAAACAGCTGTGAATCGAGTGACTACATTTTTCTTTTTTAGGGGGTGGAGGGGGGATTATTAGCCCTGGAAAGCGATCAGCCATTAAACCGTTAAAGCCTGATCACGTGGATGTTAGAAAGATTTCAGAACAACATTTGAACTGAGAGGGAAGATTCTCAGGATGTTCTGTGGGACGTTGCTGTGTGCAAATTGGCTGCCCCTTTCACCCACAATAACACTCTACAGCATAATCCTGTGATGCGACGGCGCTGTATCAAGTGTAAGAATAATTCTTCCTCTGGCCGGCATTCCTCCAAATAAATTGATCATTCACTATTGCTCATTGCCTGTTTGTGGAACCTTCCTGTGTTTAAGGCGGCTGCCTCAGTCAGTCACTCCACTCGTCAGGAATTATAGGTGAAGCACTTTGAGATGTTATGGACGCTACGTGAAATACATAAACTACTTTGTCAATTAATGTGTCAAAAGAACAGGTAGAGGAACCATACAAGATTTTACTTTTCTGTGTAGGCCGACTGTTACCGAAGCCCTAAGAAAATAACGATTCCTTCTTCTTTATTGTGAACTTCCGAGATTTGTTGATGTATAAAATCAACCAATGCTCTATTCCTCAAATAATGAAAGGGGAAGAACGCTTTTTGAAGAACTCATTTGAAAACTAACGGTTTCACTTTTTTTAAAAAAAATACTTTGCGAGCGTCAATGAGCTCACCCTTCAGCACTGCAGCTTGTCAAACCTTACTTTATAGGCCCAAGGAAACAGTATAGACATTATATAAATAATCCTTATATTTGATACAGCTCCTTATCAGGTCTTTCAGACCTCAAAGTGCTTCATAGGACTTAATACAACAACAACTTGCATTTACATAGCACCCTTCAAGCAGGGTAGCGTCCCGGAGCGCTTGACAGTGGCAGAACATGCCGCCAATGATAATTAATAATAACCCTTGCAATTTGACACAACGCCTTACCGAGACGTCGCAAAGCGCTGCACAGGATATAATGTGAAATGAATTGACGGTGTATTTTGTGGGCGAAACTAGGCAGCCAATTCCACACAGCAGTGTACCACAAACAGTCGTGGATTGAGGGACTTTTTTTTGAGGGATTATTGCCTTTGGAAAGCTATCCGCCAAATCGACCAACAACCGGGTTCCTACTTACTGCTGGGTAAACAGAAGTAAGTGGAGTAAGGAAACTTGCCTAAGGTTTCGGCCCCCCCGCTCTCCCCTCAAGAATTGAACCTGGGTCCTCTTGCTTGTGAGGCAAGTTCTCTAACGAATACGCTACAGGATTTCACACATTTTACTGTAAAGTGTTATGACTGCGTATTTGTGGGCAAACACACAAAGAATTTGCACACTTCGAGATGTCCTCCCAATGTGAAAGTCGCTATATCAGACGTAAGGATTATTCCTTATTAATTATTATTAAGGATTATTGTTAATTATTAATTGTCATTAAATTATTGCTAATTGTTATTGGATTATTATTAATTATTATTAAGGATTATGATTATTGAATGCTTCCGGACAGCATTCAGGAATGAAGAGGGTGTTGATTCCCCACTGAACCCACTAAGTCACAACCACTTCAGCCGTTGACAGGAATCATTCACAACCACTTTGTTTCAAACCAAACGTCAAATGATTGAAGGAAGCACTTTAAATAGCACTGGTTACATCATACCTTGCGGCCCACGTAGACAGGAATGCCAATGATCATAGCCGGGATGGCAATCCCTGCGATCAGAGCGATCCCTACAGGAGCACCCACCAATGTTCCCAGCTGCCACAGAATCTTCTTTTTACGGCTCCAAGGTTTCTTTCCCCAGAAAGTACACCCGGAAGGACTAGTGAGTTACATGGGGAGAGAAAGGAAACATCATTTTAAATATTTTGCATGCACAAAATGTGAACTGATAAGACAAACCGAGTTCCGATTCAGTCTGAAGAGACGACGACTCAGAAGGGAACCTCCTAGTCCTGCAGCTCAAGTGGTTAGAGCGCTCGCCTTGCAAACGAGAGGGCCTGGGTCCGATTCCTGGGCAGCGCAAAACCTTAGGCAAGTTTCCTTACTCCACGCGCCTCTGCTTACTTAGCAGTAAATAGGAATCCGGTTGTTAGTTGATTGGAGGAATGCTTTTCTGGGGGTAATAATCTCTTCAAATTAAATAATTAATAATAATTTGGTCACTCAATCCACGACTGTTTGTGAGACACTGCTGTGCGCAATTGGCTGCCGCGTTTCGCCCACAATATACAGTAGGCTCGCTTTACAGTATATTTTGCGAAGCATTTTGAGACGTCTCAACGATGTGATAAGGCGCTAAATCAAACACAATGATTATTATTGTAAAATTTTAAATGGGATTCAAAATGTAAACCCAGATCAATACTTTAGGAGATAGTAGATCAAGAGGACACGGGTTTAGAGGTGTAACGGGGCAATTTAAAAAGCAGCTGGATGCTGCGATCAGGTGATGGTAGAGTGTCTGTTCTGGAGAAATGAGATCAGATAACACAAAAGAGCCTTTCCTTATCTGAACTGATCTTGTGGAAGTTATTATTATAAATTCTAAATCAAGTTTCTAAGAATTGTTTAGGAAATTATTTCAATTGATTTTATGCATTAAACCGTAACCTCCCTCCTTCCCAAATACTGCGATGCAACCGCCCCATTTGTATTGTAATTTTAAGCATCAATTAGATGTAAAAAAAATGTCATTAAATTGGCTCCAAAATGATTCACAGGTGTTTCTCAGCAGCACACAATTCAAAACAGGGCATCAAAAATTGGGTATCAAGTCACGTCACTTTTGTATAAATGCAAAACCAATTTCAAATCTGTTGTTCTACAGCAACAACTTGCATTTATATAGTGCCCCTCATGCAGGGTAGCGTCCCAGAGCACTTGACTATGACGGAGCACATCTCTGATCTGGGGGAAGTGGGAAGCGACCATAGGCACAGTCGAATAGGAAGGTCTTCAGGCTCGACCTGAAAATTGGGAAGGAAGGGCAAGGCAGAGGGATAGAGGAAGAGTGCTCCAGAGTTTCAGGGCGGAGCGGCTGAAAGTGCAGCCACCAATGGTGGAACGGAGGGAATGGGGGACAGGCAGAAGACCGGAGCCAGGTGGAAGGATGCAACCCCAGTTTTGCTGCCAGAAGAGTAAACTTTTACAAGGCCGCAGGAGATCTGAACACAAATAAAATAAGAAAAATGTGGAATGCTCATAAAATAGGCCCACTGCCCCAGTTGGAAGCAAAACGTTTGGAAATCATATGGAAAGCGGTTAAAATGTCGTAGGAGACGTGAAAAGTTCTACTGCCGATTGGGACGAGCTCAAATTTATTTGTGGAGTCCTGTGGCTTGGTGTTTAGAGCACTCGTTTCATAAGCAAGAGGACATTGGTTCGAGTCCCAGGCAGAGCGAAACATTGGGCATTTACCCCCACACACCTGTTTACCTAGCAGTAAGTAGGAACCCGGCTGTTAGTTGATTAGCAGATCACTTTTACAAGGGTAATAATCCCTTCAAAAAAAAATAACTTGGGTCACTCAATCCATGATTGTTTGTGGCACGCTGCTGTGTGCAATTAGCTGCCACGTTTCACCCACAAAATATACAATCAATTCACTTTACAGTATATTCTGTGAAGTGCCTTGAGGCGTCTCGAAGACGTAATAAAGCAAGGATTATTATTATAGTTTGCAATCTATGGAGATGGTGAACAACAACTTGCATTTACTCCCAGAAAGCGATCTGGCAATCGACTAACAACCGGGTTCCTCCGTACTACTAGGGAAAGAAAAGCGTGTGGAGTAAGGAAACTTGCCTAAGGTTTCAGCTCGCCCGGGAATCGAATCAGAGTCCTCTCGCTTGCGAGGCGAGCACTCTAACCACTAAAAGAAGGGACTCCACACCAATAGAGATAAAGAGAGGACTAGGTGGGCGGATTGAGAGATTCCAGAGTCACTGGGCTTAGTGACATTCAGTTTTCTATGTTGCCAACGTTTAAAAAACACAATACAAAAAATTGGATCTGTATAGCGCCTTTCACAGGGCAGTCAGGAATTTGGACCTGAGCTGGGGGGGTGGGATTCCAAGCTAAATGTATTCACACTGGAAACTTACCTTAAATAATGCAGGTCAGAAATCTCTTTCATACAGAGCCAGCAGAACTCGCAGCCACAAACCGCACACGTCATGTGATTGCAGCTCCCATCGTTCATTTTTATGATATAAGCGGTGCATCGCGGGCAAGGCTTTATGTCGTCCGCTGCAGAAACAAACAGGATGAATCAACAACAGCAACAACAACTTGCATTTATATAGCGCCCTTCACATGGGGTAGTATCTCGGGAGCAGTTCACAACGCCGGAGTCTGACGATCAGCCAGGGGGAGAGGGAGGGGGGAGGTGAAAACGAGTGAGAGAGTCTTGCGTTGTTAGACACGAACGTTCACGAAACAGTCAGCAGAGAAATGCACGGTGTTTTCAGAACAGGTCTAACAACTGGGTTCCTACTTACTGCTCTGTGAGCAGAGGCGTGCGGAGTAAAGAAACTTGCCTAAGGTGCCACAGCGACATTCAGCATATTTCACCAGCCTGGCCTGCACGTTCACGGTGTATATTAGACATATTTGTGCTCAAGAGGTTCAACTATATCAGTTCTGGCATGTTAACAAGCAATTTTGTGCAAGCGGGGTTCGATTCCCGGGCAGGGCAAAATGTTGGGCAAGTTTCCTTTCTCCACATGCCTTTTTACCTACCAATGAGTTGTTAATTAATTGGTGGATTGCTTTTCTGGGGAGTTATAATCCCTTCAAAAATAATAATAATATGGTCACTCAATTCACGACTGTCTATGGGATACTGCTTTGCGCAATTGGCTGCCATGTTTCACCCACAAAATATACCGTCAATTCACTTTAGCGTATATACTGTGAATGGCTTTGAGACATCTCAAAAACGTGATAAGACACTATATCGAATGCACGGTCTATTATTATTAAAAAAAGGCAAATAGGTTAATTTGCAAATAAATAGTGACAAATTGGTATCAAGAAAAATCTACTTCAGGCCTTCAACAGGATTCCATGGGGATCATAAAGAGAAATAAAAGGTTTAATCCGTTTTTCGGATGAGATGTTAAACCGAGGTCCGGTCTGTGCCTGTTCAGGTGGACGCTAAAGATCCCGCGGTGCTGTTGGAAAAGAGAAGGGAGTTTCTCCTGGTGTCCTGGCCGACATTTCCCCCAGGGTAAAATTCATGGCTGTTTGCAACTGGCTCCCACTTTTCGCCCATAAAATACAGTCAATCCACTTTACAGTATATCCTGTGAAGCCCTTTCAGACGTCTCAATGATTTAATAAGGCGCTTTGAGGCATCTCGAAGATGTAATAAGGTGCTGTATCAGACACATCTTAGCCAGCGATTTGCAGAAAAGGATGCATAAAAATACGTTGCAAGGAGATAAATACACGGTTACATAGATACGCTACTGGTTAGACACGTAAACACAACTTTAAGGTAAGGCAAATAGTAATTTAGTTGAATAAATGCGCAACTTAGGTGTCAGGTTCGATCCCCAGCTTTGCTTTCCACCACACATCCATTCCCTGGCACCCCCTTACCTCGCCTCCCGACCTCTCATACTCACCCACCCTCTCCCTCCGCTCGGCTCCAGCCTCCTGTTCGTCCCCTCCATCATCAGTAGCTGTGCCTTCAGCCACTGTGCCCCAAAACTCTGGAACTCTCTCCCTCAATCCCTCCGCCTTACCCCCTCCAACCCCACTTGCAAATCCCGCCTAAAGACCTTCCTTTTTGATCGTGCTTAGTCACCTCCCCCCGGCTCGGTGTCAGACTCCACCAACGTGAAGCGCTCCGGGACGCTACCCAGCATGACGGGCGCTATATAAATGCAAGCAGTTGTTGAATATAATTAGTCCTATGAGACATACTTGTGTGCAAATAATCGAAATACTTGTATTTGATACAACTCCTTTTCACAATCTCGAGATGCCTCAAAGTGCTTCACAGGATTTACTGTAAATTATAGTGACTGTGTGTTAGTAAGCGAACACGGCAGCCAATTTGTCATCATTGTCCCCCAAACAGGCACAAAACAGCCATGACTAATTTAATTTGGGGGCACTGTCGGCTAGGACATTGGGAGAGAGAGAGACTAGACTCCCTTCTATTTTCCAATAGCTCCGCGGGATCTTTTAACGTCTACCTGAAGTACTGATGTCTACCTGAAATCTGGCCAAGTCCAGCTCTGGGAGGGAAAGTAAGAATGTCGTACTTGGCTCTGATCCAAAGCCATGACTGTTTGTGGGATGTCGCTGTACGCAAACTGGCTGCCTGCATCTGCCTACAAAACACGCAGTAAATCCTATAAAGCGTGTTGGAATGTGTACGATGATGTAATAAGACGTTATATCAAACACAAGGATGATTATTAAAAGCTGTAATAGTTACGGGCTGCTTGGCAGACAGCAAGCTGAAAATTTCTGGATCTGCAGTTCGCTGAACAACCACTCACATTTATACGACAACAACTTGCAGTTACACAGCGCCCCTCACGTGTGGGGTAGCGTTCCACGACAGCGGCGGGAGCACGACACCGAGCCGGAGGAGGTGACCATAAGCGCGGTCGAAGAGGACGTTCTTCAGGCGCGACCTGAAGATTGGGAAGGAAGGGGCAAAGCAAAAGGATAGAGGGAGAGAGAGTTCCAGAGTTTCGGGGCGTAGCGGAGGAAAGCACAGCCGCCGATGGTGGAACGGAGGGGACAAGAGACATGCAGAGGGGACATGAAGCACCCTTCACGCAGGGGGTAGCGTCTCAGAGGGCTTAAACACCATTGATTCTGACGGGGTAGAACAATTACAAAAAGCTCGCGCATTTCTTCGAGAAACGCAATAGTTACCTGTGGAGCGAGTTGGCAAAATCTGATTGACGAGCAGGCTGTTTATCTCAGGCAAGCCCTTCCTTCCCGAAATCTCATCCTGTACATATCGGCGTAGAGTCCAGTTCTCTGTGCCCGCCGCGCCCGAGTCCTGACTGTAGCTGATAGACGAGGAGCGGATGGTGCGGAGATGTAAACTTTGTGCTCTCTGTTGGCGAGCGGCGTCGCAGGTCTGATTGGGATGCCAGATTTGTTTACAGTGGTAGCAGAACTCCGTACCACATCCTTCGCGGCCACAGGTCAGTTTGGGACAGCTGGCACAGCCAAATGCTATCACTGCATAGCTACGCAGGGGGAAACAATAGGAAATCGTTAGAACGACTGGGACGTCACCCCTTCAGCACAAACACACGCACATCTCGAAACCATCAAGTAGTATTAATAATCCTTGCATTTGATGGAGCGCCTTGTCACGTTGTTGAGACGTCTCGAAACGCTTCACAGAATATGTGCGCAATTGGCTGCTGCGTTTCGCCCACAAAATATACATTCAATTCACTTGACAGTATATTCTGTGAACCGCTTTTAGAGACGTCTCGAGGAAATGATATGGCGCGATATAAAATGAGAGGATTATTATTGTTATGTGCCACACAAATCTCCACTCCTTACTCTCTCCCACACCTCCTACCACCATTACTCCGCCAGTGGATTCCAAAGCACTCGTGGTACCAGAGAACCTTGTGTGGTCGTTCGCTGGTCACAGTTTATGACGTCCACTATAGTTGTCAGATTACTGGCAGGATAAGCAGTGGTCCCCACTCAGAGCCAGAAATCACACAAGGATCACAAGATTTAAGTGCTTTGGGACGTCACGTGGAATGTGTTACATAAATACTCTTTTGGAACACTATTCCTACACCTTGCCCCTTCCTTTCCCATTTTCAGGTCAGCCTGAAGACCTTCTTCTTCTACCGTGTCTACGGTCACCTCCCTTCGCTCCACAGTTTGCCATCGTGCTCCGCCACTGTCAAGCGCTCCTGGACGCTACCCCGCGTGAGGGATGCTGTGTAAATGCAAGTTGATGTTGATGTAGAAATTTATATTGAATTGTTTTGCACTCCAAGGGGGAAAAATATCAACCGACAATATCATTTAAAATCTGCTGCGCATTACAGCGTCAGAGTCCCCCCCTTCAACAGCAATTTCCATTTGTATAGCGCCCTTCGCGTGGGCTAGCGTCCATGTATTAGGAGCCAAGCCTTGGGAACTGTCATCAGCATACTCCAGACCCGCCTGGCTCAGGAACCTGCCTAGAGGCGGCTCAGTACGTGTCGTAGTACTTCATCTACATGTCTTAGCACATGTATAAACTTGTGAAAAAAAAATAAGGTTAGCTTTTCCATCTTGTGTGTCAAACTGACTCACTCAGTTGATAGCATTCTTTCCTCTGAATCAGAAGGTTCAAGACCCACGAGTTGGTCATTCGACAACCGACAAGGGCGGGTTTGAGCCCTCACTAGGTGGAAGGTAGGTAAGCACTTCTTAACAGTGAGCTTAACGGTGGGCAACACAGCTCAGCAAGAAATGTATGAGAGCACTGTCACCATCTTCCTGTAGCTCGGGCACAAGTCCTTTCCCAATGATTTGCTAAATTCAACCCTACCTGTGGATATAAAGATGCCTGGAATTAGCATCAGACATGGCATCAGGCCACACGTACAGACCAAATTGTGAAACGCCAACTAATCTGTCTCCTCCCGAGACTTAACTCGGGCCAATTATGGTAGCTCTCTGCTGCTCATCTCTGAAAACTCTGAAAAATGAGGGGGGGGGGGGGGGTGGGTGTGCGCGGGCAGGAGTCCGGGGTCGGTACAGGTCTCTGGAGCTGAACTGGTTCCAAAGTGACTCAGCAACACATTGTCAGGATTGCGTCAATACTCCATCGTGATCTCCAGTCTGGTTCTTGAGCCAGCACGTCTACATTACTCCAGGGCACATTACTCTAGTGACAGGCTAGCCAGCCTGGCCCATCGACAGGAACAGGGAGGGGCAGGGATTCTTCTCACTCAGTTACTGTTAACCCTGTAAGCTAAAGTCCTAATAAGCCAGGGTAGTCCTAGCTGGGGGAAAGCTTGGCCAGACAGTGATATCAATGGCAAACTAAGTGGTTTTAACTGGTTAAACTCCAGCAGTTGCCCTAACGCACAGACCTGGGGTCCCCAAGCCTTGGCTTTTGCCAACGCGCGCCTAATACTTTCCGGAATTCGATGAGCCGGGTGCGTATCTGCAGGGAGACATTCCATTCCAGGCGGGGAGATCCCCCCGCGTGTTAGGTAACATACCTATATGGCTGGTTTGGATACTGTTCATTCAGCACAGTGTTGGGTTTCGGTGTGTCGGACACTCAGCGTCTCAAGAATTGCTGAGAACAGCTAATTCAGCAAACAACAGGCATCAAACTTGGGACATTCCAAATTCGTAATTCTTCACAGCGCCTCGGGACGTCCTCCCGACGTGAAAGGCGCTCTATAAATGGAATCTTGTTGTTGTTGTTGTTGTTGTTGCACGAGCTGCATTTAAAAGCTCGGTCCCCAGCAGGACAGCAGGCTACATTCTCAGCTTTGAATGAAACAGAGCAAAGGAATCTGCCGAGCCACTCATTTTGTCGCGAAAAAAAAAAAAAAAAACAGAACAAAACACTTCGCCGTTAGCGAAAAAAAAATACTCACTACAAATTGAACGGATCCCTCAAAACGGATTCTGGTAACTTCAGGTCGAATGCAACGACGACAACAACTTGCATTTACGCTGCGCCCTTCGTGCGGGGCAGCGTCTCAGAGTGCTTGGCAGCGGCGGAGCCCGACACCGATGCCAGGGGGAGGGATTGGGGGGAGAGAGTTCTGAAGTGGACACCAGCGCTTTTCACGTCCCTCTCCCACCCCCCGTGGTCAGGCTTTCAGCCTATCTGCCCCCCCCCCCCCCACCCCCCACTCTCTCGAACTCCCTCTCTCTCCTGTTGCAAAGTCCTTTTCTCTTTGCCCACATCTTCGGTCATCTTTAATCTCCCCACCCTTGGCTCCCACTCCCAGCTACGGTGTAAAACCAGGTGTCCAACACCCTGAGACGTCCTCCCGACATGAAAGGCACTGTATAACTGTAATGGTAATTACCCCAAATCTCTTTTAGAAAATATGGATGCATGTAAATCACTGCTCACATATGTGGTGAAAGCTTAGGCAGGCTTCCACACGCCTCTGTTTACCTAGCAGTAAGTAGGAACCCGGTTGTTAAGTCGATTGGCGGATCGCTTTCTGGGGGTAATGATCCCTCCAAGAAAATTGGTCACTCACTCCACAACTGTTTGCAGGACACTTAACTGCCACGTTTCACCCACAAAATACACGCGAGTCAATCCACTTTACAATATATTCTGTGAAGCGCTTTAAGACGTCTCAATGAGGTGGGAAGGGGTGATATCAAATGCAAGGCTTATTTATGTACTTATTTAGTTATTATTTAGTTAACAGTGATATGCGGAGCATTCCTACCACAATCATTCACGTGCAAATTAAACCAAACTTGACCAGAAAACAAAAATAATCCCTCACTTTCAAGAGATTCCTAATCTCTCGGGAGCCTCAGAGATTTGTGGCAGGAATACTTGGCTAGGATTCAGGAATATGTGGTTTTATTTTTAAAAAATTATCACTGACGTACGAGCTGGACTGCCTCACACAGTTGGACTCGGAGGCCCACAGTTACTTTATGCAAGGTTTTGATTTAAAGAAAAACCCTTTCAAAAAGAAGACAGCCGGAGACTCCCTACAATGGTCTGTTCTTCAAGCAGATTCATTTGAAGGTTTTCACTTAAAAAAATCCGGTAAAAAAAAATAAACTTTCAAATTTAAAGATTTTGTACGCTTTACTCAGTTGTTTATATAATAGACGTAATATAATAATCAACATTTCATTTGATATAGTCTCTTATCACGTTGTTGAGACGCCTCAAAAATGACCAAAAGTCAAAGAGGGACGTTTTGGACCTTGAACATGGGGAGCAAGCAAGTCGGAGGGACTCCTGGATAGAGTTCCAGGGGGTGGCGACAGAATGGCTGAAGATATCAGTGTGCAACACATTTCCATTCAAACTCAATTCAAGCAATTTACGAGGTTCCTTTTACTCTCACCCACTCCTGAAAGACGGAACCGAAATCTATAAAGCAGCAGGAAAGACTGAATCAGAAGTGAGCGACGAGTGCCAACTTCTCGTGCTCCTTTTCAAACAAGAGCACCGCATTTGTTCACATAAACACTTGAGGATAAAGGAATTTCAAGAGATTGAGGACGGATTTTGTTAAGGCAGAGAGCCAAGCCACAAGTTGTACTTATATAGAGCCTTTCACGTACAGGAAAAAATCTCAAAACTGCTTCACAGAGAAGTGTCCACTTGAGCAGGATATAAGAGGAGTGGGGAGGAAGGCGAGTGAGCCCGAGGCCAAAGAGGTAGGTTTTTAGAAAAGCTTTCAAAGCGGAGGGGGAAGCATGCGGACAGAGGGAGAGAATTCCAGAGAGCAGGGAATAACTGACTCATAGCTCGCTTGCCAATAGTGAAGTGGAGGGGGGGGGGGGTGACATGAAACAGGCCTGACTTAGCAGAGCGGAGGAAACGGGAGAGATGGAACATTGCAGGAGATCAAAGAGGAGAGGGGAGGGAGAGGGAAGGAAATTCAAAGGCATGGAGTTACGTCGAAAGTAATTATGGTCCCGACTGATACGACTTATGTGAGTTTTACTGTCTTAAAGGTATTGCCACGAGAACATTTTATTATAAAAACCGAAAGAGTCAACGTGAGATATGTAGAGGCTTAGTAAAGCACGGCTCAACATGTAATTATACACTAAGACTTGAATTTTTTCCCTTCTGCTGTTACAATCAGTGTTGAATTCTCACCAAGAATTATCATATCACAGGAAGTATATTAGCACTGATCCCTGCGCAATAAACATGGTCCACTTTTAAAAATCAGTTGGAGACGTTAGAGAAGAATTTCAAACTACAAGAAAGTAGTAATAAATAATAATAATCTTTGCATTTGCTACAGCACCTTATCACATTGTTGAGACGTCTCAAAGCGCTTCACAGAATATACTATAAAGTGAATTAACTCTGTATTTTGTGGGCGAAACGCGGCTGCCAATTGCGCACAGCAGCGTCCCACAAACAATTGTTTTAAAATAGGATTATTACCCCCGGAAAGCGACCATAATTGGGTACCTACTTGCTGCTAGGTAAACAGAGGCACGTGGAGTAAGGAAACTTGCCTAAGGTGCATACCCCCCCAGGAAGTGATCAAAGTACACGGAGTTTGATCCCCACACCATTGATGGCTCTACCCAGTCACAGAGGTCCTTCCTTACCCACAGTCCGGAGCAGGACACCATCGACAGTCGGGATCCGCCACCAGCCACCGGCGCAACATAAACTCCTCGTACTTTTCCATCAACAAATCGTCATTTAAAATCATGCGAATGTCATGGGGATTGAATCGCTCGGAGCACTCTGGGCAGCTGATGTTGACCCTGCTCTCAGAGATCTCAATCCTCAAGTACTGTCGCAAGCAGTCCGCACACGAGCGGTGATGGCAAGTCATGATGGCGGGGAACCTGTCCCTGGGATGACGCAAAAGGCACAGAGGGCATTCGAGCAAGTCTCCGCTCGGCTTGTCGGTGGACGCATTGCCACTTTCGGACGAGCCGCAGGTTGAGAAGATGGAGTTCTTGTCATTGTACAGCTCAGAGTGAATGCTTTCGATACTCGCAATTCCATCCACTCCTCCGTTTAGATCTCTGGATTTGCGTTTTGACTCTTTCTTCCTGCGAAACAGAGACCCCAGTGACAGACGATGTTTCTTTGGTGCCTTTTTGACTGAAGGTAGACTGACGGAGGAGGCCGAGGACTGCAGGTCCCTGTCAGAGCCTGGGCCCAGTTGTTGATTGCGATGTAAACTCATTTCTCTCACAGCTGTCTGTCAGACTTCCTCAGTTCAAGTTTGTACAGGCTGAGAAATCTTCTGTTAAATCCTAATCCATGTTTTGCAGTTCTCTGGCTCACTAAAGCCGAGCTCACTCTGCAGTTCCTGGAAAATTTAGTCTTTTAAAGCATCCCTGGTATTTCTGCCAAAACAGGAAACCAATAAATGTTATCATACTCTTGCAACAAAAGGCACTAGACATTTTGTACACCAATATAAGCCAAACTCCTAACAGCTGGCTCTGACCTTTCTTCCTTGCAAAAGAACATTTCAAATGTATACATCTTCACGAGCTGTGTTACAAAGCACATTTGTGAACGTTACAAAATCAACAGAACCAGCTTTATCCAAATAAATTCCTGCTCCAAGTTAGTTTTCTCCAAAGTGTTAGAGTGCAAGCAGCATTTACCGCTGGCAGTGCTAGGTTAGTTTAGATAGCACAGAAGCAACGGCTTTTCTCAGAAACAGAATGAATGCGACCTGTAACGTAAAAATATCCCAGTGGGGAATGTAGAGAGCAAACAAGGCCTGCATTGCGAGAACGTCGGGTCTTGCTGTGGCATACACACTCTCCCAAGTTATAACCCTCAGCGACTTTTACTGGGGGAGGAACCCAGAAGAGACCCAGCCCTCTCTTCCCACGGGGAGGCGAAGAACGTGCAACAAAAATCACTCAGGTCTGCTCATGCACATTTATCATTCGGCTTCACAGAAACGTGATAAGACGTTAAGGTCTGTGCCTGTTCAGGTGGATGTTGAGGATCTCGCAGCGCTATAAGAATAGGGAAAGGGGTATCTCTCTCCCTGTGTCCTGGCCAACAATTCCCCGGCTAAAACTGGTTACTCACCCCATGGCTGTGTTTGGGACATTGCAGTGCGCAAACTAGCTACCGTGTTTCGCTCACAAAATACACGGTCACTTCACTGCAGTGTATCCTGTGAAGGGCTTTGAGAAGTTTCAACCATGTGTTAAGGCGCTATATCAAATGCAAAGATTACTATTATTAAACCTTTCAAGCTCACTCAAATAACCAACAAGTGACTAGACTCCTTGAGTGGTTGGGGGGGAGCGGAGGGAGGGGTGGTGGGGGAGACGTCTCTCCTTGGAACTCAGACAAGGTTTCTGTGACCCAATTGCCCTCCACTCACAATACATCTTCCTGTTTCGCTTCCCCCACCCCCACCGATGCCCCCTTCCCGCTACACCTCACCAACGCCAGGTGTGCGTTCGGCCATTCCGTCCTCCTCGATTCCGGCATTCCCTTCCTGAGCAACGGAATAAACCAGTCACTGTGGGCAGGGCATCCTCCCGCTCAGCTCCCGTTAGCCCTGCAAGCCGAAGCCCAAACGGGTAGGGTGGTCCTAGCTGGCCGGACGGTGCTGCCAATGGCAAGCTGCGTGGTTTAGGCTGGTGAGACTCCGGCAGTTACCCCCCAAAGCGCACAGTCTCCAAGCCTTTGCTCCTGCCCACCTGTACCTAATACTGTCCGGATTTAGAGAAGCAGAATATGTCCCTCCAGGGAGAGCGCGCGTTCAATTCCAATAAATACCTCTGGAATTTCCATGTACAGGTAGGTTGGAGACTTTGTTTAGTTTGGAGACTCTTAAACCATGGTCTGCCCCTCCACCTCCGAAGTAGTACTTTTGCCGACAGACCCTTTTGACACGTTTACTTTGGAACATTCTAGAAAAAAAACGAAAACGCCTCTCGCAGGGTGTTGTGCTTTTTCAAAAAAAAAAAAGGAGGCTGAACGACACTTTGCTGATCTCATGTGAATGTTGGCATCACCAAAGCCAAGATGCTGTCAGAGCAAAACGTATACATGGCCCTCTGCAACCGGTAGGGAACGGATTCTACAAATCAGGGCTGTAACAAAGCACATTAGTTTCGCTCCCAAAATATCCGGTCACTACGCTTTACAGTGTATCTCGTGAAGCACTTTGGAGACGTCTCGGTGACGTGACGAGGTGCTGCATCAAATGCGAGGTTTTTTTTAATGCGTTGTAAGACAGAACCCTCAATTTCTGATGAGCGTTTTTTTTTCAAGCGATGTCATCTTCATTTCTCTATTCCCGAGAAGTTTGTCTATTTTATATTTGAATGGTTCCCAGTACTCTTACAATACATAATTGCCTCACCTCATTTCCTGGAACAAGATAAACAAGTATTTGCATATTGCCTTGTTAGAGAAGAAACATACTACTCCTGAAAACAGTCCTGAACACACTGAAGGAAACAAATTCCTCTTTGTAGCTGACGCTGCAACAGGAATATCAGTTTATATAAGCTCCCCTCACATAGGGCAGACTCTCAAGAGCGTTTGCAAGGAAGTGGTTGGAGCATACTTGGAGCAAGGTTGGAGTCCTGTAGCTCAGCGGTTAGAGCACTCGCTTTGCAAGCGAGACACCTGGGTTCAATTCCAGGCAGAGGGCGAAACCTTGGGCAAGTTTCCTTACTCCACACACCTAATAATAATCCCTCCAAAAAACAAAACAATACTAAATTGGTCATTTTCAATCCACGACTGTTTGTGGGACATTGCTGTGCGCAATCGGCTGCCGCGTTCGCCCACAAATATACAGTCAATTCACTTTACAGTATATTCTGTGAAGCGCTTTGGGACGTCTAGAAGACGTGAAAAGCGCTATATCAAATGCAAGGATTATTATTACTACTTCATCTCGCAAGCAAGAGGACCTGGGTTTGATTCCCGGGCAGGGCGAAACGTTGGGAAAATTTCCTTACTCCACCTTCCTCTGTTTACCTAGCGGTAAGTAGGAACGCCGGTTGTTAGTCGATTGGAGAATCGCTTTCCGGGGGTAATAATCTCTTGCAAAAAAAAAAAAAAAGTGGTCACTCAATCCATGACAGTTTGTGGGACACTGCTGTGTGCGATTGGCTGCCGGGTTTCACCCACAAAATACAGTCACTCCACTTTACGGTATATTCTGTGAAGCGCTTTGAGGCATCTCAGCAACGTGATAAGGCTCTATAGCAAATGCAAGGAGTATTACTATTAAGGATGGGGTTGGATTCTGAGCAAGGGAGTGGGTGATGCAGCCGTAGGTGCGTTAAAGAGATGAGTTCCGAGGAGGGACTGGGATAGAGAGAGGGTATTATTATCAGCAACTTCCCATCTCATCTCCCCACAGTTTCTGTTAGACATTAGCTTCTCATTTCTGCTGCTTTCAAACTCCACTTCCCCTTACCTGCACTATTTCTGTAGATCTCTCTGTCCTCAACCTTCGCATAAACTCCTCCAACCACCGACAACCAATGGCCGCCCTATCTAACCCTACCCCTGACCGGGTCTTTACCCGAGGCCTCTCAATTGCTTGTATTTCCATCTCCAACAAAGCCATCTCAGACCTTTGCTTCCTTTACCTTCCTCGTCCGCACCAAACTCCAATCACCCCAGTCCTCACCAGTCTCCACTGGTCCCATGTCACCCAACAGATTATTTTCCAGGTCCTCACCTAGAAATCCATCCTCCAATCTTCTACCCAACTTCTCTGTTTGCGCTCTCTGCCAAGCTAGCTCGGTTTTGCCACACACCCAACCCTCACCAAGCTCCTCACCAGTTCCTACATCCCTTACCCTCTGGAATTCGCTCCCTCAACCTCTCCCTCGCACCCCCTTTCTGTCTCTACATTCCGCCCTCCACTTTGAACGTGCCTCTGGCCACCTTCCCTTGCTAGCATTCAACCCCATCCTTGTAAAACACTCAGACATTACCCTACGTGAAGGGTGCCATGTAAATGCAGGTGTTGAATCGGCCACCCTTGCTCTCCCCTCTGAATCTGACCTCCTCTCCCTTCCTCTCTTTCTGTCCCATTCCCCCCCACCCCCCCATCCTTTTTCTGCACCCATCCCTTCCTTCCTCTCCCTTTCCCTTCCTCTCCATCCCTTCTTCTGAAGTTACCACCTCTCTAAAGCCAACCCTCTCTTTCTCCTCGCTCCCACTTTCTCTCTCCCACCCCTCTCCGAAGCTGCCCCCTTCCTCTCTGACTTTTGAGTGGGGAGAGAAACTAATACCTATAAACTGCATTCTCTCATCCATTCATAAGATCTTTTTACATGAAGCCATAAAAGGTTGAAAACCGTGCCAGTGTAATTGTACTCTACGTGAAATCCAAGTCTACAAATCACAGTCACACACGCTGAGAACTAACTAAAGATGAGAAATGGTGCAGTGTTGGTAAGCTATGAGGTTACTTCCTACAGCAGCCGGACTTCTCAGAAACAGTGTGGCCTGGTTGGATCCAGGCCAAACGTTAAAGACATTACACAAGTGCTGAAATGTTTCTCGACATTGATGGCAGAACTGTAACCTCCTCCAACGGCAAAACTGTGAGGTTTACTGTACTGCTGTTTCTAAACATTTGCATAACTTGTCGATATCATTCTCACCGGACTTTTTCCCCTCTTCATCCTATCTCAACAACAAACCTGGCCCTTTTTTGTACCTATCAACAATTGTTTACGGTAAGGTATGTTCATGTGTGCTTTTAAGCAGGACAATGCTTAAAATGTTCACCGTTTTAACATATTTTTGCACATCGAGGCCACTTCCTTAGTGCTGGAAGGTCTTTATTCTCACGGATTACAAGGATTCTGATTGAACAGCAAGTCATCAAATTGGTTAAGAAAATAAAGTCCTGTAGCTCAGTGGTTAGAGCACTCGCTTTGCAAGTGAGAGACCTGAGTTCAATTCCCGGCAGAGGGCGAAACCTTGGGCAAGTTTCCTTACTCCACACAGAGCCTAATAATAATCCCTCCAAAACCAAAAACAATAATAAATTGGTCATTTTCAATCCACGACTGTTTGTGGGACATTGCTGTGCACAATTGGCTGCCGCGTTCGCCCACAAATATACAGTCAATTCACTTTACAGTATATTCTGTGAAACGCTTTGGGACGTCGAGAAGACGTGAAAAGCGCTATATCAAATGCAAGGATCATTATTATTATTATAAGAAAATAAACTGGTTAAATCCCAGGTTAAATTCAATTTACGGGAGGCAAGAAAGCTGAGCATGCCCTACCTCATTCTGTAGTGCTCTCGCCTCAAGAGTCAGATGGTTGTGAGTTCAAACCCCACCTTGGGACTCTGAACTCAGACTGACGCTCCAGTGCGGTG